TAGTAACACTAAACAAGCCTCGAACGTATTTGTTATAAATTTGGAATTATTCGCGGGAACTATCAGACTTCTTTGTTTCCCAAATCTTAATCTTGTTGTTGATTAATTTCTTTTCCTCGTCCAGGCTCAACAAGAGAGTGTTATGCAACGGTGCGTGCTGGCCGAGCCTCATCATGGGGAGAACTGGTGCGCGGTATCCAAAGCTATTCCAAACTGGAGGCTCCGAACCAAAGATATTCTGGTCATTGTGGCTAAATCGCTGAAATCCATTGAGAAGGAATAACGGTAATGAAGTGTAGATAGGTAAAATGATGTGGTGCGAAGTCCTGGATGGATTGAACAGTTCGTCGCTCGTGTAGACTGCTATTTAGGGAGAGATCTCTTCAAGAACGACGTACCGCATGCGCGTGTTTGTAAATACACGCGTGTGTAACTCGCGGAAAGACCGACCTTACAACAGACTGTTGTATACTAGTAACTCTTGTTAAAGGGAGAAAGGCCCATTTTCACTCACTGTAAGATATCAACGACAACGTTGTTGTTTTTGCATCAATATTACGACAGAATTCTCTTGTTCTCTTGTCACCACCTCTGGGTTTTGTTCGACTCATGTAAGACTCAGAATTAAAAAGGACTTGTAGTCTCAGGTCTTCTTTAAAAGGAGCTGTTTGATATACTTTTTATCAACGCTAGAAATGCGTTATTGCAAATGAAACAGATTGAAACATCAGATTTTATGGTACCTACCATATTTGTTACTCCCAAGTTTTCTTCAACCTTTTCGACAAGTTTTCTACATAATTTAAGATGAAAAAAAAAATGTAGTATTTTTCCTTGACAGACCGCTCGCCTATAACTAACTTTCCAGGTTTGTAACGAAAAAAAACTTTTAAACGAAAACAATTGCTTGTAAGGACTCCTTTCAAAGAAACTGTGACTGATTTTCGAGGGGAATTATATTCCAACAAGTTTGATTTGATACTATTGGCTTGAATTTCTTATACTTTTATTATGAATACTTTGTGTTTACTTCTTTTTTCGGTGAGCGTATCTTTTTTTCTGATTTTAAAACGTATTTCTCCTACTTCGTTACTGACGTGAAGTTGTCTTGGGGTTATGAAGCGCATAGATACTTTGACGCTGTTGTTAGCAGTTTTTGCTCTGCCATCTGCTCTTTGCAGGAACGTGTGTACCGTGTGATATTACCCAGACCAATTTATTAACTGACTCTATGTAATATAAGCTCATGAAATGTGTATTTTATAACGCGCAATAAAGTCATGAAAATGATGATGGAAAATTAAGATGATGTCTGATAGATTCCTGCCAGATGCTACCAATATGAACCAGGCTTTATTAGTGAAAAAAATATGCTAGGGTAAACCAAAACTGCAAAAAGAGGCCGGCATCTTTTATTTAAAAATTTACGTTCTATTGTGGTACGTATTATTTTTCCTCTCTTTTCTGTTAATGGGAGTCGTTGATTTAATTAGAACTTTCGATGCAGTGTTGTTTGATGTTTGTTCTCGAAAGAAAAGAATGAAATATTTGCCCTGCTTGCCAGACCGAAGAACTCTTTTTGTTTTGATTAAGGAATTAAGAAACATGAATAAAAACAATTTTTATTGTTCTCCACCTTGATTTTTATCATCGTTACAAATTGTGTTAATCGTTCCTGATTTGTAATGCTTTGTTCAACGTCGCTCGCCAGTGTTTGTGATATCGAAGCCCCGGCCTGTGTCGATAAGATCTGTGCGCTTCAAAATTGTATGGAAATAAAAACACAATTGTTAAGTGTATTACGACTAGGGAAACACTAAAATGTAGCCGCCATCTCTTAATTGCCCGACAAAATGACAAAAAATATTAATAAAAAATCAGCCCTAATCATCTGTGGTGAAGTGTTTGTATCGAGAGAATACAGGGAAATTGTCTAGCAAGCTCTGGCGGGGAATCTTTTCATTGATACAAAAACCTTATCTTGTTGTTTTCGTGGTATTCATAATAGGATAGTTTTAAGCCCTTAATGTCACAGGTGTTCGTGAAACCTGTTTCTGTGGTCAAATCTGTCTGTCGTGTAGACAGCCATCTTCTTGTTTGTTTTTCGTTTTTCCTAGAATTCTCCGGACCAAATTAGTTTGGTGGGAGTTCTTGTTAATATGACGCCTTTACTTCCGTTTATTATCAGGAACTCAGCTTAATTTATTACCTTCCACGTTGTGGTTTCTCAACTTTTTAGCAGGCGTTTTTCATCTAAAAGCGTATGAAAAACTATTGATGATTTTAAATTGCATGCATTTGTCAGACCTGTCGGGTGATGTCTACTATATTGCGACAGCAACTTGAAGAAACTGTCCACGAAAATAAAAATTTGGATAAAAACTAAAGATCATCTTGTTGCTATCTTTTTATGTTTCTTTCTCAATTCTCCCAAAAATTTCAATAGATTATAATCTCTTATCTACGATTCAGCCCAAGAAACCATAGACAAAACGACTCATTAGTTAGTTTCTGCTTTTTAAAGTGCTTTAAACTTAAAATGTATTTCGGGTCAGGTCGAATGTTTACAATTGTTTTATAGCTCCAGGGCTTTTATACACTCCCTCTGTTTCACTTTCGTGACAAGATACTGTTTTCAATAAATTGAATCTTGATACAAGACGAACTTCTATTATCTATAATAACGTGCAACACAAAAAATGAAACATCTTAGACTAATAGGTTGTAATCAGCTAATCTTTGACGCTTTCGGCGTATTGAGGAATCACTTTTTCAATTGCCTAAGAAAATCGATTAATTGAGCTAAGTCAGTCCCAAAAACAAACTTAATTTCCAGAGCAGGCCGCCAGTTTAACCGCTTAAGTCGTTTACTTCTCCCTTTCACTCCCAAGATCTCATCAGTAATTCTCTTTACTTTTTCTCAAGATCTCATCAGTAATTCTCCTCACTATCTCCCTTAAAATTCTTTGAAGTTAGTTTGAAGAATTTGGTATTGGATCAACCAATAATCCCCTAATTGATATTTTTCTATATTCCCATCCCTTGTCTGTTTGATATTGTACTGATGTTGTAAGGATGTTGTCACTCGTGGGAATTAGGGAGTTAAACAATGATTCCTGTGTCAAAAACTTTGCTTACGGGTCGGAGTTGTAAACCTTTTGGATCGACTTCTCTTCACTGTTTGGTACCCCAAAATTCCTTTTGATTAAGAGAGCTGATCAAAACGCCAGACCGTCTGAATGTTTTCAAAAATCCATTTTCAAAATTTTGTGCAATTAATTGAGAATAAGAAGCAAAGCGATGTTTTTCTTATCGCGTGACCTCTCCTGTCTGGTTTTTATGGAACTTTGATGGTTTTTTTTTCTTGCTATTTTTTAAATGGTTTTTCTTATTAAGAACTGAAAGGGGTTCTGTAGGCTCTGACGGTCGCTAGTGGATGAATTATTTTCCAATATGGCCACTAAAAGGGTTTTAATTACTAAAGGACATCGAAAACGGAGAAAACCATAACTTGTTATGTATGTCTTCACGAGTCTTTAGATTTTATTCGACGCCTTCATCTGATATGCGCGCAATATTTTTAAGTTCTTTCTACCTAAACGACAGGTCTCAACAAAGTCTCCAAAACTGAGTCACCTTTATAAAAGTTTATTTAAAGCAAGAGAGCAAAGCATGTGACGGTTCATTTCTTTCGTCTGTAATATACCTTAACGAAGGTTAAACAGGCGAATGTGATTTTTCCAGGGACTTTTTAAAGTTAATATTAATGTTATCCCAACGGTTGCGTGCAAATAACGTGCATTTATAGAAAACCAGGCTCGTCTGCGAGACGGTTACCAGCACTTTGTTCTTCAAAGATATAGAAGATTTCCTTTCTTCTTCTTCTTTTTTTTTTTTTGTTATTGTCAATTTTTTTTTTTTGAAAGCACCAGCTGTTTTTTCGTTTGGCGCAATAAGAACTCTATTAAGACACTTTCGAATTGATTACCTAAACCGAAGGCACGGAAGATAAACATCTTTGTTAATTTTCTCGTCAAACTTCTTTTAGTTCTGATATTTTTTTGCACTCTTCCTGCGCGAATTTATTTTTTTATTTTCTTTCTTTCAAAGGAACCCATTAAAACATGTCGTGCACGTTGGTCAAACTTTACAGCTGTCACGCCTATGACACAAAGTACATTTACATTTTGTTTAATTGCATGTACCAAACTTTTGTGAACGTAATTTATCAAAATCTTCAACCCTCCAGCAGGGCTGCTCGCCAAACCACTTGTCAGAATAGTTGACAAGAAATTGTTTTGCCCCCTTGCGAGACAGAGCTGAAATTATCTAATACTTATGCACGCGTGTGAAGCTGCATCTTCACTTAAAGGAACGGAACAAAAGCCGAAGTTGCAACACTATGATAATTGTCTTTAAAAAACAAAAAAAAATATTGCTGACGCATTTATTTCCTTTCTTCTCGAGTTTCCGATGGTGAAAATTTTATGATGATGCTGAATTTTATTCGCTGTGGGAGCTTCAAAAAATGGCCAAGCGAATGGAGTTGTCTTATCTCTTCAGACAGCAACCTAGCAATATGAATAACTAATTTCTCAATCCGGCGGCATTCGACATTTTTCTGTAATCCAAGAAATGCCAACGGGTCTTGGCTAATGAGCCGGAATGAAAAGTTGTGTAAATACAGGGTTGAGCAGTAATTAATAGAGACAGAAGTTGTATTGAGCAGGGTTTGAAAACCTGCGGAGCGGGAATTGTATCTACTGTTTGGCATTCAATTTCGAGGCGTTGTAACTCGGTGAAAAAATAGATTCTCAACGTCAAAGTGGTGTTTTCTTTCCCTTTTGTTTGTTTGTTTTTTGTTTCTTTTTGTACTAATTTTCATGAAAAAGCCACGATGCATGTCATGAGGTTTTATGTCGTTTTTTTTTTTTTTTTTTGTGCATTAAAATTTTGGCAAACCCAGAATCAAGATAATTTTAGTTGTGTTTATTATCCTCATGCGACCCTTTCTCATTATAGTACACAGTATTTGAAATTCGCTTTACAAAACGCGTTACTTTAAAGAATTCCCTCAGTTTTGCGTGCAAAACAAAAGTTCACGAACACGAGCGAGCGTTACATGTGAAATTTACAAATGAAAGTAGTCTCTCAAATGTACTTTGTTTGTCTCTTACGTAAAAACATGGGTTCTTCCAAATGGGACGATGAATAATTGATGTTGCAAAATAGCAAATAACATTGCTCAGAATAAAGCGCTCTGAGACATCGACAAAATGGGAATACGTTTAGATGGAAAGTTAAGAGTTGTCGGTCAGCATGAAGCAGTAAAATTCGTAGTAAATACAATTTGAACAACGTTTCATTTGACTATATTTTACGAAAACATGTCTCCTTTTTCTAAACGTATTTTCCGATGAAAATATACACCTATTGATTGCATTTGTTTCTTTGCTAAGGCCAAACATTGAAAAATGTTTATGTTCGCATCTCTAGAATTGAATTCGTATAAAATTTTGAAACGTATTAGCTTTACACTTAAAATCAAACTTTTGAGCGTATTTCTTAACGAAACGATCTTTAAATTTTCGAAGATCTAAACAGGAAAAACCATAGCGTATTGTTTCGTCTCTGTGAGAATTAGTTATTTTTTTCTCCTTTCTCTTGTGCAACACATTTTATGTCAGTTGCCACAGCGACATGGTGAACGCTTAGAAACGCGTGTAATTAACGTTTTTCATCAGGGCGGTAGACCGTCTTGAAAAGCTGTTTACAATGGACAAAAAAATTCTCGAGTTTGAAACGCCGATATTCACGTACATCTTTCTTATTTACAAATCTCTGACGTTCTCACAAGTAAAAAGAAAACACTACTTGTAATTTGAAGGTAAAAAAAAACCTGTCTTTTTTTCATGTCGTACTAAATATTTTTAGAAAATGCTTTCAGCGTCCTATTGGGTTTTTGTTGACGGAATTGTGTGTATTCATAATTTTCCCGTATGTTAGCGTTCTGTGCGCGACGAATTCGAAATTTGCCGTTGTTTAAAACAAGTGGTAACCGTTTCGTATGTCTCGTTTGGATTTGGGAGTTTCAAATAAATTAAAGAGGATGTTAAATTTCAAAACAGGCTGATTTAGCCACGTATGATTTCAATGGCATAGCGGGAACTCTGCCTATTTATGCTTTCTACACCTCCGATGGATCATAACAAAAAACAAAAAAGCGAAAAAAATTTAAGACAAAATCTACAATACCCTTTGTTTCGTAGAAAGTTTTAATTTCACTTTTTTTCCGCTCTAAAGCTCGCTTTAAATACATGTGTGCAATTTATTTTAGAAGATTCGTATTTAAGAAACGCATCCGTAGACGAAATATTTGCATCTCGATTACAGTGTGAAAACACTCTAGCATTTTTCTGGTGTACTATAAAAAATATATTTTACAAACATCGATTGGAGGGTAATTTTATATACACTAGCAAATGTAGAATCACGTTGAGTGGTCCACGTTTTTGGTAGTGAAATTGGAACAGCAAATACTTCATTTCTTATACAAAATGATACAAAATTCCCTTTCTGTTCGTCGGAGAAGTGATTCATGCGAAAAATCCCGGTCATAAAATATTCACATCAAGAACTCTCGATTTTGTTACTATCGGGCGTTTTTCGACAAATTTGACTTGTATTTAAAACCCCTTTAACTCCCCTAATCGCGATCTAGGCTGATCGGAGGTAACATAAAAAGCCGTTATTTTTACCGTGAAGTTTTTGTTAGAGTTCTTGTACACAAATTTTTTCTTTTGGCATATGATAAATCTGTCTGCATACAAATGATATGATTAATTAAACTTTCATGGCGCGGTAACAGGTGGTAGATTTTGCTATCACCGACCAGAATCATTTTGTTTGATTGAATTTTACTTTGTAAAATTGTTCAGAACCTTATCTTTGCAAGCCATAGCCTTTGAAATTATTAGCCAGCGTTTTAGGCTAAGAGAAAGCTATTTTGTGAAAAACGCATTTCAAACAACAAAATACACAGCCAATTAAAATTTTCAATGTTTTGGCGTCCATCCTCGTTTATCTTGCAAACGGCTCTAGCATGGCTTTCCGACGCCGAACGAGCGAGCTTATCAATAAAGTAACTCCCATACCTATTTTGGCTCGCTCGCGACGCTACTGATAACTAAAAAAACAAGCGGTGTTCGTAGACCAAACTAAGAAATGAGTTCTATAATTTACATAGTCGAAAAATATTCTATTTCGTGAAAGTTTTTCTTACCAGTTTGATTAATAAAACGAGCGGCTTAATTTAAAGTTACCGCTTGTGTGGAATGAATCACACGAAGACTTTAGTTAAATTGAGGCGCGCTTCCTATGAAGGCCTTTGTACGTTGTAAATGCAATCTCTTCCTCGTAATTTTTTAGAAGTGTGGTCGATAAGTCGCTCGGATAGAGATTAAAAATGTCGATAGATTCCCGGCGACTGCATTTTTCGCATAAACACGGTCCCTCCACCAAAAGTTGGTCTGTCGTTTCTTTGGTTTGACTTGCCGTTAACAGCCTCAATGCCAACTGATTCATTACGGAGCCTACAATTGTCAGTCCAAAGAAAATAAAAAGAAGAGAGATACCCACGTATGTATGATCAAAGCGCGTCTCTCGGCTGTCTTGTAAGGCAACGTAGTCGCCGAATCCTATTGTTGTAACAGTTATGAAACAATAGTAAAGAGATTTAAAATATGTCCATTTCTCGTAGTAACGGAAGATAAATGCTCCAAGGCATACAGTGACCATCATTGCGAATAAACCGAATAAAACCACCATATTCGCTGTATTTGAAACTTCGGTGTTCTTCATTCCCAGCTTTTTCTTCACTCGTCGAAACATATGCGCTAAAAACGTGTTCAAACGCTCGCCAATTGACTGAAACATCGTTAGCGCAAGAGGAATTCCTACTGCCGCATAAATCATACAAAATACTTTTCCCCGGTTCGTCTTTGGCACCGTGTGTCCATAACCTGTGGAACAAAGAGGAAAGCTTAACCTTCATATCAGTGTGTATTTACATTGTACAACTTTGTGTTTTTTTGTACAACAATGCTGTGTGTAGGTGTAGAGGGCTGTCTGTTCCCGAGTTAAACCGCTTTCGACAAGCGCTGATTAAACCTCACGAGGATTTGTTTATTATCGCAAAGAGGAAATTCCCCGGTAACTTTTATCGCAGTTAAACATTATTGCGCGGAAATTGCCAGAGGAAGCATGTTCCGATATACATAAGTGTCGCTCGAGGTTGTTACAATTGATCGCGTCCCTTTTAAGTCTAGTGTGCGTGGTTAGGGCTATCTTTTCGTCTTTGCTAGACATTTAGCACGACTTAATGCTTCTAAGATACTACCCGCTCGCTTTGATAAAAGACGATAACGGGTTCTAGTGTAAGTGCCGGCCTTCCCTCTACTCGAGCGCGTCCTAAGGTACTTTCTTTCATACCGCAGTATTAATTGCTGCAAAGCTCTTGCGTATTGCATTAAATCAAGCTAATTTTTTCGCGTCCGGCGCTCGTTAACCCTTACCTATAGTTGTTATTACGGTGGTGGCGAAATAAACCGAGCCGGCGAAACTCCATTGGTAAAGATCCGCGTCTATGTTTGCTTTGCTATCGAGATATTGGAGCCATTTCCCGATGTCTTCGTCGCTGATGTTGTACTTCTTTGTCAGTGTTTTGTGAAGAATTGTCATATTTTTTCGCATCTCTTGGTCTTCTTCGTATTCTAAGGCGCTGAAGATTGCCGCGCCGACCAAGAGATAAGATACGCAGCATATCGTTAACAGTATCGTTCGAAGATTTTGCGTTTTCATCGCGTCGCTTCACTCATCATATCTGTCAGCCGCAAAAATCACTTTGAATAGGTTCGTTTGGCGCGTAATTTTGCTAGCGATCTTCGTTTTTTTTAAGTCTAATGTTTGTACCCGAAAGCCTTGCACATTGTTGCACTAAGTGTCCTGTGATTGGCCATCCTTAAGAACTAATTTGAAGCAATTACGAATGTGTGGAGAGGGTAACTAAAGCGCCTGGTGGATACCAACTTGTGTCAACCACCCCAAACCACGCCCATTCCGTTGAACGTGCTGTCATTAGTTTTGCCCCTCTGAGCACATTTAAGCTTGAACTAAGTCTCCGATGTGAAATATAAAAGCGAAGTCTTCTGCCAATAACTTGCTGGACGCTTGTCACCGTTGGAGGTGTGTGCGCCAAGCAGCGCGAGGTTCAAAAACACTCTTGGCACAAATTAATTCAGCATGGCCCGCATTTGTGACGGTGACATGAGTTGCCATGGAATCCAACCTGTTTCGAGTTGGTTTTAATTCGGCGATTTAGTTATAAAGCGATTTATTTGAAAGTAGCTTAACTCGTTAACCACAGTTTTATATTTAAGAGATATTGAAATTTTATAATTTTACCGAGGCTTTTGGAAGAGGTAGAGAGCTGCGCTAGTTTAATGCAATAATAATAACAATTATAATGGAGATACTCGACAATTCTATTGCCCCTATTTTGAATTTAATAGCCTTGCTCATTAGTAAAGAAACCATCCAGGTAACATGAAAATTACAAGAAGCTTTAACACTGTTTCCTTTTCCTTTTCCTTTTTCTTCATTTAAATTTAGGAGCACTTAGCTTTGCAAATGTTATTAGTAAAACGCTCTACGTGCCGATGTGGTTGAGACAATTTGAATTTCTCGCAACATGATACAAGTTTGGGTTTTTCACGCAGAGAATCGCATGAATTATTTTGTTTTTCTCTATAATTTCCCCTTCATAAATTTTTCTCACTCGCAATTTTTTTCGCGGCTCTTGATATGCAAAAACATTATTGCCTTTTATCAATCAATACTTTATTGAAAAAGGCGAATTTGTATACACGCTAGTGAACAAGTTTTCATTTCAAGCCTGAGGCGTATGGAATTAAAGAATGAATCAGTTCCACTTCTGTCCTTCTTGTGTTTTTATTAGTTACTTGTAACTTTAAAGGAAGTTTTCGGTTAATAAAAAGATTCGCGTCGGACCTTTAATATTCAAACTAGTTAGGCATGAAAACGTTTCTGTTTTTTAATCACCACTTTCGGCATAGAAGAAGATAATTGCGCAAGATGTTATTTTTGATGGAATAAATATGACGTTTGACAGCAACGTGCGAGGAATGTCAAAATAACGTAATAGTGATGTATCTGTCCCGCCGTTTTACAGTGATTTTGGTCAGAAATCGCCAAGCCATCTTTCAACGAAACAAAATTACAGGTTTATTTTTATGTGTATCATCTGAGCCGGGCGAAGTATTACATGGATTATGTTTAATCCAAAATAGGGTTTTTCATTTATTCCGATTTAGCGGTCAAAAAAAAAGTTTCTGAGGAGGAAGAGATGAATTGTTAACGTTTATGTTTCAATTCAAACCTATTTATTGCTTACGCTTTTACAAGGGGCCCCTTAGAGACCAGTTCGTTCCCACGATCCCAATTTATATTCTCCTTAGTATAACTCATACATTTCTCATAAAGTTAATTCTGAGAATTTGCTGTCAGATCAATTAAAATTTTTGTGATTGATGTATTTCTTTATTCTCATCACTTGTTTCCTAGGCAATGTGGCGATATTGCAAGGAGAAATTATACTTCAATCACCTAGGAGAGACAAGGCCAAAGCAAACAGGACATTTTCAGGCGGCCGTTGATCCACAGACGTTTTCCAAGAAGTTTCTTTAGCCTTCGATTTTGTATAGATCTCTCAAATTAAATTATTCAGACCAGTTCAATTCTTGAAATTCCTCACTCTGGCATTTACTGACCGTGGGCCATCATGTAGCGGAAAAAAGATTTCCTGTCCACTCATCCTTAAACTTTGCGCGGACGACGAAATGAGAGAAAAAGCCTGGGAACTTGACTAATGTATTTATAACATGTACACCTTTTTGGCTGTAAGAAATGGAATTTCACGACGGAATGAGCTCAATAGATTCATAAAGAGTTAAGCTGGCGAATTTCTCTTACTTTTCTATGTGAAGTCGATATACTTTATGGAGTGTTAACTCGCATATTTTGAAGCAATAAAATGATCTAGTAGCTTAAAAACAATTCGCTGTCGAAAATTAATAAAAACAATTTTTCCTCATCTTTGTATTATTTTCACAGCACTCCACACCAATGATCGTAGTCGACGTAAAAGCTGTGGTTTGTTTCGCATGACTCGGAACAGATCTATTTGAGAAAAAAAGAAAAACGTTTACTCAACAGAGACTTTAAAGATCAACCTATTCCTCTTGATCTGATACTGCACGAGGTTAAGGTACAGTTCAGTTGCAGTCAGGTTTGATTAGAAGACGAAGCAAAGTGAATGTTACAGTGTTCCTCTTCTTTTTACCATCTTGACCTTAGAAACGTTTTTAGGTGTGTAAATGGATTTCTGAAGCGAATTTTTAAATACTTGATAAGTGTTTAAAATGGGTGAGTTCAAACTAAGACAAGACTTCCTTGCTAACAAGTTTGGTGTGACCGATTTCGTTGTTCAAATTGGTCATAGCTTCTCGAGAATTGAAGTATCTTTCCAACACAGAGGCCTTATGGGAGACTAGACCCACATCTGCATGAGTGATGTATGGCGCGTGGGATGGTAAAATTTAGGAATGGTCTTTGTTCGGTGTCCACATTTATTTCATCAGTGAATTTTCCCACGGATCCGAAATTTTTCATGTGAAAGCCGTGTGAAAAGCATTTGAAACACTTAAGAAAAATTCGATCCCTTCCCGAAAGTTTCTTCACAAGTGTTTCGAGTTGTTCTTGAAGCTTGCGCATGTAAAGACTAACTTTCATGCATGCGCTTTTGAGCCTAACCAAACCCAACAGGAAATTTTTAACTCAAACGGGAGACCTGAGAAATACTGACGGCGCGCGCAAAAAGTTGACTGCGCGCGCTTCTTTGTGAAGCAACGTCATAATGCAGTTCCTATGGTGATTTTGAAAACTGCTATGGTTGTCTGATATCAGAGAGAGCTTTACGCACAAAAACGATATCTTGCTTGTTATAGTCTCAAATTTCTCAGATAACTCAGTTTGCGTCAGAAGAAGTTTCAAGTGTATTATTAGACAATCGTAAACAATGAGGAAAGCTATACAGTCCGAGAAAGTGTTTTCTCTTCTTCTTGATACCATCAGTTCAGGAAAGTACTGGCGCTGTATCAGATGGTCCGACCAAGGAACAATTATTTTGATTACGAGTCCAAAGCTCTTTGAAAAAGAAGTGTTGCCAGGAGTATTGAAAGAGTTGAGGTTGAAAGACTTCTTGAGTTTTGCAGACGTTCTTTACAGAATTGGATTTCAGAGAGTGTTCACTTCAAGGCCATCGAAGGTTTACAAATTCCGCCATCCACTTTTCCAGAAGAACAGCAACGGTAATTGCGCCAGGGGAGAAAACGCGAATAGTGTTGCGCACTATGGTCTGCGACAAAATCGGAAGCGAAAAATGGTAGGCGAACTTCCACATAATTCTGACGGCAAAGAAATTTCAACAAAGGAAAGTCATTCAGAACTATCGGAGCCAGATCTTAAAAGACAGCGCAAATCAGTGGAAAGTTGTCCTGGAGAAAGAGTGAAAGGTGTCGACAAAGAAAGCAAGATTTTCAAGCAGGGTGTTAAGAAAAGTCTCGTTAATCAGTGCACTGCATTTACTGAGCAAAAGGGCAAGCAGCCAGTTACGAATCATATGTACAGCCCTTCAGAAATAAACGCTGCCCATGGTCTCCTCAGTCTGGCGTCGACGACAGCTGTGCAATTTGGAAACAACGTTTCCCAGATGGGAATTGAAGCCGCGAGAAGTTTATATGATTTGTTCAGCTCTACTGTTATCTTCAGGGAAAGAAAAATCCGCGAATTAGATGCAGCTACAGCTCTGTTGGAACTCTCACAGAACACAGTGAAAATCTTGCAGTGAATTTGTAGCTGGACGTTATAATATTAACAACTTATAGCATGGAAATGCTTTTTTATATTTATGGTATAGTCTCACAAATGTACTTGAAAAGAGCAATGTTTTGTTGATCGTGATTAAAATTTGTTTGCCCCATAAAATATGCATGTAAGGGGTAAAACAAAAATTTTCTCAGATTTGACTCTTTCTGTCTGCGTGTAAGTAACGCCTAACTAATGTCTTGGAGGTCGGGCTTGACTCCTGTCGAAGGATGAATTTTTGGAGGTTTCTTTTAAAAGTAGTATTAGGCCTCACTCGAACTTGAGCAGCATTATTTAAAAAATTTTATTGGGGAAGAACTTGCATAGATTATAACAATGACTTTTCTTCTACGATCCGTCCCATAACACACACATAGCTTTTCTATTTTATTTCGGTTGACGATCTACTTTGCCGATTATCTCACACTAACTGGTTGCCATATTTTGAGCCAGCCCCCCAAGAGAGAGGTGTGGTGGGGGGGGAGGGGGGGAGGGATGGGGGCATGGGCCGTGTTAGGAATTGGGCTGAGGAAAGACAGAGAGCGGGTCTTACCTCTGTTAACCCTTTAACCCCTAAGAGCGACTGGCATCTAATTTCTCCTTACAGTATCACCCCAAAATCACACATTAAGGTATAATGAGAATAAAGAAATGGTCACCAACTAGAGAAATTCTGGATTATGAAACAATTTCTCCTCATTAGTACCTCAGAGAATGTATAGGGAACAGTATGGAGAATATGCATACTGATGTTAGGGTGTAAAGGATTTATTAAGAAGCCTGAAGGCGCATTCAGCTCGAGCCGCTACTATCAGGTTCCTTGTTATCCCCTGGCTGGCTAAGGCCTGTCAACCAGACTAGGCACTCTGTGTCCTTCAGAGTGATCCTTCTTCTTTGTGAATCATTCTAACCACAATATCGTCATTTAATTTTTTGTTATGTATTTCTAAGTAGTTGACCAGAGATCCTCATGTCGTGTGCGTGATCCTTTTGTGGATCAAGAGCCGAACTTCCTAACCTGCTTTATTTTGAGACCCAGGTGTTGGTTCGGCTTAAAGCTACAACGCTTGGCTTCTCAGACGGCAGTTGCTGCTGTCATAGTTTTAGTCTCGAAGAGAATAACAGAAGTCATTTTTGTGCGTTTATGAAGTGAGCGAAAGTAAGTGGGGAAAACTGAAGCGAGCAGGTGGAATGAGAGGCGCGTTGGAAAGAGCGCGTTTCTGGTTTCTCGCATTCTCCTTTCCCAAACCTACAAAAACAAAAAAGCAAAAACAGAAAGAAAGTGGCTCTTGAAATGCCAACAAGCATGCCAATATGCACCCGAGCCTATATGAAGACCATACCCAGGTAAGAGTGCAATTACAGCTCGTGTTTCTGTAACAGTCTAACAAACCCGTGACTGGGGAGGAGTTTGAACTAAAGATCCAAACGGAGCGTTGAAGCAAAGATAAGACTGTTGACAGGCAGAAAGTCCCAGTCACCACTGCCATGAATCACTAGAATTTCGAATAATTACCCGTTCAAATGCGTCGGCGAGTGATCGAACAAGTTGTGTTTTTCATTTCATTATTGGTAAAGGCTCTTGTCTAAACCCAGACGATTTCCTTCAGAGCTTCTTTGTCCTGTCTGCATCGGAACCAAGAGAGGAGCACAGGACCGTTTGTTAGGTTGCATTATAAATAGGGAGGTCACGAAAAAATTAGCGTACAAATTTTGCGCTATATAAGTATTAAATTTATTATTATCATTTCGGTGCTATCGCTTGTTTTTAGCCCACATCCGGAATGGATGGGGAACTGGGCACTTTGCAAGGAAGGGCTGCTAAGCTTCAACATGGCGGACGGAGTGTTAAAAATGACAAAAATCATTATGGCAAGTAATTGATTTTAATTCGAAATGTATGGTGGTCCTCGTCGTCCGAACTTCTCGCCTTTTCAAGGGCGAGCGAGAGCACCTCATCCTAACTTTAGACCGCGCTTCGAGAATCCGGCTTCTCTTCCTCCTGGTCAAATGATTTATCCATCTCAAAGACAACGATTTCCATCCTCATCACAGAGGCAGCAGTTTATGAATAATCCTGGTCCATCAGGACCGAGACCAGGTTTTCAACCAAGACCTTTCCAGGCAGGTGGACCCAGACAACGCTTTCCACAAACGGAATATTCTGGTCAACCGAGATGGCCCCACAGGGTACACGGAAATAAGTTTAAAATTATATAAGTAAACTTGTCAGATTATTATTAATGATGCTGATCATCCATCTCGATAAAAATGGCAAACTAAAATCAAAAGCACAAAATATTGACCCTTTCACTTACAAGTATTGTATACTTGTTCTCTTTTCTGTCTACTGCACATTTCTCCTTATTTAGCTTTGATTTGATGTCAATTGAAATGAGGCCTCCCCCCCCTCTTATTTTGGGTTAGAAAAAGAGAGAATTGCTGAAGGAAGAAAAGCCAGTAGGGCAAGTGACAAAAAACCAGGTCCCCCCTTTTAGCTCAAGGTGTGGAACATCCCAACAGTTAAAAAACAGGCTTATTTTAGCTTGTTATCAGAGAAAGTTTTATTCAAGGGTTTATTGAAGAAATTTACTGACATTTTGGGGTTTTGAATATTGCGATAGTGATCATTAACTCTATTACAGTAAATTATTCCAACCTAGTGGTGAAATTTTATTTTGTAGTCTGATTATCTGCCTGAGAGTACTCCTGAGAAGGACTGATATTGGTAGTGGTTATTGTCAATATATTTCATAACCTTAATGGAGGTCATCATTGCACTCAAGTTATCTCTGAAGATTAATTCCACTAAAGTTGTGAAAAAGGAGGCGAGCATAAACATTCAAATCCTTCCCTGCCACTGGATGGAGAATTCAACTCCTGCACGCTTTGTAAATAGCCAACTGGTCTGCCTCCTACCATTTAGGATATCTGTTCATTTACGATATTTGTTTCCTTATTTACAGTGTCCCCAATTAGCACAGCAGTGCTAAAATACACTGACACTTAAATAAAGTTATTATTTATTATTATTATTTTAAAAACATTCACTTCTACAGCCATTACTACCAAAACAGTCATAATAAAATATAGGAAAATAAACACAGTCTGCACAGTCTGCAGACTGCATTTTAGCATGACTGCTACCAAAAGCTCTCTTGGGACTATTCTCACCCAGACTATCAGACTACATGACCAATTTCCCTATTTATTAAGCTTCTCCCCCCACCCCACCTCAGCTGAGTTTGGCTTAACCCTTAAACTCCCATGAGCAACCGAGACAGAATTTCTCCTGGCAATATCAATAAAATATCAAGCAATTAAGTGATGAGAAAAATAAAAAATATCAATTAGGGGATTATTAGTTGATCCAATACCAAATTCTCCAAACTAACATCACAAGAATTGTATGGTAGACAGGAATGAGATCTTGGGAGTTTAATGGTTAAACTGAGGATTTCTCAGCAATCTACTTCCTTTCATCTTGCAGAATACATTTTTTCTGTCACGCTAGATCAAGATTACACTTATCGGGCAAAATTACTTCCTCTTTCCTTCCTTAATGTCGATCACTCTTTCAGTTTTCATGGTGAAGTCACAGTTCATTTTTCATGTTATTCGCAGGGTAGAGGAGGCTTCAAGAGAAGAGACCAAGATTCACCGGGAATTGAAGCTTATTACAGGCACTCAATGGTTGAAAATCCATGGAGAGAGCTTGAAGAAAAATACAAAGACAGAATTCAACAAGAATGAATGGCTTTTGAACTGTTCGCCATTGTATACGAACATTTTTTAAAGAAAAAATTTTTTTTTGTATATATTTAAAAAAGAAACATTTGTGAAACATTTGAGGAAGTTTCAATTATCTTAGCTTTCTATGTACACAATGCTTCTTTGAAACCCTGAGAATAGTGCGAATAGTCTTTGAAAGCACACTTATGTTGATTTAAGTTTAGTTTGCCAATAAAAATCAAGTTGCTGGCATCAAAACAATATTTTTAACTTCTGCTCCAAAGACTCCAAAAATGATGATGATGATGATGATGCTTCTGATGATGATGATGATGATGATGAGGATAAGAAAATTAATGAAGAGAATTATAGTTAAAACAATGATAATGAAACAGATAACAGGGGGTGGGTGAGGGGGAGGCTATAAACATTGTGCACTTCTGACCATACAGTCATCTTACTTAATAAGTGATTTTCTGTGGGAAAATGGCAATACATTTGTTTCTACCATTTCAAATAAGAGGACAAGTAATAAAATTATCTTTGTAGGTGAGATGCATGTAAAGAAATTTCAGAAAAAGAGTGTGAGTGTAAAGGCATGGGATTTGAATCTTTCAAGTGTTATCTTTCTCTAAAAGTATGTAACTTCTAATATATAGATTTAGGCAAGCCTAAAAGCGGAGCTTGCATTTTTTTTCCTGCACATCTCTTCAGCAAAACTAAAGCCCCTACTATGGATAAAGTGCGTGGTAATATTAATGGATTTTCATTTGTAACTTCTCCGTGTCTGTGTAGAGGACTGATTATAAGATAGTGCCCGTGGTACAGTTGGCCGCACATGCTAAAAGTAGCACCTTGTATGGTTGTACGGTCGTACGGTCGTACATCCAAATTTTTTCAGCTTGATGGGTTACTACTATTTTATATAATTATGGGGCTACGCTCTGTGAGCTCTGCTGATAATGCTGTGCATTATTCGGCAAACAGGTATTGAGAATACTCTAACTTATCAGTTATTTTGATTTAACACCAAATTCTCATCACTAGTTTACAAGGAATTAGGTAACAGCTAGAGGGGAGATTAACAATCATCTTGGGAGTTCAAGGGTTAACTGAATATTATCAATGAGGATCATGTTCTTTTCTTGTATATTATCTGCTTGTCAAATTGTGAATTTTCATCTAATTGTGCTTAAAATAAGAATAACTGGCTGAACAGGAAATGTTTTGAACATTTGAGATACATTTCAGATAAACTGTTATTGGATATAAACTTGTGTTGTACCCAGACCTTCCACGGCCGATTTCAGTTTTACGGTTGGATCGGGGTACGAGATTTGACATGAACAAAGGATGAGAAAATGAAATGAAAATGCCTAAGGCAATCTTCTTAATTTGTCTATCATGATAGACTCAAGCTAGACTCCCAACATTTTTGTTTCTCTCATACTCGTCTTTGATGCATAGCCTTGTAGTTTATCGTTGTCCTCTGCAATTTGTCTGACAACATGCCCTCCATACCTTAGCTAAAAACTTTCAACCGGAAATGCTAATTTCCTCGTGGAGTCAGCTCGTAAAAGCACATGACGTAACCGGAAGTGATAATTGACCAATGAGGCCTTACCCCTGCAACTTTCGGTGGGAGCCCCCGAGGATATGTAGAACTCGTGGCGACAGACTTCCTCTCACCTTCGAGAAATCGTTGTCGGTTACGGTCCGTATTAAGTATTTTCAACGGCTTTTTAGCGTTCTTTTTCTTCAGCGACGCTAAAAGCCGCCAAAAAAATTCATAAAAAGTAAAAAAAGGTTCAAAAAAAATTTAAAAGCGGAGAAAATCTTGAAAAAAATTCGAAAATCTTGAAAAAATTTCCAAACAACCCTGTTACAAGCAACAGTCATCGCAACTCAAGTAAGTGAACCCAAAGAAGTTTGAGGAAGATGAATCCCAGCACTACTGGCAATCCGAACTATCCCGTGGCGTCTCTGTACGTCGGTGATTTGGCAGCTGATGTCACTGAAGCTATGCTGTTCGAGAAATTCAGCACAGTCGGTCCTGTTTTATCCATCCGAGTTTGCCGTGATATCGTTACCCGTCGTTCGCTTGGTTATGCTTACGTGAATTTTCAACAACCGGCTGCTGGTGAGAATGAAACTTGATTTAGGTTTTCTAAGTTGAAATCGGATGTTTGACTTCTATGTACGCGAAATTTAGTTTTTAATTTGATCGTCTGTTCATTCCGTAGCGGAGAGAGCCTTAGATACCATGAATTTCGATCCGATCAAGGGACGACCTTGTCGAATCATGTGGTCTCAGCGCGATCCTTCTCTTCGCAAATCTGGTGTCGGAAACATTTTCATCAAGAATCTTGACAAGAGTATCGATAACAAGGCTCTTTATGACACCTTCAGTGCTTTCGGAAACATCCTCTCTTGTAAGATTGCTAACGGAGAAGACGGAAACTCAAAGGGTTATGGCTTTGTACATTTTGACGACGAGGATGCTGCCGAGAATGCAATTGCTAAAGTTAATGGCATGTTGCTTAATGACAAGAAAGTGTAAGTAAATCTGTTCGATCTTTATTTTCGTTTTCACAGCCATTGCCATCAAGTTTTACTCATACATAAATATAAAGCACAGTTTACAGCAAACCATAAGTACACAGATCAACGAAACATTAGGCAAACCTTCGAGAAATTAATTTTGACTATTTTTGTTGGTTTCATGACGGAGATAACACGTTATCTTTAAAATAATAGGTATTCAAGGTATTGAAGTGAAGCATAGTCACGAAGAACTAGTCCACCTTTTGATCTGTACTTTTTAGCACTTATTCAAGGGTTTGAAACAATGAAACTTGCGGTTGTTAGGGTTGTTCAAAGACTAGTTATTGTCATGATACAAGTGAAATTTAAACAATGGCTTCCTCACAACTCGTGGTGGGTGGAGAAATCCGGTTATTGCGAAAGAGGCATCTCAACAAGATGTATGGAATACCAAGTTTACAAATGTAGCTTGCGTTAATCACATTTCCCATACCTTGTGAAATAAGAATAATCCTGTTCATTGCCAAAGTTGTTATCAGTTCAACTCCACCCCATGTTCTTATTATTATATCTGAGGGTGGGTGTCTATCATCCACGAGAAGCATGTCCTGACTGATTTTTCTAAGTTTGGTTTTTATTAAACAGCTACTCTGCAATTCTGTAGATTTAGATTTTGAAATAATATGGTTGTGGGCTTGTGAAGTTCCTTGGACTTTAAAGAACAGGGGCCATGACCAGTATGTCAAGATCACTTCTGATGCAGTCATAAGTTAACAACAAGCTTTGTAATTACCGATTTAATCTTACAACCAGGGCAGATTTTTTCAAAAGATGATCATTTTTAAACAATTTTTCTCTGACTGGTTGATAGTAAGGAAATAGATAGAAAATTGCAATGCAATTTAATTTTGACTTAACTGGATATCTTGATCTAAGACATTAGTAGTCACCAAAAAATTCAGGTCTTCTTGTGTTGCCCTGAGCTCATATAAGTACCCAAACTACAATGAAGGGGGAACAGTAACTGTTTTATTTTAAATGCATATTTCCCAATTCTAGTTTTGCCACGAAATGGATGTCCCGAAGAGAGCGTCTAGAAAAACTAGGAAACCAACCAAAGAAGTTCACCAATGTATACATCAAGAATTTTGGTGAAGACATGACTGATGAGGGGTTCAAAGAGCTCGTTGATGAATTTGGAAAAATTCTGAGTCTCAAGGTGGTTATTAATGATCAGGGACGTTCCAAGGGATTTGGTTTTGTCTCCTTTGAAACACCAGAAGAAGCTCAAGCAGTAAGTGATCAGTTGAAGCTTGTTGGCTCATTTGCAGGCTTTTAGACATGTGGCCAGCCATCTTATGGATAGCCACTTTCTTGGAGAATATCAAATAAGGGGAGATCTTAGTGACTTTCAGTCAATTATTTCATAATATTTTAATTGAGGGAAAAACTAGTAAATACAACTGACTCTCTCACTATTGGAAAAAGGGGGTAAAATTTCAATCAATTTTAGGGGTTTTTTTGCAGAGAAAACAATATATTTTGCATTCAAGTATGTATTAAGTGATCAGCAAGTTTATCAGCTAAAAATCATGGAAATGAACTGTGGACACTACTGATTTTCATCATTTTCAGGGGAGACAAGACCCTAGACCCCCCTTAGCAGGATGGGGTGGACAGCCACTTTTTTAATCCTGGCTTAAGCCTACTTAAATGACTACTTAATCGCATGTTACCACCAAGCTTTTGTTGTTGTTTGAAGGGGTGGATAATGCAGCGCATTTTGTCAACACTTATTGGTTGGAGCAATGCATCTGTTGGATAGTGTTATCTGCACTTTTATCAACTGGATTCTGATATAAAAATGTGTGGCCTTCATTTTTTTTTTTGTGTAAACATGTTGGAATATTCATCAGTGGGTGACTTCTATCCCTAGTGGCAAACAGTTTTCCTAGAGAAAAGCATGCTTCTGCTGTTGTTTTTGATAATTCTTCAAATATTTTTTTCTAGCTTGGTATAGTATTTACCTCAAGTAATTCTGTGAAAATTGGTTAAAGCTAAGTGCAAGTTTCATGGGTGGTTCCTTGTTCAGGTCCCAGTAGTTCGAAAAGGGAGATAGTGCTGTCCAACATATAAAAATTGCTTTGCAGTTGATAAGAGATGAATATGGGTAGTACCCTATCCACCAGGTAGAGATTTACCTAGTGCATAGGGTCATCCACTCCTTTAGCTGTTCCAGTATTAGCTGCTTGGCTTCAGTGCAGGCTTTTCATATAATGACTATGTATAGTTAAGCATCCATTCTTCACAATTTGCAGTGTGTTGATAAACTCAATGGAAAAGACTGGAATGGACAAAAGCTTTATGCAGCTAGAGCGCAGAAAAGAGCTGAAAGACAGATGGATTTGAAGTCTCAGTTTGAGAAGAGGAAGATCGAGCGTATCAATCGTTATCAAGGCGTCAACTTGTATGTGAAGAACTTGGATGATACCATTGATGATGTGCGCCTTCGTGAGGAATTTACTCCGTATGGAACCATCACCAGTGCTAAAGTAATGATGGATGAGAAGAACAATTCCAGGGGTAAGTTGCTGTATCATGCTCAGGTCTCTAGAGATAAAAGACAGTGACATTAATTTTTCTGTTTTTTGGGGTTTGGGTTATTGTAGACAGTTGACCTAACTGAAAAGTAGTTTCATTTCTAAATTCATCTGGTCTAAAGAGTGTCTTTAAAAAGTTCTGTTAGTGAACATATTTACTTGATTGTTGTACACAGTACAAGGCCAATTTTCCTTCTCCCTTTTGTCTCAATCATCATTCACCTTTGTTGAATACAAAATTTATTCATTGGTATCAAAGTTCAATCTGGATAAGGGTTTATGGTCATTTCGATGCTGTATGCCAAGCAATATCAACTTTGATTTTTGGTCATCATTCCCTAGGTAATCAATGTTTGACACTTGTTTTTTCTCATCACAGGGTTTGGTTTTGTGTGTTTCTCTGCTCCTGAAGAAGCCACCAAAGCTGTAACTGAGATGAATGGAAGGATTCTGGTATCCAAGCCTTTGTATGTAGCCCTGGCCCAGCGCAAGGAGGAGAGGAAGGCTCAGCTTGCAGCACAGCACATGCAACGTATTGCTGGTTTGAGAATGCAACAGGTATGGTATGACAAAGTGACTAAGTATTTTCTATCTGTTGTTTAGTAGAGGTTCCTTCATGTGAGCCCAGGCGATCTTACTTGGTGTGTATTAAGGTTCTGGGTTTGACATCACCTGTCTTTTTCCTTTGTAAGATTTTAATGAGTTGATTTTCAGCTGGTCTTTGAAATCTTGCATTTTTTGAGAGGTATTTTTTGATCAGACTAAAAGATTCCCTGAACAATGAAGCTTGTTTACTGGAACAAAAGTAGAAAGAAGGTACCCTGGTCATCTTGACAACCAGACTGAAATTTTCCTTTGAATTTTTATCTCAGGAAAGTTTTCAATTTAAAGGAAGAAATAGTTTGTCCAGCTTGGTGGGCCAGCTAAACTCCCACTCTTGTTGTGGAAAATGTGAATGAGTTATGGTTCTGAAAAGTATCAATTCAATTTTATTTGTTAGCAATACAATATTATCACAGTCCTAGGTGACCCGCAATTAGCAAGCTATTCTAGGCGGGCCACCCTTCTAAAACAAGTGCTGTCTCTGCTAAGGATCACATACCGATACAATTAAACAAAGATAATCATTAATAAAAATACAAAACGAAACGAAAAATTATCCAAACTTGATTAAGATTAGCGGAGCTCGTAAAGTAACGTCCGTCCTGACCAACTCACCGCTGACCAGTCCCAGTATCTTAAGAGTTTAGATTACCAGTCACTGACTCTTACCTTCTCAAGTCCCCTAAACCTTGACTTGAATAAGTTAGGAGTCTTTACCACAGACTCCATTTTATTATTACGTATTTTCCTACATAAACAATAGTTAAGTGCAAGGACTGATGTCTGATCATGTCCAAGGGAAGTGTGGCTCACTGCCCAGCGGTTTATTGTTACACCCTTGTCATTTCTAGGTGTGGACAATTGATAATGGGCAGAAAGTTTGCCTGTGCTTCTGCGATAGATTGCTATGTAAACCTGGCACTCTGTCAGTCCAATTGCAGGAAAATTGTCTTAAACGTAATTGTTTGGTTTTTGTCTAAGCTGTCATATCTGGGCCTTTTTCTCAGCATGGCTACATGCTTCTGATTCATGGAACTGTCGTGCTTTGGAAACATCAGTAACTCTTTTTTTAAGAGCCACTTTAGCTTGGATGATCAGACAACATGGTGATATGTTTCTCCTGCATACAGACTACAGTATCTGGTTTAGTTTTGTTCACATAATCTCTTTTTCTATGCAGGCGGCTGGTCAGCAGGTCGGACAGGTTTTTCCTCAAGCAGGAGCATTTTACATGCAGCCTTTGACTCAGGTAATGAGACTTGGCATAATGCAAGTGAATAACAGGCTGTCTTGTCTTGATATTGTTGAGATGGTAATTTGGAGGAGAGCATGGAATAAGGACCTGAGTGATGTTTCATAAAACCAAATACAAGACAATTGGAAAATAAAAGAAATGTCAGAAGTCACTGGTTTTTTTTTCTTTTTTTTTTTTTTTTTCTTTTTCATGCACTCTTGCATTTGATAGTTGCATTAATTTTTCAAAGGCTTAAGACTAAAAGATGAAGAGAAGGATTTTTTTATCATTCTGAACCACAGAATGCTTTTGTTAGGAGAAGTACCCAGTAGATTTTAAAGGAGCTGGCTGGCTCAACCCTTAATTTTCCCAAGGTAGTGAAATGTAACTTCAAACAACATTAACACATTATCCAGAAAAAAGCAATCATTTGTACTTGCAAACTTAACAGCAAGAGCATGTTACCTTGGTATGACACTTTGTGCACAAAAAGTAAGACTGGTAGAAGGGAGAATTGCTAATTAGACATTAGAATATCAGTGTAGGAAGACTTTGATTTAATGATAAAAAAGATGCTAATGTGAATGTTTTTTCTTTCTTCTTTTTTTTTCCCACCAAAGGCTGGGCAGCGCCCCTTCTTTCCACCACAAATGCAACAAGTACGCCCTCGATGGCAGCCAATGCAGCCACAGCAGCAAGTGCGACAGCCTGGGATGCAAGGAATGCCAGGAGCAGGACAGGTTCCACGTGCCAGAGGCATCCGTCAGGTTCCACCCAGAGGAGTGCCTGGCCAGCAGCAGACTGCAGGGGCTGGAGGGCCCAACCAGCGTGTGGGAGGAGGCATGGGCCAAGCACAGCAGGTACGTGGTCCTGGCATGCAGGGTCAGGGCCAGAGACCTACCTACAAGTTCCAGCAGAATGTTCGTAACCAGCCAGCACAGGGACACCCAGCAGGAGTGGCCATGCAACCACATGATCAGGTTCAACAGCCCATCGCTATCCCAGTGAGTATCTTGTTTAAATGTTTTTTCCTTATCAAGTCTTCAACTTGGGGTAATAATCTTTTAGAAGAAAACATTGATGTCTCACTGTTGATTTTTCAAAGCTTAAAGGGTAAAATTGTTTTTTTTCTCTTTGTGGAGGAAAAAAAAAGGAGGCTGAAATGAGGAAAAATTTTGAGAGAAATAGGTCGTTTAATTGCTCCTCTGTACTTAACAATTTTTTATCCAGCATTAACTGTACAATGTTCAAATGCTCTTGGGTTTGGGTTTCTTCTCCTTTTTTTATATACTAAGTTTTATGTACCATCACTTCTCCTAGTTGGATTTAATTTAACTTGTGTTTACTGATTTACAAACTATCGTGTATGTTATTTATTGATTATTTGGACCCTTCTCTTTTTAGGGACAAAACTCCATTGATCCGAGCCAGCTTGCTGCAGCCTCCGCTCAGGACCAGAAACAGATGTTAGGAGAGCATTTGTTCCCACTGATCCAGCTCACCCACCCTGAACAAGCTGGAAAAATCACTGGCATGTTGCTGGAGATTGATAATGCTGAGTTGCTGCATATGTTAGATTCACGGGAAGCACTGTCCGCCAAGATTCAAGAGGCAGTGTCCGTGTTGCGTGCCCATAATGCCAAGGAAAAGTCCACCGAGATGAAGAACTGAAGCTTTGTGTCTGTCCCTCAAGGTTCACTTTTAACCGGATAAGACTTAAAAATTTGAAGAAACCATTACCTGATTTTGTTTTCTTTACCATGGATTTGACGAGTTACTTGAATGATCAATAAAGTTGTTTCATCAATTTAAAAAGTATTTCATAAGTTTCCTTTATTCTCTGTGTTTTTGTTATCCTCTCCCGGCATTTAGAGTTAAGAATTCTGTATTCTGCGGATTTAGTCAAACCTTGTAATTTTGTTTCGTTCTCTCCACCTCTACCGGAAAACATTAAGGTTCAAAATAGAAAAGAGTTTGTCTCAGACGCACGCTGGAACCTCGTCGATTGTACAGCTTAGCTCTTGTTCAAAGCATCGAGTACGAGTACCCTCCCTAACCCAGCGAGGAAATGTCTAGTCCCGTGAACTGTGGAGGTGAGGTGCAAGGAAAAATGTCCTCTACAAAATTACTGCATTTCGAAGTTAAGGAACCTTAGACGATCTGAGTGTCCCAGCCTGTATGAAATACAATCTAATATAAATTTTATCTGGATACGGCTATCATTAACCTTGCGTATGAAAATTATCAAAATTATGAAAGAGCATTCGTTGGTGTGTCTTACAGTAAACGACTAGTCCAAACCAAAAAAGTAAGTGATCACAGGGATCCAAGGAAAACTCTGGAAAAAAAACAAATCTGAATACCCGCCTCAAGCGCGTGATTGCGCGCGTGATTGCACGCGTGTACGAGACTGGAATGGGTTTAGGGTTGCGAATGACCGGAAATCGAGGAGCAGAATAGGTTGAACCGAGCTACATGGCCCTTGATCAGCCCAGAAAGCTCACACGATGCAAAGAAACGAACACAGAAGCGAGATAGGGTTGTTTTAATTCAATACCATTTCGGATTTTTTGGTTTGGAAAGCGATCGTTTCTTCCCTTACAAATCCTTCTATTTGGCCCATAAAGCAACGTAAAAATTCTTGCATGATAAGAGAAAAGTTGTTTGCATTTATGACCGGCTCGAGAAAGCAGCGGCTTCGCGCCGCATAATACAATTTTGGCGGGAAGAGATAACTGGCTGTGATTGGCTTACAGCTGTCAGCGCGTTTTGGCGGTTGACTCAAAAGTTTGATTCAGCGTCAGCCTCACCACATAATAACAACATCGACCAAGGAACATACGTGATCTTTGGGTCTGCAGCAAATCTACTACAACATTTATTAGTCATGGAGGAAACAGATAGAGATCAGAAGAAAAAGAGTATCATCCCTCAGCTGCCAAGCTGTTTCATGTCGCCAGAAACGCCGGGCAATCTTCTACGTGATCGCCTGACTCCTTGCTTCGACTCGCCATCGTCAATTTTCCCCACTCCACCTTGTTCGCAAGAAAAGGAATCGATCTCTCATTTTCATTCGTTAGCCCTTGATGAATTTCCTAGGCTTAATTTTGAGCTTGATGAGAGCGATCAGGAGAAATCTATGCAGCAAAGCCTTCATCGGTCACCTTTGATGCCAGAAGACCGTGTTATCGGAAGGCTGATTGGAATAAAAAGCGTGGATTTCATCTCCGATCTTTTAGCAGTAAACGGCAATAAGATTTGCCAGAGAATCTGCAGCTATCTGGAACCTCTTGAGCTATGCAGGCAAGATTTTAACTTCTTCTTTGTTGTTTTTGAAATTGGTCGTTATGTCGTCCATAATCGCTGCCAATATGAATCATGCATGAATGAAAATCACTTACTGCGATCCCTTGCGGCAGCCCTAAATTGATTTAATGGATGTCCCGCTTTTTACTGCCGATCAGCCATGCTCTTTCGTTTTTAACTAGTATTTTATTGTACCTGACATTCATCAGTTTTCTATTTGTGTCTAGGTTCGCCTCCGTGAGTCGAACATGGAGGAATGTTGTGAAAGGAGACACAAAAACGAGTCAGAGGTGGAAAGGATTCCTCAGAGATTGTAAGGACCATTGTGCTCTCAAGGGAAAGGTAATCAGTCAAAAATATATTTTTGTTGCGTAACCTTAAATTTGTAAATCATACTTGCGGCTGCTTAAATACCCCGGTACTCGACTCAGCTAAAGAAGCAGAGAAAACACTTGTATTTCAAGTAAACTAATATAATAATGAATAAAGGGGTAAGTTTCTAAAGAAACTGTGGTGCTGCGTCGGTGGGAGAGTATTACAGGGGTAATTTTAGTATTATCAACCGAGTTGATAACTGACTGTGAATATAAAAAAATCCTATTCACGAGCTGATAACGTAGATTGACCACTGTAAAGAGTTTAAAAGCTTCTAAACTCTTTACGATGGGCAATTTCCGTTATCAACTCGGTCGATGATACTAAATTACCCTGTTATAATAGAAAACAAACTGCTAAGCTTGGTACTTAGAAGCAGCCATAGTTATAGCCAAAGAAACTTCAGAGATGGGCTTTTTACTCATTTATCCTCCATTTCAGTTTCATTCCATTTATCTCAACTAAATCTCATAAATTATCTCTGGCAAGATTGAGAGAGTAAAGATATTACCTTGATGAAAAGTTTGTAAAATATTTTAAAACTTTTAGTCGGGGCTATGGACCTACATCCCAAGAGTTAGATGCTGTAGCTAATAAAATAATGTGTAAGTTCACTCTCCGATATTTATCTCTTGCAGGAGAATTATGGTGTGCCTACTTCTCAGAGGTCAACTTCTAATAATCTTAAAGGATTTCCATTAAAAAGTGTCGACATCAATAAACCTGAGAAAAAGATCTCTAAACTACCTGCACTTGACAACCAAACTACAACCCCAGTTTGTTCCCATCCAGCATCACAACAGACACTTGAACTGAGACCTTGTCCAAAATGCGTCTCACCTTCATATCTGTCACAAACACAAGGTCACTGTCAGTGTCAGAAATGTGGACTAAGATTCTGTTCAGTTTGCCTAAGAGAATCTCATCATCATCATCTTCAAGGTGAAAGCCCATGTGACGGACTACCTAAAAACAGTGGAATGGCTCTAAGACTCAGATCTAGAAAAATCAACAATGACAGTATTGGAAGTAAGAAAACTAAAGATAGAGTTCGACGGCTTTGACACACATTTTAGCATACATTTTGTAAATTTATGCTGTAGGCTTGTTAGGGTAATTTTAAATAGGTAGTTTTATACGAATTTTTATAGAGTTGTGCATATATCTACTTAAGATTTTAGTTAGTTCATTTTTATAATTGACAGTCTTTCATGTCTTTTTGCCAATACAAAAACATGTTGAGTATTGATTTTAGTCAAATTTTGTGTAAACATGTTATAAAACTGACTTCACTCATTTCCTTCTACTTAGAAAATTAATTGAAATAACCATGTTCTATCTTTTTTAATGGGCAAGTAAATGCAATAATACAGTTAGAAATATCTCTTATGGTCTTGAAGTCTCACTTCTTCTTCATGCCTGGCAAGATGGTTCCAACGTTCTCAATAATCTTTACTAACTTCAAGGAGTGCCTGGAATAAAAACCCTAGTTGACTTTATACACAGCTTCTATATCTCCCTCTGTTGACAAGGGGGTACAAAGCAAATTAAGAGGAGAATTTACTGGTCTAACAGAGGTCATTCAAGGCCTTTTTTTAGCACCCCTCCAGTCATGGGGTCAGGGGTGATGTTATAATGTATATTAAAGTAGCCTTCCTGATGGGATATTTAGCAATTGACCATACTTTTTATCACTTCATGAGACATATTGGGAGGATAAGAAGGTACAAGCCAAAAGGGGATTGATTTAAAAATTTCATCTTAGATCATGCTGACTTTTCCTCAGAGTGTGGAAAAGTTGCCTTTTCCTAATGAAAATAACTAATCCATGGACCTCTAGAGGTGCCTTGCATCCAATTTCTCCTTAAAATATCACTACTGAATCCCATATATTTAGGTCATGACAATAGAGGAAATGAACACCAACTAAAGAAGCCCTTGATTGCCAGAAATATTCTCCTTATCAGCACCTTAAAAAATGTCTAGAGAACAGTATGGAGAATATGTATAATGATGTTAGGTTATAACAGGTTAACAAATTTTAAGAGAAAGACTCCTGAACACCCTTACCAATGATTACCTTTGGCTTTTGCCAGAACAACTTCTGTACATATCCTAGATCTAAACCAGGTCCCAGGGCATACATAACACCCTTATTATAAATAGAGTTGTTCATTATATAAGTCTACATTTTATTTTTATCATTATTATTATTATTATTCATCTCACACATTCATTCTTTCCATTGAGTTCGTAGCAACAATTCACACTCTTGTTTATAGACCTAGTTCATCCTATGAAAATAATTCTTCTCCTCAATTTGATTCAGGGTTCGCTATCAAACCATATTTTTCTTTCAGTTTTAGAGATTTTGCCAGAAACTCTTTCTCAATGCCTTCCTCTTCTTTATCCATTTCTTTCAAAAACTCATCCCATTGTTTTTTGGACTTTTCTTTGATCTCATCACGTCTCTTCTTTCTAGGATCCTGTTCTTCCCTCTCCAAAATATTATGACATCGCTGCCTTGCATCTTTTAGTTGATCTTGCACATCATTCAGCAATTCTGCTAGTTGAACGCACTCGGGGATTTTAGACTGAATTTCATTTGCTTTCTGAGACGCTTCTGTCAGTCTTAACAGCTCTCTGTCATTTCTTTTACCTTCAAATTCACGAATTACGTATTTACATTCATTCTGCATGACGGCCCTGTGGTCAAAAAGTCGAGAATAGATTCCACAAACATCACGAATCGCCTTTTCGCCCGCCATATTGGATTTGTTTAGCTGCCTATTTTTAAGGGGGGTATACTGACATATCCCCTGAAAATATCTTGCATCAGGAAATTCAATAAAGTAAAGAGAAGAGAAATCGAGAAATCGTAAAAAAAAAAAAAATAAAACGGAACGAAACCAAAGCTTGTTGCAATACCGATTTATTTTTTTCAAAGCTGACGGGGTTATATATGAATTATTTTATTTTATTTTTTTGAGGTTACCTCTTCCCACCCTAGTCAAGTACGAAAATTGCTCCATTTCTTTGATGCCAAATTAGGCCGTCACCATATTTGGGAAGTAGATTTTTTGGCGCGAAATCTGATCACGTGGTCAAACAGTTGCTTGCAAGTCGAAGCTTTGATCAGGTACCTTCTGGCGATAAAGAGCACAAAATTTGGACAGATCGTGGCACTAAATTATGGCTTTGGACAATGAACAGTACCTACGACAACTCCAACGAGAGTACCTTGACTTCCTGGATGACGATGTGAGTAGAGGGTTGCTTATTTTTGGATCAAATCCTGCGTGTAGTCTAGCTGTGCGAAAGAGCTTGTCTCGCACATGGTGAACACACCATTTCTGATTGATTTCCGTTAGTACGTCCGCAAATTTCAGTCGGTACATAATTTTTTTTACTTTTAGTGATGAATTTGTGACTGTTAGCTTGCTATTTTTTTTCAATAAAATGTTAGAGACATCCATGCCGATGAAAGGTTTATACAACATCACATGTTCAGTTCCCGGGAAATTTTAATTCCTGTACACGACCTTATTTGCATGATTTTCACCATCAACAATTTCTGTCGATCTCCATCGTGGAACCTATCGTGGCATCTTTTAGTGAAATGAATGCTTATACCATAACTACATTTATGGGTCATGTATACAGGGCATCTTTTCCTGATGCCGAATTTAAGTGGTTTCAATGGCTTTTAAGCCTTAATATGTATTGTTGTTCTCGCAGGAGGATCAAGGAATTTATCATGGCAAAGTTCGTGACATGATAAGCAGAAATGAATGCAGATTGATTGTAAACATCAATGATCTGAGGAGAAAAAACGAGAAAAGAGCTGTTGAGTGAGTTTAGACCATTAAAGTATTTTTGGTTATAAAATCCTACCATCATTTTGAATGAATTCCCGAATAAAAAAGTTACGAGGTGCAGCGAATTGAGATCAAGACCCTTGTGAGACTACATCTATATATTTTTTTGTTTTGCATGGCTTATGTGTGACTTCCTCAACACTCAACACTTCTTCAACACTTTGACTCCTAAGAGTGACCAAGACAATTTCTCCTCACAATATCAATACAATATGAAGCAGACAAGTGTTAAGAATACAGGAAAATATCACTTTTAGGGGATTATTAATTGATCCAATACCAAATTCAACAAACTCACATAATAAGAATTGTATGGCAGAAATTAAAGGAAATTACCAATGAGATCTTGAGAGTGAAGGGGTTAGTTTGGAAATCTCCTGGCTCAAACTATTCTCTCATGATTACCCCCTGAGAACACTTAATAATTACTGAATTGATATTCTTTTAATTTTTTCAGAATTCTCAACAATTCCTTTGAGGAGTTAATCGCATTTCAGGTATTTCTTCAAATTCTTAATTTTTATTTTCAATCTTATTCATTTATCAAAATATCAAAATACATTTAAAACTGGTGTTTTATTATTTAAGAGTTACATTTTCCCTCTTTAGAATGCCCTAAAGGAGTTTGTGAGCTCTGCAGATACAGCTTACGGCAGAAAAAATGAAGAGTTCTTTATTGGATTTGACGGAAGGTACTTTTATTGATTGTTTTTGAATAGAGGCTATATTCACCTTAAATTATGCAAAGTGGAGCAGTAGGCCATATTAGTTTAGTTGAAAATATTTTTTTTCTTTTTTGTAGCTTTGGTGCAAAGCATGTAACTCCTAGGTCACTTTCTGCTCGTTTTATCGGGAACATGGTCTGTGTGGAGGGAATTGTCACTAAGTGTAAGTTAAATGTTGATTGTTACAGTCGTTTTTAACCCTTTCACTCCCAAGATCTCATTATTAATTATTAATTAATCATTATTAACAGACCAGCATCTTATTTCAGCTTACAATATCACCCTTGAATTCATGAGAATAAAGGAAATGGTCAACAACTAAAGAGGCTGTGGATTGTTGAACAAATTCTCCTTGTCAGCACCTTAGGAAATGTATATAGAATAGTATAAAGAATATGCATACTGATGTTAGGGTGTAAAGGGTTTATGTGTTTAGTTTGAGCTGATTTGAGCCGGGCTTTGTCCACTGTCAAACATTCCAGAAGACAACCACAGGTGTTGTAGTTCTAATTTGTTTTTTTTTTATCTTATTTTCCAGGTTCACTTGTGAGGCCTAAAGTTGTACGTAGTGTTCATTACTGTCCTCAGACCAAGAAGACTTTGGTTCGTAGGTACACAGACCTGACTTCTCTGGATGCCTTCCCAACAAGTTCTGTCTATCCAACAAAGGTAATCTATGTCATTCATTTGCTGTTTAACCCTTTAAATCCTAATTGATTAGTGATTAGCATCTACTATCAATCCTTTGTATCATGGTAATTTCATTTTGATAGAAATTTATCTTGTTTCTTTAGGATGAAGATGGTAATCCGCTGGAGACTGAGTATGGTTTATCAACCTACAAAGATCATCAGACATTTACAATTCAGGTACAACTATAGAGATGCTCTTATGATAATCATTTATCATACATATGGCTTAAACTCACTTGTAACTGATCCCCTCACTTTTTTCTTCTTGTTTGAGATAAAGTACACTTGTCTAACTTTTTGTACCTGACTGCATTGTTAAAACTTATTGTAATGGCAATATTATTATTCCACATAGTTTTGTACACATTTTCAATCATTTTAGCTCTGAGAATTCTGTATTTATAGTCAAACAGCATGCTCAAATCAATACTTTTCTCTCTTCTCATGACCATTTTGATTTAAAATGTAGTTAATGTTGTAGAGAGAAATTTCTCTTTGGTCATTCCTCAGAGTTCAAAGGTTGAACTGAAATGGAGGTACATAACTAGTCTAGTCACAATTTGCTACCAACTCTGCTCAAACCATACCTTTGATTCATGCATATAGAGGCACCTGTAGAATTTTATTTATGTATGCATGTAATTATTTCACTCAGGAAATGCCTGAAAAAGCTCCAGCAGGGCAGCTTCCTCGCTCAGTGGACATCATTTCTGATAATGACCTGGTAGATAAGTGCAAGGTACATATTGTCATGGCCATACAATTTCATCAAAATTTTTGAGAATAGTTTGAAGAAGTTTTAACTTTCAATGCCTGAGCTTGGTTTTATTCCCCTGTAGCCTGGTGACAGAGTACAAGTTGTTGGAATGTATCGTTGCCTTCCATCAAAGAGAGCTGGATTCACCCCAGGAACATTTAGGTAGTAATAATGCCTTAACAAAAGAGCTTTCCTTTAACACTTTCACTATTATCTCATTAGTAATTCTCCTTACCATTTGCCATTTAACTATTATGATGTTAGTTCAGAGAATTTGGTATTGGATCAACCAATTATCCCCTGACAGATAAATTATTTTCTCTTTATTCCTATCCCTTGTCTACTTGATATTGTATCAGTGTTGTAAGAAGAAATTCTGTCTTGGTTACTCTTGGTCCACTCTTGAGTGGAATAAAGAATAACTGCCTTTGCTTTTTTGTAAAATTTATAATGGTATTTCTGTTTTATTTTCAACACAGAACTGTTCTTATTGCTAACCACATCCATGTATTGAGTAAGGAAATTGCTCCAAATTTTTCTGCTGCTGATGTGTCCAACATTAAGAAGTTCAGTCGTCGCAAGAAGGTTTGAAAACACTAATAAATAAAAAAGTTTGCCTATCACATTCTTTATTTTAAGTTGGAAATACATTAAAAAATTATCATATTTAACTCTATGTTTTTTTACAGGATGTATTTGAAATGCTTGCCCAGTCCTTAGCTCCATCTATTCATGGACATGAGTACATTAAGAGAGCAGTGTTATGTCTGCTGTTGGGAGGAACAGAGAAAGTCTTGGAAAATGGCACAAGACTGAGAGGGTACATGTGGCCTATACCTACTTGCTTTTCAGTAGATTTTTGAAATTGATTGAGATTAATGGTTGAAAATAAGGGTTTTTTTCCTTTTTTGGTATTTTGAATGTGAGAGTGAAGATCTAATTGCTGTTTTCTTTGTTAATGTTCTCCTGACCATTATTAACTTTAACCCTTTAACTCCCAGATCAAATTTGTAATTCTCCTTACTGTCAACCATACAATTCTTATAACATTAGTTTAGAGTATTGCATCAACTAATTATCCCCAAATTGATAATTTTCTTTATTCTCAGCACTTATCTGGTTGATATTGTAAAGATGTTGTAAGGAGAAATTCTGTCTTGGTCACTCATGGGAGTTAAAGGGTTAAATATATTTGTGGTGTTAATGAAAGTGATCCTCGCAGTAATGTGCACTACTTGAGCAGTAGTGAAAAAAAGGCCTGAAAAAAATTCAGGCCTGTATGGGATTTGAACCCATGACCTCTGTGATACTGGTATCACAGAGGTCATGGGTTCAAATCCTTTACAGGCTTGAATTTTTTTTTTTTTTTTTCAGGCCTTATTTTCACTACTGCTTAAGTAGTGCACATTACTGCGAGGATCACTTTCATTCATGTCTTTATCCGCAGTTCAAATATATGACTTGCATATATTCTTAGCCATTTATATTTTGTGGTCACAATTTCTAATCAAAATGTTTTTTTCCCTAATTTTTGTAGGGACATTAATGTTCTGCTGATTGGTGATCCATCTACTGCTAAGTCACAGATGTTAAGGTAACAAAAAAACTCATAATTTTTACTCGACTTTTTTTCCAGTTTGTTTATTTAACAGTTAAAATGTAATAGTGTTGGTGTTTTATCTGAGAAACATCTGAGAGTGTAGGAGAAGCTTCTCAATCAGTTTACTTTACAAATGACTTGAATTAAATAAAACTGTTTTTTTTTTAATATTTAAATGTAACCTAGTTCCCACAAGTGTCTCTGTGTCAATGCATAGATGAAATTGTGTGAGAATTCATCAAATTTGTCTTGTTCAGGTATGTCCTCCACTCTGCCCCACGTGCCATTCCAACCACTGGGCGGGGTTCATCAGGAGTTGGTTTGACTGCAGCTGTTACTACAGACCCTGAAACAGGTAAAACAGGTCATGTGCAGTATTTAATCCAGTTCTCACCTTATTGGTGACTGTTGCTCAAATAAGAACTTGAATTTGGTTCCGAAGGAGCTACACTGTATATTAGGTAGAATTTTTCAAGATGCTGAAATCTTGACACATCTCCTCTAGAGAATTGGCATACCTTGAAGAAGACATTTGGCTTACAAATTATTAATGACACCTATTTTTTGAGTATTTTTCCAGGAAGTAATCAGTATGTAAGAACTAGTATGTAATAAATTTATTTTCTAGGTGAACGCCGATTGGAAGCAGGTGCTATGGTGCTTGCTGACAGAGGAGTTGTCTGCATTGACGAGTTTGACAAGGTAATATTGAGTTCTGTTTGGTGATTTGTTATGGATTATAAATGTGATATGTATTTTAAAGACACTTTTTTTTCTGAAAAATTTTAATTTTTGAAGCATCTGCTAGTTTAGAAATGCAGAGAAAAAGAAATTCTTAAGCCAATGTGATTTAAAGATTGGATATGGTGATCTTTCTAAGTTTCTAAATTTTTTTTTCTTCAATCCACAGATGAGTGACCTTGATCGCACAGCCATACATGAAGTGATGGAACAGGGAAGAGTCACTATTTCAAAGGCTGGGATCCATGCCAAGCTTAATGCACGTTGCTCTGTTCTTGCAGCTGCTAACCCAGTTTATGGCAGGGTAAGAGTTGTTAGAAACCTGATGAAGACTTGCTGATCAACTGACATACCAAATGACTATTTAACCAACTGGCTCATTGGGTGACTGACAGACAGACTTGCCAACTGAATGGATGACAAACAGTTTGACTGACTGACAGACAGACAGACAGATGCTATGACCATGACTGAAAAATTGACTGACTGATGGACTAACAGACTGACTGACTGGCTAACTGACTGACTGACAAACTGACAGAGATTGACTGACATAAAGACTGGCCATCTGACTGACTGGCAGACTGACAAACTGACAGAGATTGACTAACAGAGAGACTGACTGACTGACTGACTAACTGAATTGGACTAACAGAATGAATGGCTGGCTTACTGACTGACTGGCAGGCTGACAAACTGACAGAGACTGACTGACTGATGGACTAACAGACTGACATGCTGGCTAACTGACTGAATGGCAGACTAACAAACTGACTGTTTGACTGTCCAACAAACTAACTCTTTGTAACACTGACTGACTGACTGACTGAATGTTAGAGTGATATTTCATTACTTTTCTCTTTGTTTCTTTCCTTCATGCAGTATGATGAGTACAAAAATCCTATGGACAACATTGGAATGCAGGATTCTCTTCTGTCTCGTTTTGATTTGTTATTTATTGTGCTTGATCAGGTAAGGCAAGCTTTGAAAAAAGTCATTGTAGTCAATGAATGTGATTCCAAAACCTTATTCTCTATGCATTAACAATTTTCATTGCAGAATTGGCTAAGAGGATGATAGAAAGATCCCATTTGGGAGAGATAGTTTTCTTTCCATGAATCATATTAAATCTTTTGGGGGATGGGTGCAATTCAACTGTAGGCTGCCTTCCCTGGCCTCCTTATCAGTTTAGCAGGGTGCTGTTTTCTGCCAATAGTTAACCAGCACCCCAACCTGCTACCTTTTGTAAACAGGGTGCATTCAGTGGACACAGAAGAGTATCTGTTTTTCCCTCCTTATCTGAAAGCATTCATTTCTTGAATTCATCTTTGATGCCGTGTAACTGTTCTTTACCTCAATGTAAGTTAAAGGGAGGATGATCTCATGAGGTGTTTTGAGCAAAATCATATCTATTAACCCCTTACACCCTAACATCAGAAAGCATATTCTCCATACTGTTCTCTATACATTTTGTAAGATGCTGATGAGGAGAATTTGTTCAACAATCAAGAGCTTCTTTAGTTGGTGATCATTTCCTTTATTCTCATGACCTTGATGTTTGATTCAGGAGTGATGTTGTAAGGAGAGAGTAGATGTTAGTCACTCATAGGGGTTAAAGGGTTAACCTATTTCACTTGTTTTCGTTGTAGATGGATCCTGAAAATGACCGTAAAATTTCTGACCACGTACTGAGGATGCATCGATACAGAAAACCGGGGGAACAGGAAGGGGAGGGTGAGTAGTGTTTGGAAAACTTTCTACAAGCAGCAGTTTTTGATTGTTATGAATCTTTAGGAAAAATTTTTAAGGCAGTTATTTACAACATACATTATGATTTATTCTAAATATTCATTGTAGAGCTTAAAACAGGGTTTTGAAAAATTACCTTTGTTGGTGACAGATGAGTTTCAATCTCCTATCTCCTCCTTTCTAAAGCTTCCCTCCCCTACATTCAGCATTTAGTCTTGTCTTCTGCCTTTCAACACAAAACACTGTAGAACAATGATTAACAAATGAATCTTTACAGCTATGCAGTTCTCTCATTTCTCATTTTCTCTCATCTTAACATTCCTCATTTCTCGCCCTATTCCCTTCTCTCTCCTATGCTGCTCCCTGACCCCCTACACTAGTTAGTCCACAGCTTCAATCAGAGTTTTTTTTAAACTTTTATTATTGGGATTTCCTGTTCAGCTTTACCATTTGGAGTAACAACAGAGACTCTAGCCACACAAGACCCGGAGGCAGAGGATGAGGAGACAGACACACCCATCTATGAGAAGTATGATGCAATGTTGCATGGAAAGCGTAAAGATCGCAAGTAAGTTGACCTATGCGTCTGGTAGAACTTAATTATTTTGCAAGGATGCTAAACTATATAATATACTCCGAAATGAAAAAAAATCTTAAGGTTTACAACGGAAAGACGTTTTTAAGATTGAGACACTTTGAGATGATATGAATTTTGTTCTTGGTTGTCTTTCAGGGAGAAATATGTGTCAATGGCATTTATGAAGAAATACATTCATGTAGCTAAAGGCATCAAGGTTAGCAAAAACCATACTGCAATAAAATGTGCTAAATCTGCTACCATGCTTAATAACTGATACACAGAAGAAGGTAGAGTTTAGCAACGCATCCATTGAGTGGTTCTTTGTCTACTGTGTTTGGGTTTGATTGGAATTTGGATTATAAAGGAAGGATGGAAGGAAGGAAAACACGTTGGACTTTTAGAGAAACACCCTGGAAGACAGGGTGAGAGCCAGCAACAAACACATGTGACGTCAAGTGTGGGAATGGAACCCTCGCCACGGTAGAAGCGGATGATGGCTCCTACCACCGTTTCATCCTTTCTCTTCCTCCATGTAACCCTTTCACTCCCAAGATCTAATTGTTAATTCTCCCCTCTAGTTGCTACACATTTCCTTGTAAATTGGTTTCGAGAATTTGGTGTTAGATCAAATTGACAACTTCTACTTGATGAGTCTGAGTATTCTCATTACGTTTTTGCTGGATGATGTATGGATATTATGGGGAGAAGTTACGTGTTAATCGCTACTGGGAATTAAAGGGTTAATTTATTTTGCTGTAACCTTTTTTGAAGGAAGTCAACCACTTAGAGAGTTTTGCCCAAGTGTTCAAGGGATGTGTTTTTCATTTGTTGTGTTTTCTGTCTTAGCCTCGCTTGACAAAACAAGCAGCAGACAAAATTTCCAAAAGCTATTCGGCTCTGAGAGACCAGGAGAACGTTGGAAATGAGAAGGCTAAGGTATGCAGCTTATAAAAAAAATATGAAAATAAATCAATCTGTCCAATATTTATTTATATGTTTGTATTTTCTGATTTAGAGTCGATTTACATTTGAAGCATACCACGCATTCTTAAAATTCCTCTTTTAACTTAACAGAAAATCCCTTTTGTTATTCCTGCCACTTTATACAAGTTTAACTCATTGTATGACGTTTTCTTCACAGACAATGCCTGTTACTGCACGAACTCTGGAAACAATGATTCGTTTGGCCACAGCACATGCTAAGGCAAGAATGAGCAAGACTATCGAGGAGGTGAGTACTTTAAAATTATATGTTACAGCAGATTTCGTTTAGTGTAAGAAAACAGTGTAATCACAACGGCGAGTCTCTGGGAAATCTAACCACTGTCATTTTTTTAGGACGATGCTGGTGCTGCAATTGATATGGTGTCATTTGCGTACTTTCACAAGGTAACCATCAAAAATTGTTTTGAAACAAATATGTCATACGTGCTTATAGTCACAACGAAGAGTTTTAAATTGAACGGAGCATTTTCAAATCAAAATTTCAAATTTCGTGTGAAGACATGTGCGACGATAATGCAGCATTTTTGGTCGAGTTTCATAAAGGCAGAGTAATTCTGATGGTTCTACAACATCGTAAATTGAATATTCACATCGCAAACCTCATATTCTCTGACAACCAGTCAAATGGACATTAATGACGAAAAACGTTTCCCATATCAGTGTCAATTAATTAGCCTTACCGTTGAGTTACATGTATATATTTTCTCTTGAGAAGGTCTCTTTTCTTTCCAGGTGGAGAAGAGAGAAAAGAACAAAAGGAAGAAAGATTCTGAGGAGGAATCTGGTGAAGAAGAGGAAGAGGAAGAACAAGAAGAAGAAAGTCAAACCAGCCAATCACAGCAAAGAACATCCAGAACGTAAGAGCTGTGAAAAAAAGAATGAAAGAAAAGGAAATAGACCAACAAAAGCAACGTAAAACAAAACTCGCTGTAGGAAACATAACTCCACTGGATACACCCTATAACTGGGTTAGCGCCCCATATTTGGGTTCGCATTTCTTGAAGCACCAAATTTTTTTTGGACAACTTTCCTAGAATTTTCCAATGTTTGCCCGCTCTCAGTTTCTTTAAATTCTCAACAGCAGTTGTGTCAGAATCAGAAGAATATTCAATTCCTTGGGTTAAATTATTATTTCTGTTGTAGCGCCACTAAATCACAAGCCAAGAAACAGAAAGTAGCAAAGAAAGATAGAGGCGAAGAAGATGGTGACCCGTATGATTTTGACGGCGATGACGGAGAACAAGAAACCGGAGGTAAGCTTTCGTAAAAACTACAAAAAGAGGGCCTACATTATGAAGTATTAGTCATTAGGTATAATTATTTTTCGTTGCTTTATTGTTGCCTCAGATGTTGTAGAGAAGATGAAAAGTCGTCGTTCAGCCAAAAGCAGTGGCACTGAAGAAGCCATGGATACAAGTGATGACAGAACTCCTGTTCCTCTTTCGTCTGAAAGGTAAACAAAGATACCAAAGTAAAGTATTTTAAGTGTTTGCTTTGTAAACCTTGTTATGTCATTGTGTGAATTTAATGTTAGGTCAGGACTATTACTTACATTTTTGCTTTAAAATTACTCTTTAGGGGTTTGCGTATTTAAAAAAAAATTAGCCAAACTTTTGAATTTTTTCCTTTTCAGTTCGTAATATTTTCCATCATTAAATATCCTCGAGCCTCCTTGGTTTACTATTGCCCTTTTTTTCCCTTCCTCAGCGTATAAATGTTTTGTAGTCCCCTTTAACTTAAGGGTAGTTTTGCACCAAAAAAATGACTAAAATCTAAAAATGTTGCGAAATAATTATTTTAACTTCAACCTAGCAGAGGGTGGTCAGTAAATGATTTTCTGTCAAACAAAACTCATTTCAGTGTGTTTTTGTTATTTTTTGAACCACCAACTCACCTCATTCTTGGCAGTTAATTGATCATTAATTTTTTATCAAATCTATTTGCTCTCAGACTCGGTGAATTCAAAGCCGCTTTGTTGAAGGCCTTCTCTTCGGCGCATGCCCAGACTCTACCGCTGACCACCGTGAAGGAGTCTGTAAAACGTGACAAGGCATTCCGTGACGAGGAAATCGAGAGTGCGTTACAAGTCATGCAAGATGCAAATCAAATCATGGTGGCCGACGATAACGTGTTCCTTATTTGAAAACATTTGTGAGTAACCAGTAACGAACGTTGTACGAAAGCAGTTGTAAATTGTGTGTTATATAAAACTTTCCTTAACATTGACCTCTGAAGGTCATTCAGCTGTCAGTAGTTAAATACTATATGTAGTTATCAGTAACACAATACGAAGTCCTCCCCTTCCCCTCCCCCCCCCCTTCCCCTCCCCCCCCTTTAGTAAGTCTCCCTGCCCCTGGAGTCGTGGATATTAAAAAGCTTTACGGTTGCCTGATAGACAGAATCAGGTATTCTCAAAAAGTTTAATTTCAGTTTCTCCGAGTATAATTTAATAGTTAATTTCAATTGATCAACCGAGCAAAGACCTTGTTTATGTTAGGTATTTGTTAAGTATTAAGAATTGACGTTGAAATTCTTCAAAGATTTGGATATGGTAGACTTTCTTTCAGTTACATCGAGCAAGCAGATTTTTGTGCTGGATGTTTGAGTTAAGAGTCCATGGGTTTTTGTGGCTATTTCAAGCTATCTCTATAAAAGTTTTGTTTATTCATATTGTACAGAAAACTTTTTGTAACAGCTTATAATTTGTATTCCTAACTTGGCGTTATTGACGTAATCATTTTATAAAAAAAATAAAGACGTTTTGTGTTTGAAATTGACTCAGAGTTCACGTTTTGTTTTCGGGTTTATCTCGACAAATGCGGAGAAATAGCTGAGTAGCCGTCAGAATTTCCCGATCAACAATAAATGGTTTCAGGAAATAGTGACACAGGGAAAATTTACATCTTTGAAAAAAGTGTATCGTGTCCTGATAAGCATATCGTAATGCAAGAAAGTTGGCTTGTGAATGAAATCACACAATTTCTTTTTCCTCTGTTTTCATTGTTTTCTAACATTTCAAATTCTTTGGTACATTTCAAGATTGACACATGTTGGATTAGTAGGATAAAGGGGACTAAGCTTTCATTTGTCTGAATTTCAAACACCTATGGCTGTGGCAACCATGAATAATTTCTGACACTGTATCGTGTGAAAGGGGGCTAAGCTTTCATTTGTCTGATGAATTCCCACCTTAAAGAGTGTCTTTTTCGCTGAGTTATTGTTCTCGGGTAATTCCTTATTATCGTTTTAATGTTTCAAACTCAGCTCGACCATTTTTGCGTCTGCCAATTAAAATATGATGTAAATCGTTCGCCAAACGTCTTTCCCCTCGGGTTTTACGGGCGCTTTTAGCCAATCATCATACCTTCAACGAAAGCCATGATCCTCGCCGGAAGCCTGAAAAAAATTAACGCCTCGACGGGATGCGAACCCAGGCCTACTAGATCCTACTTGGACGCTTCTTTCAATTGAGATACGAAGCCACATGTTGGGACCGAAGCAAAATTTTCTAAGATTGCAGTTTGCCTGCGAGGTTCATAGCTTTATTTGATTTTCAATCCGCAGATCAAATGAAATTTATTTCATCACAAATTGCATCATTAATCTCTGACCATCCGGCATTCTGTCGGAACGTCTTGTTGGTTTTCCCGTCTATCACAAGCCAGTGTTAAACCATTGTTAAGTAATCGCTATTTTTCTGTTTTCTTTTCGTTTTTTTTTTTTTTGCGCTAATTTACTGTCGATTTATAGATAGTTTTCTGTATCTGTAATCACATCCCCTCCCCTTGTCTATTCCTCTGTAATCATTAAAGCCAGACCTTGTCATCTAATTATATTGCTTTAGATCAAACGTGTTAATGATCTGTTTTGTTTTCATGAAAGCTTTTGTAAGTTGCAGACGTCTGCCTCCAGCAACTTGTCGCTAGGCAAAATACAAATTGTACATAATTGTTGTTGTACAAGATTCTGGCTGAAGCAATATATTTGAGCTTCGCTTGAAATTGTTTATGTTTTATCTGCCTTTCATATCATAAAAATTAAGTTTCAATTTGTACAAGAAATAAGTCTGCTGCTCGAACACTTATGGAAAACGCAAAAATGTTTCCTCGTCGACTAGAAGTATTTAAATAAATAAGCTTTCGACAGAACAACAGATCAGGACTTCACAAGGGATTTAGGATACATCATTGAAGAGAAAGTACAGATGATTGAGGCAGAAATGGAAGAGATAAACGATTTAAAAGGCGACAAGGTATCGTCTTCTGAAGAAAGGAAATACGCGTCGAAAGATTCTAAGTTTGTTTTGTCAGGACAAGAAACGACGGCAAGATCGCCACAAGGTTCTCGTTTCAATTCTATGTTGGAACAAGAGGAACTAAGTGTTTTTTCTGGTCAGGAAAGTGAAGAACCCAAAATGAGTGTCAAACTACCACATATTGACGCATGTAAACTAAGAAACGATTCCAGTTATAACGAGGGAATAGCGAGCGCTTGTAAAGTTACGGAAATTTTATTACCACCTTTGAGAGAAACGCACTTTACATCAAAACATAAAACTGCCGTTTCGTGTGCGCCTTTCTTGAAAAGCTCAAGTTCGTTACCTTTGTTAACAAATACTGCGTTTAAGAAGATGGTAAATGGTTGTGACTTCAAACAACCTCGCCCGGTCGAGACTCTCGGATCTTGCTTTCCTGAATTACCGATCCATTCAGATGGTAAAAGGATGTCGGATAAAAGGGAATTGAACTCTATTCATTTATTAACAAAGAAAAGTCGTCAAAACTCGCAAGCGTTACGCAGAAATTCGGATGGACTTCGCTCGCCTGTTAGATGCAGAAAGTCATTAAGTAGGGTGAATCAAAAGGATTTGAATTAATGGGCGTCATGTCGAATCAGAACTTATTTGATGCAGAATCGCTGCTGGTTGCACTAATGAACTGGCAGAAATAAAGTAAGGAATTAGTTTACTTAAAAAAAATTGTTTTTTCTCGAACATCAACGATGAGTTTTGTAACCGAGCTTATTATCAAATCACTTGCTCAGGACTGTGCATCAGTCTAGCAAAAATTCTATGTATATTTCAACTTGTAACAGAAACAAGTTTTTAATAGGACAGGGGAAGTGTTTTTTAAGAGACACCCTTGTAAAACAGTTCTGCTTTTTAAACAAGGCTACAAAGGCCAAACAATAGGAAACTATTACAAAGAAAAGGTAAGAATTCAAGGCACGAAAAAGCAAACTACGTGAAGCGTGAGAAAACCACACTGATCAAGTCACAGGTAGTTTTGGTTTTTCATCTAATTGGAAGGGTTTTGTAAGTTTGGTTGGCCAATCACAAAGCAAGGCTCAGCAAAATCCAAGCATTTTGGAGGTACTCTCGACCTTAAGTTGAAAGTAACTCGATTTGAGCCGAAATTGGTTTAAAGATCAATTGATCGAGAAATGTACAGGATAACGCAAATTTGAGAAATCTACTGACTTACATGCATAAATCTTAAACAATGTTGTACCAGAATACGTGATTTGACGAGGAAATGCGTAACTAAACTTACAACTGAAATGTGTGAAGTCAAAGTCGTTTGCAACTTAGGATAATTACGACAATTGAATTACCAGAGTTGCTACGCTCTAAATACTTGCTAGTGGCTTTGTTACGTACAAACATGACTCAACATTTCAGTTACAGCTAATGAACAAAGTTTAAAAAATTTCGATTAATTGTAAACCTGCTATTCAAGTTCTCGACAAAAGCATTTGCTAGGATTAAAAGCCGCTCGCGTAACACGCTGTTAGAGGCATGAGTTTTCTCTTCTTGACTCAGAGGCGGGGTAAAAAGAGATACTAATACTTTGGGGCAAGTTGTTGCGAAGTGCAATCAGTTATTATAGACATATGCATGAAGTCAAAGAACGACCTCCAAAAGACAAGATTCCCTCTGATATTCCACGAATCAAGATCGTTTTTGAAACGAAAACAGGGAAAAGGACACAACCTGCAAACAGAAGCAAAAGAATCTCTTCCATGCCTTGACATCAAAGCAAACTCGAACGAGAAGAATCTAGAGCGATCTCAGGGATTTACCACCTTTCCTAGTTTGATGCCCGAAAAAGGACTGATCGTGATAGCTCCACCATCATCGCCAGTAAGCGAGAACATAAGTTTGTCACCAACGAAAAGTGCTTCGTTTTTCGAAGCTTCTCCGATGATACCACGAAAAAAGCCGTCGAGGAGCAACGAAGATAATCCACCGCGAAGACTGACACCTTTTCCCGGTATATGGGGTGAGGATCGCTTTTTCATCACCAGTGTTGGAAGCAGCGCTAGAAATGGAAAGGAAAAACATATTTTAGTGGAAGAAGAACCAGAGTAAAGCTTTGTGGAAAGTAGTTAAAAAAATCACCAGTCTGCTTTTAAAAATATCTTGAAGAATGGACTATTTGTTTTAACACGTTTAGATGTTTACTTTTCTTCGGGTGAGCTAGATTTTAAATAGAGTAGTCCCTCTTTTAGTTTGTCTTGATAAAAAGCTGCTGAGGATTTCTCCATTATTCTCAATAGTTATAATATCTTGGGCCAAAAAAAGTCTTCACAAGCGATTGTAAATCAACACTGACTCATTTTAAAACATTGGAGATGAAAAAGTTGAACTTATCTCCCAAAGAGTCTCATCAGGGTATGACACCGATTTTTTTTTGATCGAGTTTTCAAGGAAAGTCATAACAGCTAACTGCGGATTTAATATTGTGGTTTGAAGAGTTAATTTTAGATTAAGGGCATATGTTTTTATTAGACTAGTTAATCACGGTCAAGATGTTTAAAACAATAAACCTGCCGAAACATCAAAAGTCATTCAGTGGCAAAACTGACGCATGGGCAGAGTATATGTTTCAGTAACAGAGGTGAAAATAAATGTTCCTTCTCTCGAATCGAATTAGAACCTCAGGCACGAACACTATTATTATTGATTGCTATGGTGATCTTCTTGCAATCTAAATTAAAGGAAATGGAAAATTTGTAATGAGAATATTGTCAAAGCGAGACGTACTGAGAATGAAACCGGAAGCTTTTTTAATTGCTATTTTTCACTTATTTAGTTTTAACCTTTTTAAACCTACAAACTTATGGGTTTTTTTTTAAATAATGCATTAGTTCTGGTTGACATATACCATTGATTTCTTTTTTATTCTAGTGTTAAATTGTGAATGATAGATAATATAGTGGAAGACCATCATTTAAAAGAAAAACCCTGTAGTTTCTCAATAGCTTCCACGCTGACGGTTTCATTTCATCATTTCACCAGTACTTTCATTCATAGCGACAAAAAAGAGACTTGAACTTGAACTTGTAATGAGGTTTCAGAGTGCTTTTTTAATCCATGAGTTGTTTTGTTGAACTGTTTATGACACACATTGAGACTCTGTTTGATCTCTTTGAATAGAGAGTCAGTTCAAGTCTTTAGAAAGAACTGAATGTGTTCGATCGTAAACTGACAGCCCTCTCATGGATTCCTGCGGCTTTTCCCGAATTAAATTGAACTTGAATCTGAAATGAAATTTCAGAGAGCCTTTTCAGTCAATGAATTTTTTTGGCAAACCATCGTTCCAATATGAACTCATGGGTTCCTGTGGTTTTTCCCGAATTAAACTTTTAATTGTACAGTTTCTGTTGTCAAAGAAGACTATGCAAAACATAATCACTCAAGTACACTAAAACAGCATACAGTCGAAAGCATATATATATATATATATATTTTTTTTTTTTTTTGATTTAAGAGAAACAAAGTCAGTGGCAAAAATGTTCTGAGCGCTGATGAAAAAAAAGGACTCGTTCTACAGAGATATGAACTGGAGCTTCAAAAGTTTTCAGGGTCGAAAATATACAGACATACGCGGCTTGGGGTGCTACGACCTGGCATAGCTAATAGATCGCCGAGTTACCGCGATAATTTTTTGGCAGCCTTTGACGGAAAATATGAACAGAGACAAAAAATCTAAAAAGAAATTGTAAATAATTAACTGACGGGAACTTTATTAACTTTAAATGCTATATTTAAGGCACCATTAAGTTCTTTAATTTGTCATTGCATTCTATAAGAACACAGGTTAAAAAAATGTGGCCAAACGTCACGACACAAGTTTCTAGTAACTCAGACATGAGGCTTTTTTACTCCTCACTTCATGTTGTGGGAGTAACCTAGACATCACCTGTTGTAGAACTCAGTGTGTTACACAGTTCCAAAATCTGCCAAACTAGCTGATGTTGTTCGCGCTCCTCTTGCACTTCAAAATTCGAAGATACTCGTCCCTAAAAGCCTTGTTCATGAGTCCGTAAATCAGCGGATTTGTCGCAGCTGTTATGAACATCAAGTAATCATACATCAAATGCGTCCATTTTGGCATAACAATGTCGCAAAAATACAGCGCACCGATTATACAAACTGGAATCCAGAGAAGGAAGTTGACCATAATTATAACGAAAACCATTTTTGTAGCATTGATCTCATCGACGCGACAAGAAAGTTTGTTCTCATTTCCGGGTTGAAACGATGCTCCTACAATATTTGGCCGAACCAGAATCACATGTCTACGAACAACGCGATAAACCTTGAAATAGCAAATCAGAACTACGAACAGGGCGACTACGATAAACGAAAGATAAATAGGCAAAGCAACAGCTCTCTTCATGAGCTTGTTTGTGAGATAAGGCGTGCAGAAAAAATGCGGGGCAAATTTAAAACGGGCGTCCATAACAGACATCATTCCGATGTCCAGACACGCCCAAATAACGAGAGGGGAGATCGTAGTTACCAGTGTAAATCGCTTGGTGAAGATTTTTCTGTAACGAATGGGTCGCACAACGCGATAATATCGATTAATGGCGGTCACTGACACGATTGTCAAAGAAAAACACGCCCACACTTGCATCACGTGACCTTGAAGCTGGCATGTGATGTCACTGTAAAGCCAGCGACCTTTCAGGGAAGCACCCAAAGTTAACGGCATACAAGTGACTGCGACGAACAAATCAGAAATTGCCAAGGTTAAAATGTAGCAGTGAGTAATTTTTCGAAGATCCCTGTTTCTTGAAATGGCAGCAACGACAAACGTGTTCCCAATGATTGCTGCAATGTTGATGATGAGAAACATGAACGATTCCACGCAAACTAACGAAAGTGAACGATCCGTCATGGCTGTACTCGCCGATGCTCGTATTCTTCAAAATATGATATGAATTATAATAAATTAACAGCGAATAAATGTTCGATTATTTAACTCGACAAAAAAATGTCGAAAAACAAAGAAGCCTCTTTTGAAAAGTTTCATTCCTCTCTCCTCAAATGCCTCACCTCTTAAGATTTTGTCCAGTTCAGTTCGTTTTAGCGAAAGCGACACAAATGTAGAAATAACTGCGTTTGTTTGAGTTTTTGTTTTCGACCTGCCCACATGCTCATCTTCCTTGACGGCCAACGTCAGGTGAGTCTTTCATCGATAAAAAATAAAATGAAACTTGTCCTCATCAGTCCTTGTATTGTTTCTCTCTGTCACTCTGTTTTGTGGACGAAACAACGCACTGGCTTTAACTACGTCTACAGCTTCTTGAGAAGAGAAAATGCTAGCTGGATCTCAATTTTTCTTGGAACAATTCTTCAGCCATGCAATTTTGAACACCTCGTCGCTTCCTTAAAATCAAATAATTCCTTGTTCAATAAACCGAATGTTCCAGACTGCAAAGTTTGCTCATGTCACAAACAAAGACACTTTTTTTTTTTGTAATTTGCATCAGAACTGACGCATTTCTTTTACGCTAAAAGCTCAATTTAACCCCTTTAATTTAATATTTTAATTAAAAAGTCCACGATGTTAACACTGAATAAACCAACATGCTGTACTTTTCACAAAAAAATTGAACAGTATCCTCCCTTGGGTTCTGGGTAATTACTTTTAAAGCTTTTCTCCGACAGATTATCAGTTCTAGACTGTTTTTCCAACTCATCGAGGAGAACGTTTGGGTGTGAAAAGTACTCAAGCTAAAAATGAAATGAGACAACTCATTGGAAGGAAGTTTACTTTTTGCTCCCATTTGGACACTTATCAGAACCGGATGTCAATATCTTGTTTCCCACAAAAATATAACTAATTCAGCATTAGTTTTAAATTGCAACTGCTACTGTTAAAATAATAATATATAGTATATACGGTTTGTTGGAGAGACCATACCACTCGAATAATAATTTTCTTACTTTGTCAACAGACACAGAAAATTTTATTTCAGCCAAGTACAAACTTCATTGAATTTGGTTCGACGAAAACAATTTTAATTAAAGAGTTTTGATGGTAGCGAAAATTTATTCATTGGTAATACTATCTTTTCGTTTGCTCGATGAATGTGGCCGTGAATTGCGTTTTCAATGTTTGAAACACAAATAGAAAAAAAATGTAAGTGAAGGAACAAAAGTCAATTTCGGATAAAATTCTTAGGCATCAATAGCATGAAACAGCAGGATAACGAAAAATGTCTTCTTTTCACGCTGATTTAAGAGAGCGCCAACAACAAAGACGATAATTGATAGAGTGATCATTAGCTTTAAAGGGTTTCAAATAGCGTCGGTTTTTTTCTAAGGATGAATCAGTTTTAAATCCTTAATAAGTTTCATCTAGTAAAATAACAAATTTCATTGACCGCAAAGTAATATAATTAAATTCTTCTTGAATCATAAATAAAAAGTATATAAGTCTGTTTTCAAATAAATTTTTGCCTGACTTTGGTTTCCAAGGTAGCAAATGACAGAAGTCACGATTCTCCGCTTGGTATGGACCAACTCCCCATTTATATCAACAAACACCTTGTCAGTTGTCGGTCGGGATTAGTACAGATAGATAGCCATTTTGATCATCTGGAGAGCTTCATAACATTTGCAACTCTGAATATGAGAGTGATTTTCCCAGTAAAGCGCAGTAATGTTTAAAGTTTAAGTACTGGAAAATATTTCATTCTGAAGTTAAGTTTCATCGGTAATGACCGTTGTGATGGACCACATTTTGTAATAGTGACGAGATAACGAGATGTAGGAAAAACTGAAGTCGGGCTAAACGTTTGATCGAGAGGTCTGGGGACAAGCTCTGCTTGGCGCACCATGCCCTTGATACCGGGTTAAGTTTACGACAAATGAGACACTTGGCTTGATTGGTGAATTAACCTTTCTAATTTTGGTGGAGAAGGTGATCTTCAGGATTTTCGAGTTTTTCACTTAGATGAGAGGAATTTGCACAATATGTGAACTAGTTCTTGTATTTATCAATTAGATCGACATGTTTTAAACTAGGTAATATTCTTTGTTTTTTCAGAGAGACTTGAGACTTCCTATGTGAAAACATATCCGAGAATTGATTCCAACTAATCATTATTACTGAGGCTATTTGTGAATAAATTTTCAAATAATTGATTGAACTCTCAATATCAATACCCAGGCGATTAGCTTACAGAATCACTTCCTTTTACTAATTTACTATTTTCCTTCGATTTTGTTCTCCATAAACGAAAATTTCTCGGAAAATTAAAATGTTATGATTTATAACTTATACTACATATCTATATTCCAAAACAAAAGATTCCTTTTCAAGGTAATACATTTTGCCTTAGCTTACAATATGTAAATTATCGACGTACGTGACCTGGGAGTTGATTAGACAGATGATTATGGCGATTAGTCAGTTTTGTCCAAGACTTCATCATTTTCCAAGATAAAATTGTTCCTATCATGAAGTATTTGCTTTGCATTAAATGTCTTGATGTGGTTTATCTTAGGTGAACAAAAAAAATTCGTCTCCAGCACGCTCGTTCAAAATCAAAGTCACTGCTGTCATGAAGAAACTTGGTTGTGATTATGATACCTCCTCATATCGATTAATTAAAGTAATTTTTGTCGTTCCTTCCTGGAAGTTTCACCTTGGACGTGATGATATGTTTGCGTGAACGTGATCGCTCGTGATTGTTTGTCCTATCCATCAGCAGGAGCGATCTTGCTTTTCCTTCTGCTAAGTTCTACTTCAGAAGGTTTATTTTTGTCTGAAATGTTTTCTCCGCTTACGTTGGTTTGGGAAGGGCCTTGGATTCTAAAAAAGTGACAAGCTCGTTTCTTCATCCTTTGTAACTTGTTGCTCCATACAAGTTTAACCTAGAGGAATGAGAGAGAAAACTTTTTCAAGATTAGTTTTTCTCGGCATCGACAATTTCATAATCTGGCTTTTATTCATCCTATTCTGTTGCCAAGGAAACAGGTTGTGACTTCATTAAGAGTGTGAGAACAAGAATTCTAAAACTATTATTTACATATGAAGTGTACCTTTTCCCATGGAGCCCTTAACATTGTTTCTTTACCGATTTGGTCAGTAGTATTTTTCACTTACCTTTAGTATGAGCAAATGCGATCAGGAAAATCTTACCTCAGTATTTCTCGCACAGTGAAAAATGAAAATCATCAATCCCTAGGAGGAAAGTAATTAAATAAACATGTTTAGAATTCCAACCGCTTCCTTTTGCCATGGTTGCTCATGCGAATAAACAGTCAAGCTCAAAGAATACTAGAAATTATAGATCAATGTTTCAGCCTCGAGAGATAATTTTCTGTCTTGCCAGCATGGATTACTATTTGCTTCGACCTTTAAGTTCGTAGCTACTTAATTTGCGTTTAAAGAAAAATTTCTTTATTGTGTGAAATATTTATCACGAACTATCTAAATGAGGATATCGTTCATCATCTTTAATGCTATTACGCATAACTCACATCATCAAGAAACTGATAATACTCTTAATAATAATTTTAAAAATTAATATTGGTGAAAAGAATCATATCCACGGTAATGGATTTTATAATCTTTTCTTATTTGACGTATATTTTTTTGATTTTTTTTCCTTAAACTTCTCGCTACTTTTGATTTGCATTTCAGAAGGATCTATCAACATTCAAAACCATTTTCCAATCCGTTTCTGAGAACACAGAAACTTGTTCAAAATCCTTTGCAGCTAATCAAATGATCCACCTCAATGTGTAGTGGCACTTTACATAGCACAGCAAATGTTTGAGTTAAACTAGTCTGAAATATACGCAAAAGAATAAGTTGTTTTGCAGAGCGGTATTTTATATTCTCACCTGAAGAGAGTTAAGTAAAGTGAAGATGTACTGTGACGTAACACTGGAATTTATCATACTCAATAACCCAAAGAGCCACGTGACCCCCAACAGAGGAAACAACACAATGCAAGCCTTTACGGTTGTCCTGGGATAAAACGCAGACGAAAACGTCAAATTGTTATGATTGGTCAACCTTTTCCCTCTCAGAGAAAGAAATGAATTCAGTTTGAAAATGAAGCAGCTCTCACACGAAGCAGTTTTGATGACAAGAAATGCCTCTATTCGTTATTCGTTTGTACGCCAGTTGTACCAGATGAAATTAAAGACGATTTCTACTTTTCTTCATTTAATTTCATGGCCATGGAAATTAAGCCAAAGTAATATGGTAGCCTTTGTATCGCATTTAACCTATACTTGGTTCCTACGTCAAAATTTTTGTTTATAGCCACTCCAAAATTAGGTCTTTCACGTGTACATGTGTCTCTCTGTGTACATCAAGAGTTAAGGCGAAAGAGAGGACAACTACTTCATTACTGATACTCACTTGACTCGGCTTAATTTATTTGACTGCATGCTCGTCATGTTCACCATTTCTTTTACAACAATGCAAAACACAACCATATTCACCTGGATAGAGACAAACCGCAATAAATTACTGGTCCTTAAGGTTTTTTACTACATATAGTAAAGAAACAAAAACTTTTACAGCTTCAGTACGGTTAAGGTGTTATCAATCGCCTGACTTAAGTGACGCGCCCGTCCTAAAAGATCACGCCACCAACATAAGCTACGTCCTATCACGAGGTTTTCCTGAACACTGATCGCCTCTCTATAAATATATTTGAGTCTTTCGAAGGGTGTCGTGAATTTCTTTTACAGTACGTATTTATACTTACAAAACTTATAACTACTACTGGTCCAGCGAACGACCATATATAATAATTCTCTGTTGAAAGCCAGCACCTGAAACAAGTTGTAACTAAAATTACTTCCCTTTACGAGGTAGGTATAATCATAATAGTACATGACACATATTTTGATTCATATTTTCGTGAAATTCTAGTCTTGTTTCATTCGTTCTATTGTCGTTTGATCTTTCTTTAGTCATTTCGTTCATTTGATGTGTAGTTCATTCGCTCGCTTGTTCCTTCGGTTTTTCATTCATTCGTTCGATCGATTGATCAAACGAAGCAAAATCTACGAATACGGATTTTAGCTAAATTATGTTTGCCGTGGCGAAGTGCTTTACTTTTAGATATATGATGTTTTAGGAGAAATACGTGAATAATTCTTACCAATTTTTGTTTATGTACTGGTCTATACCCGGCTCGTTTAAAGAAGCAAATATCAGGGTTCCTCCAACAACAAGACTTGGAAAGCCTGCAAGTACCAAAGTGAACATTCTCAAGGAATTAATTTTGTTTTATCAACTGAGTTGATAATTTAAATTGGTCACCATAAAGAGTTACTAAAGCTGACGTTTCGAACTTTAGCCTTTAGTTAGATCGTGATACTGATTGGTCAGTTTTGGCCAACACTTTTAGCTGTAAATCAATTTGATTGGTCAACATCCATCCCCCTTTAAAATTAGGTGTGTTTGTTGCTGTTCCTTTCAGTGTGTTAATGTAGGGAATGAGTCGTTTTCTTTTATCCCAAGTGTGGGAAGTGGTCAGCGACTCACCTTTCAGGAATACTTACCCAGAGAAAACAGATAACAGAGACGCAATCTGAGCTCAGTATTGTAGACTTCTATGATCAGTAGATAAAGCATAACACCTTCTATTAGCATCCAACAGAAGGATGACAAATAGAAGTAATGAATCAGAGCAGCAACAGTTATACAAAGTACCTAAAGAGGATAAGATAGCTTTTGTAAATCCTGAGATATTTTCGCACATTGAAACGATATTTTTTGGTAAAAAAAAAATAAAGATTCTCATGTTTCTGAGAGTTTCAGCTTTCAGTTATCCTTATAAAGACCCTATCCACAATTCTAGTCGATTATCTCGTTAGCATATACTATGCCCTGGCTTCAAAGCCCTACTCAAAGGAATGCAAGAACCATACGACTTAAAAATTTATAGATACTAAGTACCATTGGAACTTTAAAAGGTATGTCACCTGATTATGAGTGGCGTTGATTCCCGCCAAAAATATACTCTGAGCAACAGCTAAGGTGGCAACCAAGTTTATATGCACATGACTTTGTTGATCATGACTGGAACATCTAAAATGAAAAATCAAAACATGAACAAAAACAGAAGAAAAAAATTATCTTGTTAGTTTAATAAAGAGTTTTAGAAAATACAATGATACTCTTGATACGCCGTTCGACTAATAATTGATGTACGCCTAATTCGTCCAAAGCCTTCCAGGTGCAAGGTCAGCTTTAAGGAAGAATAAACTATACCCCCGAAATATGGTATCTTATCACATCGCCAACAGCGCCCGTGGGGAATGTAAAGCGAATCCTGTGCTCTGATAGGCAAGATGGGCCCATCTTGCTCGCTCGGGATTGCCCGCTTTGGTCTCGCGCACGATAAACATTGTGAAGAGCAGCGTCTCCTATTTAAAGACTTGGCAAACTTAGCAATCAGTTGAAAAATGGTCTATTTATAGGTACTCACAGAAGTAAGAAATATGCTATAAAAGTAACTGTTTCGCCGAGCAATGAAATGCCAACTCCTATGTATGTCATATAGGAAAGGGCTTTCTTGTGTTCCTCTGGAAACTGTAGGGAAAAAAATGGAAAAAACACTTTTTTTCAAGCCCCTTAAACTAGCTACACAAGCAATATAAATATATATATATATATATATATATGTATATATATAATTGTACCTCTTGTTTCTCGATGTTTATTAAAATAGCGAAATTCGTCAAATGGTTACACGTGCAAACCACGTGGGTCGTATTTGATTTCACCAGTGAACAACCATCGCCTGACCAACTTCCATTAGCTCTGAAAATGAACCAATATCACAGTCAGACTCAGGTCATAAAACCAAGCGCATTATTTATCAATTTATTCCCATTTGCACCTAAAAGTTTCCTTAGCAACCAGAAAGAAAACTGAAGTACAATTTCTCTCCTATTCCACTTAGAATTTCCTCGACAACTGTCCTTGTCGAGTCAAGCACATTAGAAAACTTCTTTGTTTATAAAGTGTCTTGTGAAACTTATGACAAGGACAGCTGTCAATATATTTTCATCGATTTTTCAAGTTGCAAAAGGAAGAGAAAACTTGTCAAGGAGACCTTTTTTTCCAAATGAAGCTTTAATAGACAATCTCGAAGAAGGAGCATTCTTTGATCGTTTATCGTTTATCTTTGATCGTTTCTTTCATATTAAACAGTCGTTTACACGACTGTTTAATATGAAAGAGTGGTCTTAAAATTGGGAATTTGAGATCAATGCGAAGGCTTCGAATTTCGGAAAATAGCCTACTTACGGAAGGGAATTATTCCACTGCCAGAATACACAATCTAGCCTTGATTTCTTGTACTTTCCCTAAAACGACAAAAGCACCTCAATTATGATGATTTTTTAAATAGAAAAACAGTCATATATAAATGAGTAGTGACCTTATTTCATTTACCTTTTCCTCCAAAGTGTGGAAAACGATTGTGACGTTTTCTGTGAAAATTTTCTGTTTAGATGGTCCAACGTCACTTCCCAGGATCATGGAGTGAATTTTACCTTCCCTGTGAAACAGGCGAACATTGTAAGTCCCAACAAGGACACGTAATCAACTTTTTTCGATGAATACACATCAAAAGACTACCAAATCTGTAATAGGAATTACCTGGAGCCCAAGTTGTCGAGAAATTCATGGAGATCTCTGTATAACACATTAACCGCAATAGTCTCTGAAAATGAAGGCAAAAAATTTTACGAGAAGGAAAAGATATAATACACGCATTGCTAGGGATATAGCTAAAGTGGGAATCAGAATAACAGACAGAAGAGACAGAGTACTTCTTGACAGTGCGTCTATTAAATCAATAATCATGAACAAAATATAAATGCGGAATGTCGAGGAACGAAGAGAAATTTGAAAACTTTGAACGTCATCCATTTTTTTTTATCTTTTGAAGCAGAAACAGCATTGCACATGCCAGTATACATTTACATAAGCTTGAGGAATTAGTTTTTCGACAAGGAAATTGCTTATTCACATATTTACCCTTGGTTTGAAATAAAAAAGAAGGAAGAGTAATTCTTGTTTCTTCGTCCAGGCCCTTCGCTCCTGTAAATGTGAAATTTTGACGATAACCCTTTGGTACTAAGGATACTTGTAAGACTACAAATTGGAAATAAAAAAGAACAAGCAAAATGGTAAGTGCAACTTTTCTGCGTTTTTACAAACCAGGATCTCGTAAAATTTTGAATAAAGAGGATACGAGCGCCTTGGAAACCTTTGGTCACCTGAAGACGGTGATTTACCTATGTGTTCGTTTTCGGTCCTCTCTTCATTCCTGGTTGAATTCAAGTTGAAGGACGCGTATCTTAATGCAAACTCTTCAATAAGTTGAGTGGAATAAATCAAATTAACTTTCCTCCCTCTTTTATCGCGGTTTGACTTTAAGGACTCGGCAAAGCCTCTAAATGCATTTGTCGCAAGCTGTGAATGAGAATTTTAAAAATAATAGCATGAGTTGCGTCATATATGATATATTCATAATAGACGATGATCTGTTCTATCGGTGAATTAATTGTCATAAATAAAACTCTCGCTGGACAAAGTTTGAAGCTAAAGTTTTTACTTAGATCCTGCAAGCGCACAGGAGCTAGTGAGAGCTTACCTTTAAAGAAAATGGATCTTTTGGATTGAGGGAACTCATGACGGAAGAAAACTTCGACAGCTGTTGAAAATAAAAATTTGCATGCGTTAGGCCTCCGTCAGACTGAGGCAGTTATATTTGAAAAGAGATGATAGAAACGCTTGACTATGTCCTTGGAAAGAGACTGTAAGTAAGAGATATCTCTTGAACGATTTTTGATTAAACGTGCTTATATCACTCACCGGATTTTTAAGGCCTACAGAGACATTAAATTTCGCTGCTGTATTATGCCTTGAAGTGGTACCTTGGACTGTTGGTGCTGGACTACTTGAGGTGGTGGGCGATACTAATATATCAAAAACGTCAAATTTCAAAAGTCAGATTCAAGGGAATTCCTCAGGGATAAATCTGGAGATTTTTGTATCCTTTTTTTTAGCATTTTACAAAATATTTTGCAATTATCATTGGAATAATGAGAGAAATCATTTTCCTCCTTTTTTTAGGTGATCGTAATGTTTTGCAACTGCTTCCTTAGAATGCTGGCCGCTAATCAATTGTTTGTTCTAGGTCAGTTGTGCATTTTGGGCTAAAACGCAGTTGTTATTATCATTAAATAATTACCTCTGTTGGTAACTGGTTGGCAAATGTAACCATACCGATGGTTCTTGTTGCATTCTTGCTTTTCAAAGCAAATAGAGTGACCCTTCTTCACCAAGTAACACAAGTCCTTTTGTTTAAGCGCTGTCGGGTGTTTTCTGCAGCTAGAGTTGGTTATTAATACTTTGTCAGCAACAACACCAGAACTCCAAAATAATTGTTCCGTCGATCCATTGTAAACAAGTCCGATCCAATACTTATTTTTACTATTGTTTCCTTGAGACGGAAGACGATTAGCCAGCTGGTCGAGTTTGTACTGAGAATCAAGAACAGCCAATAGTGAAGCATTCCGCTTGCAGTTCTCGGCAGCTGCTGACCAGAGGGTCTTTGCATCATGTATACTGTACTCACTTGCCTCTGTGTAGCCTGCTACATCTGAGATAATGTAAGGGTAAACTTTTCGCGTTTATCTCTAAGAGCGGAACTTGCATTTAGTAAAGTATAAATACCTTTCAGACATCACTGATTTTTACATCATAATTTGATGTGTGATTTTTGTTGATATTAATCTATTCTGAGAATAAAAGTTTGAACAATAGCAGCAAACTTAGCGTAAAAACGACGACAATTTGATAAAACTAGTATTTTGCGATGTCATTTTGAAAAGTGAGGAAAAAATTATTATGCGTTAAAACAAAAGCCAAATCATCATAAAAGTCAAATCTTTGAATTCAAGACACTCACATTTTTTTTCTCACTTCATGTTAGAAAATAAGAGCATCGCTAAATACTTATGCCATGGTTCATAAGATGCAAGGTAACAAACAAAACCAGAGCTTTCGACATACAACGACATACAAACGAATAAATAAACAGATAACAAAAAAAATTCTTATTAAGGCTTTTTACTTTTTTTTTGGAATTAAACTTGAGATTCGTAGAGATTAGGAATTAATTTCTTTTCTCGTTTATGCTGGAAACACGAGCAAACAAATGATCACTGTTTCAAGATTTTAGCATATGAATAGGGAAAAAAAAAGCATACTCCAGGGTTTCTTCAGGAACTTATCATGCAATAGCACTGAAACAGATGGTTACTACGGAAATTTTTCTTATGGGTTTATGTATAAGTTAGAGCGTTTTGTTTCTTAACCACTCTGCTGCAGTTGTATTTAGTGGTTACTTCCACTGTTTAAAAACAAAAGTATTATTTTCGGGATAATTTTGCAAGTCTCTGAAAGTTTCTTTGTTTTTATAACGTACATTATTTTATTTAGCAAAGTTTTCCAAGCTTTCCTGACAAAGGTGGAAAATCTTTCGATGCATCAAAACAGAATTTCATTCCAGCCTACGTCAGTTTGCCAAAAAGAGATGTGCAACCTCGTTTACACATTTTGGTTGTGACGATGATGAAAGGACCAACTCTATACATCTGATGATACATTCATCATTCGAATAAGCAAATACACATCGTTAAACCACTCTCTTGAGACGATGTGGAGATAAAAAAAATGTTTCATTTTTTTTCATCGCTGAAACCTCTTTTCGAAATGTGTTCTTTCATATTTTAGCTCATCACAAAGCTAGAGTTTAATTTTTTCATATTTTTTATTTTCTTAACAGATGTTTCTCCCCCATCCAAATTTTTAAGATCAATACTAGAAATAAAAACAGAGCTTCTTGTTAGGAAGCAAATACCAGACCAATACATATCAAACTAGCTGTAGGATGATGAGAATAATATTTACTTACATGAGACGAGGACAAACCCAAACGCTACCCACATACTGAGGCACGAACTCTACTGCGGATATCTGCAGGAGTTTTTGAACATATTCTCGTGGTTTTATCCAATCAGATGCAGCCGCGCTGTTCAGATCATTGTTCTTGCTGAGCGTTTCCTGACTCTTTATCCTCGTTATTATTTACTTGTCATAAGTTATTGCTCAGCTGTTCCATGATCACTCACTATAAAATAACGGCATAAAGATGATTTGTACCTAAAGGCGAGGAAAGAACACACAGAGCGAAGTTGTGTATAAACCACATCGAGTGCAATGTATCAAAACAGAAATACAAATCACACACTATATCTCCACGATGCTCACAAACTATACCTACATACATACATATACTGGTTTCTTGTGTAAATACACTTAGTATACAAAAAATTAATCAACATAGAACGAAAAATAATGAGGAAATGTATGATTTCATAATAAAAAAGTATTCGTATAATGTAATATATGCTACTTTAATTTGGAAAAGACGAATTGGACACATTCGGTAGGAATTTTTGTTTATATTTGTTGAATAACAAACATGAATGACATTAGAGAACGGTTTGCGAATTTTCCTTCAGCGATCTCTCACTGATAAGGCATCTAATATATCTTTAGCATACTTCCTCGTTGTGGGATGATCCAAAATATACTTTGTCTTACCTTCGAAGACAATAAAGTTGCTAGCTTACGCTAACTGCATTCAAAATCTTTTATTCGTCACGCTGTCATGACTGAATGTTGAAGGAAACGCTAGAAGAGAATCAATCCTAAGTAGAGTTTAGGATAGAATATAAAGAAAATCTTCCGCAAGAAAATTCACAAAAAAAATTTCTCTCCTTCCACTGCTAAAGCGATAACTGGATTTCATCCGGCCTCAAGCCTAATAAAAAACTGCTTGCGCTTAAAGAATGAAATTAAGTTATGACAGTGATAAATTTGGAGCAACAAATTTATTTAAATTCGAGTCAGTCATCAGTTAGCAACGCTTTTGATAAACCGATCGACTAAAAGGAAATACAAAATTAAAAGCTTATTGTTTATATTTTCAGTCCATTATCGGTGTCTTGCGAAATGGTGAGGAAATAGACAAATGTAATTCTAGTCTGAATACAATTCAGCGTAAGCGTGGTATAATCAAATTACAGCACAATCAAAATTTTGCACTCTAGCGGGGGCTGATTTTCGAAGGCGGCTTTAATTTATCACTTCACTTAACTTTTTTATAATAGTACTCACCAGATTCGAATTTGTAAGAAGGCAGAGAGTCTGTGATAAGTACAATACACGAAAATTGAGTAAGCCTGTCAGTTAAAGGGCCTTCAGAAATTCTGTCTTTGTTCCACTCTTTGGTCTAAGAGGATCTCAATGGGGTTAACCGTTAGCGGTAAAACGGCCAAAACACTTAGCCATCAGGCGTAAAAATTGATAAATTTAGACGCAAAAAAGGTAAATCGTATAAATTTTTTCAATTAAACACAATGAAAAGAAATTATTTGTTAGACGTAAAATGGACAAATCTTAACCGTTATCCAAAAAAGCCATTACCCTCTTCTTAATGTTTACAATTTTTTTCATGATTTTCATTACTTTCACTTTCATTACCAGACATAGCGGTCTCCAGTTCATTTACGTGATGTCTGATTTTAGCGAGCGATAGCAATTGATTTACAAATAAATTAAACCAGATTGCAATTATTACTGAGTCACACAACGCAAGACAGAACTCCTTAACCCTTTATTCCCCAGGAGTGATAAGGTTCTAATTTCTCCTTACAATATCAGCCCTGAATCAAATGTTTAAGTCAAGAGAACAAAGGAAATGATCAGCAACTAACGAAGCTCTGGATGGTTTTCCAAATTCTCCTTTTTAGAACTTAGGTAATGTCTAGAGAACAGTATGGAGAATATGCATAATGATGTTAGTGTGTAAAGAGTTAAGGGCTGGATTTGTAATTTTAACCAGAAACACCATCCCCTACGATCCCCCAAACAAAACATTTTAGATTTTTTATAATTGGTTTTTTTTTTTCATGAAAACGACAACAGGAAAAACAAAAAACAATATTTAAAGTGCATTTTCCATTAATCGAAACCCACATATGCACTGATTTGATCTTTGGGGGGAAACATTATTCTAGTTATGTGATGAAAAAAATAATTACAATTTGAATCCAAGATTGATATCGGATTGAAGTTTTAATTTAAGGTTTACGCCCGCGTGCATTTACGTAAGTTCACTCTTTGTTCATAATTGTGTTCCAGACATCGGAAAAAGCCAGATTTAACCGGAAATTTAATGAATTATTCGTGTTCAAAATATCTCGGTTGCCCTCATAGTCTTGGATGAAAATCTTTTTTGCATTATGTACTTACCTTTCTACTGTCTGGTTTGTTTTTCAGAGAAAATTAATGCATTACGTGGTCTGATTTTTTCCACAATGTTTTACGAATAAATCGCTCTCTAAAGCTTATGTCCCTTCAAAGAAAACAAAACAAACAAACAAACATCGTGCGCAATGGGTTCTTAACGTTTGGTTTATAAATGCAAGGGCAATTACCTCTCAACTATTCCGCAAAGTCATCAAACTTGTTAAAGTTGAAGTGAGTTTTGTCAAGGTATATTATTTTGTTACTAAATAGATTTTAGAGGAACTGAATATCCATATTTTGAGGGTCTCAATTGGGTTAATCGTTGGCCGCAAAACAGCCGAAAAATTGGGCCTTTTTCCCTAAAAGCCATCACCTCATCGTAACCCCATATCTTTTCCACTCTGTTCTGCTCAAATTTGTCTTCTTTCCCTACTTTAAACGCAGAAATGCAATAACAAAATCTTCAGTGAAGCAATATTGCTACTAATGTATGACATGTGAAGTTTGATAAATGTCTGAGTCATGTTTCGGCCTCGTCATGCGTTGTTATAAATTTCTTTATATCAATAATTTATCGCTCGGCAGAGGGTGTCATTTGGAGGTTGACCGTTAGCCGTAAAATGGCCAGAATATGTAACCGTTAGGCGTAAAAGTTGACAAATTGTAACCATTAGTCTTAACTAAAGTTAAACAAAAATTTTTCTTCTCTTCTACATTGTGTCATTTGGGTTAGTTTGGGTTAACCGTTAGCCGTAACACGGCCGAAATTTTAATCGTAAGCCGTAAAAGCCATCGCCGGATTAAGACCTCCAAGTGTTGTTGCAGTCTACTGCCAAAGCCACATGGCGAAATATTCTCCATACACTCAACAGTTGTTATACTTTAAATATACTAATGGCCTTTTCATGCATTACTTTGTAAATTTCTTTGTGCTGAAATCGCATGATATTTCGAAGCAGCAAAAGCTTCAATATTATTTTAAGTGAATAAAATAATTAATAAGAATATTTTGTGCTCATGATAATATTATACCTCAAGTTTCTGAATTAGCAAGGAACAATTAGTTGTTGGCATGCCATCGAAAATTCGTTTGAAAAGATTTTCGCTATGTTTCGTTCATCTGTTAAAAAAAGCGAACAAGCAACCTCACATTATACAGTCAAAAACGTCTGTGCAAAATACTAATACTCGATAACAAAAACAAAATTAATTCCCACTAGAAAATGGTTACCCACTGCTGAACAAAACAATCTACGCAACGACATCTAACTGCATTACACGAAAATAAGAGAAAAAGCACAATCCCTCACTGAAAAATAAGCTGAGTAAGTTAATATAAAATTACACACCTCTTTTTCCTCCTGGATAAAGACTATTCAAGAACAAGCTGATAACCTTCAAAAGTGGGTGCGTGTCAATACATGGCCTTGAGCGCGCGGTTAAAATGTGTTCTGCTTGATATCGCACGTGAATACTGATTCATTCACTCTGATGCTTGAAGTGTGTAATTACTCATTCCAAGACCTTTTGTCTAGTAACGTTGTGGCTTTCTTACGTAATAGAGGGCCGAGAGTCATAAACACACAACACCGACCTGTCAATATTTTGTTATTCATAAGTTTCTAGCTGAACATAATTTGGTTTATTTGCTTTTTTGCGTGTGTCTTTTTCATGCAAATGTCGCTTAACCTGCATTTAATAACAGAAAAACTCAACAATTCAGCTAAACTGTTCGAAAAATTGGAAAAATATCAGTTTTTTTTATCACCAACTCTGTAAGCGACATAATGTCACTACTATATGTCACTACCACCCACGAAGTTAGGATATTTTGCCCCGCATCCTCCTCCAGAGTTTTTGTTTAAATTCCACGACAAAGCTTAAATGAAAAAGTGTCTTCCATAAATGATAGCAAATTTAAGATGTCATTTCAAAGGTAGGAGTAATAATTTTCAGAAAAAAAACTAAGACGCGGAGAAAAGGATGCCGATATCGGTGACTTGATGGTTGTCAAACTCTTTGAATATTCAAGTGTTTCTATTTTTTTCTCGTAGCAAGATTTTTTGCTATTACGGTCATCTCTAAACAGTTTCACTTTGGGTTAAAATCGTTAAAAAAATTGATAAATGGATAATTTCTTGATAAAGCAAACCTTGTTTCCCTCGTGACAGGTAAATCATCAACAAATGAAAGATGATTAACCTGATTTATTCTGTATATTAAGGATTAAAATTTTACATCGTCACATACGGGAACTTGGCGAGAAGAAAGGGAACGGGAAAGTTAGCAAGATAATAGATCTTGTATTTGCACTAAATCACTTGTTTTGAAGCCTTTGTGGCTTACAACTTTACAAGGTTATTGAGTTATGTTCTTTGTCAACATTTTTCACTCTGACTGCCTCTCACACAAAAATTTTTAGGGTGGGTGAGTCGGAGTGGTCACCTGTGATGAACTAACATCCCTCCCAAGGGGAGTAGTGATATTCCAAATCATCCCCTGCTCCGTAGACCGAGATAAACCTCTACATCTACTTCCTAAAATATCTGTAATTATAACGCTGATTAGGTATAATAGATAATATATGAATAGGCAACGTGGAGATAAATTACGTCTGACCGGTAGAGACGCCGTGAGAGCAGATATCGATCATACAGTGACCTTCTAGTTGTATGTCGTGGAATAGCTTGCCTTGTAGTTTTAGGGAATACATCTATTCGTCTTCCCGTTTTCTTTCCAATCATAGATCATGTGATGGTACTAACACGGTTATTATCAATGGTCCGCGCGTTCTGGCACTCTTAGTTTCTTCAAAAGAGAAAGCATCAAGTCTCGTGGCTTGCGGATTTTAAGTGACTGGAAATTCAAAAATTCGACTCAGTCTTTTCTTAGTTTTCTTAAAAGAAAATCGAAGTATTATGTCTGATATCGATTGGGTCCCATAAGCAATCTGCACGTGAAAGACCTAGATGACAATTCCGGCTATAATTGCTGCTTGATAAATATGTGCTGGCAGAGATTTTTGGTTACCGGATACCATGTATGTGTTATTGACTAAGCGTGAGGTCAGGATGGCTGGATATTGCTTGAGTTCATTTTTTGCGTTTTAATGGACCGAGGCGAAGTCGTGGTCCATAAAAGCGCAAAAAAAAAAAAAAAATTAGGCCAATGTCCAGCTATCTTGACCGAACAAGCTTGGTCATTGACGGATTGTTTATACAGCAAAAAATTTCAATATAATAAGAATCAAGAATGACTTGCTTTTGTTTATTTCGAGAGCCGGGAAAGAAACCGAACTGTATTTGTAGCACGATCGTGAAACCATAAGAGTCTTTAAATGTTTTATTTTTTCTTCGCTGTTTTGCGACTTCATTGCCGACATTGTAAAAAAATCACGAACTTGGTAAGTCCGCTCCACGCAATCTTTTTCTTGCGCGAGATCAAGACGGGCGATCCCATCCGAGTAAGATGGGCCCATCTTGCCCGTTTGGGTGGCAAATCAGATTACAGGAATCGCCTCATATTGCTTACGGGCGCTTTCAGCTGCATAATGAGAGAGATTTATCATATTTGGATAGGCTTGGCACATCATAGATTGATTGATTGATGAGATCATGAGGTATATCGAACTAAAACGGGAAGAAAGATGGTTTGCAAACAAAAATCAAGATGAAAATGAAGCGCACATTTGAATGCTAAATCCACAAAAATAAATTTGGACTTAAGGTTAGCCACATTGAAATTTGCCATCACGTCAATGTAAGGACAAGGAAAAAAAAGAAAATCGTAGTTTTCTTGGTTCGATTACTGTCACTCTTGCTCGTTTGGAAAACATTTCATCGCTTTCGTTGCATCATTCAATCCCTACTCACAAGGTGACATTTCGGATGGTTGTAAAAAGTCCAGAAAACCAGGTCGCAACGACAATTTGCTATGTATGAAGTTGAAAATTTCGGCCAAAAACTTTGCTCTTGCGTTAAAATTTCATCTCATAACACGTGGTACAAATAAAGTTCATAAGGATTCGTGCTTTCATTTGCTTATGGGGTTAGAAATATCAAAAGTTGCAAAAAAGAGGCACAGAATTGAGCTTTGCATTCCATTGATACTTGCCAAAGTGTTTATGTGTTTATGTGTTTAAATCATCATGATGTTGCAGAATTTCAAATTTATAATTTATCATCCGTTATATCAGGAATGATCGTAACAGTAAAATCATTGCTAGATTTATTAAAAGTTCAGGAATCGATGTAACAAAGGTCAACAATAAATTAATAAAAAAAATATGAGCAAATGATAGAACTACGAAATGAGCCTTTACATCTATAGAGGAGTTCTCTTTTCCGAGTATGCCTCTGTCACTCGCTGAATAACATCTTCTTTCAATTAAAGACCTTAAATCACCTGGCTAAACATCAGCATTGCATGTTCATAAGCATCACATATCGACATTCCTATCCTTGCAATATGAAGGAAGTTTAATTTGTAATCATGGACCTAAATAGTTAAGCGACTACCATGAATCTCCTTCACATAGCTCAGTACTTACTCATTTGACGGTCGTAGATTCGACTCCTGTTGGGAACAGTCGGAGTTCTTTTTCTCTAAGCATGCCTATGTCATTCGCTGAATATCAGCTCCTTTCACAATATGCTTGTTAGCTAGATCAGATTGCTGATGAATTATGTGTTGTGCTTATTTCATAGTTTCAAGGCGTTGAGGAGTCTGAAAACTGGTGGGGAAATAGGAGCTTGGTTACCTTGCAAACCGTGATTTGTTCCCTCCGTTTATAACATTTAGATTATGGTGCACTGAGGTGCACTGGACAATCTAGAGAGTGCTCTTTATTATGATTTTAAAGCCATATGTCGAAAAGATTCTTTAATTTATTTTTTCAATAGCTTTTTGATGAAAAAAGCATGTCAATGTTTTGACAAAAAAAATCATTAACTTGTAGCCGACGGAAATTCATCAAAAAGTGTCTCTTTAGAATACTCATAAAAAGCCACTTTGGGGTTCCGAAAAGTCCTCTTGCAAAGATTACCTGCATTTCCATAAGAATGACACATTATTTTCAATTAATGTCTTATAAAAACTCTAGCTTTAGAACATTGGTTGTAAGAAATTAAGAAATGGCCGATTTTCAGTTTACGTTTCCTAACATGCAGAATAAACCGAGAGTTTACAAATTGTCTATAATCTCTTAGTTAAACAGAAAACCAAAAAGCAACCGATAAAAAAAATAGTCGTTAGCATGGCTATTAATTTCCCCTTGACTAAATCTTGGCAACTAGCTCCAAAGTGTAAACAACTATGTCTTATTTGCTCACTTTAATTCAAACGAGGCGTCAGCATCGTTTCCAGGGACTCTCTTCTTCTTTACACCCCCTTCCCCCCCGCCCCCCATTATACTCTCTTGACCCCACTCAAGTGCAGTTTTCCGGCACGTCTGGGATATTGATATGTTTACCGTTCACAACACAGAAAGCCCAGGCTTTCATTTGATGTTATCAGTACTTTATTTTGCCCTCGGTATGGTAAAGATCTTAAAAAAAATTTTTTTCAAATAATTCATTTTGCATTGTGGTGTATTTTAAACTGTTTCTTTAGTTCTGCAGCCATTCCATGTTTGCTGGGTGCAAATTGCAGCGGCGATAACGAATTAATATATAAAGGATGAAGAACTTTGGGCCGCCCCTGCCAAACTCAATGCTCCATGAATTCCGTGAAAATAGCCCTAATTCACCAATTGACCGACAATGGCTCTTAAAATTCCATGTTTTCCGTTCGGCAGGTCAGTTTATCAAGGCCCTAAGAAGTATTTCCCGTCATGCCTTTCGTATCTTCATCAGAGGCTTGTGATAGATGTCTTGGACTCAAAAAGTCATGGCGGAATTACAAAATTTCCACCAAAGCTATGTAATGTTTGTAGTTCGCCCCCTGACCGGGTAGCAGTCATAGCGTATCATGCTAATACATGGCGCAAGATGAGATCATGTTCTCTCTTTCTGGAATTAGACCAAATTGAATGCTCCAGAAGGCTCAACTCTGTCGTTGTTGTTGTTGTTGTTTTTGTCTTTGGATAAATACTATAACTTATATGATCATTTTGTCAGAGCTGGCCAGGCGAAAGCGTTTTTCACGTAATGCATAGCTCTTCTTAAGAATAAGTTTTGCAAGTTAAGATAGAGCGGTTAAAGAAACCAGTTTGTAAACGCAATAGCTTACTAGCGTCAGGATTTTGGCGTCGTGCCTGAAATCTGTTAACTCTAAAAAATAGCGTAAATGTTTCACAGGCTCTTATTGCAGCGCAATACTATGATAAATCCAGAAAAAACATGCATTTGAAATGGAATGTTTGCAATGCAAGGCAAGCACGTCGTTAGAATGAAAATGCACGCGTATGTTCATGGTTGAGTATGTCAGAGCTTGTATTGGTCAACAATTCTTACACAGGAATTTTGTGGTTTGTTGTGTCAATATATATTGTGTGATATTGGTTTGCAGTTTCATTCCAAAAAGTCATTTTTCGCGACCTGAGCTCTATCAGTCACTGTTTAGTTCATCCATTGAAATTGCACTCAAACTGGGTAAACGAAAGAGTTGAAAAGTTAACGTGTTTGCAGTCAAGAATTGACGGTGAAAACCTCCACATAATTCAACATCTATCAAAGGATATCGTGCAACAACTCGCTTCTTGAAGAACATGCCTAATTGTTGACGAAGACAGAATGCACAGTTTCGTTAAGAACCATTTTAAATTGATGGATATATTTTGGACATTTCTTCTCCTGGTAGCTCTGTCAGACCCATCCTTCGCCGTTTTGATCGAAATGGAACGATTACCCAGCTTTCCCACGGACGATTTTCTTTTGTCAGGCTCCTTATGTCCCTTTTCTCGTCCATCATGCAGCCTGTTCAGAGCCCACCCGCTGGGAGGTTGCTGGTGCAGTTGCCCAAACACCTTTTCATTTTACGAAGGAGACTTCCAATGCGAGCGAAATTCTGAAGCTCGACGAAATGCAGGTATATTTTGTGATTTAAGGCTGTTTTAATGCAATGATGTTCTTAAACGGTACTCTGTCGCTGGTTTGTTTTCATTATATTTATTTCAAGTTGATTATTTAGAATCCATTTTAATCCTGCCATGATCCTTAGCCTTCTGCGTTCCTTCTTAGTTGCCTTTTTGGGCTTTTTGGTCCCACAGATCGAACATCTTGTCATCTCCACGGCGTAAAAATAAGCTTCAGAAAATTGCAAAGAGAAAATGACGCAAAAGTTTAAGGAGTAGCTTCAAAAAAAAAAAATATATATATATATATATCGACTAATATCAGAAATAACACACACGCTACACCCAAACGTAAAAAAACCTAACTGTGATTTTTCTTTTTTTCAAATTATTCATTCCTTGACGCGGGAAATTTGACAGATTTTGTCCGAAAGCTGTTTTGATCTACATATCTTTTAAATTAGGATTGTTTATAAATGAATAAAGGGGTAAAGTAATAACAAGTTCGGAAACAAAAAAGTTAATATCGCTTAAGTGATAACAATGATCACGTAACATATTTTGAAGCGTTATTATATTGTACAAGTGTACAATATATTATGTACGTGATGCTGACTTGTATCGGCTTTTGGAGTGGAACTCCACCGTTATGTTTTCAGTTTCATTAACCCCTTAGCTGCCATGAGGGATCAAGACAGAATTTCTCCTTGTAACATTAATACAACAACATGCAGATAAGGAATGAGAATAAAGAAAATATCAGTTAGGGGATTATTAGTTGATCCAGTACCAATTTATCCAAATCAACGCCATTAAAATTTGTGTGGAAGACAGTGGGGAGAATCGATAATGAGATCTTGGCAGTGAAAAGTTAACAGTTTCCGAATCCTTTGTTAGAGCAATATTTTTTTCCTCATCCATACATTTCCCTACAGTCACCTTCCACAGCCATCTGTCTGTTTGTCCGTCACATTTCCGCTGCTTTGCTTTAACTAGATGTACAATATTAGTTTAGATGGCTTTATTTTTTCCTTTTTATGACATGATTATCATCATAGTAGAATGCGTTCAGGAGGCGCTATTGCCTGATTACTACCTCAAACCGGATGCTTTTCAACGACCTCTTTATCAATGATGATCCAAACCAATATGTCATGTCAACGAAGAACTTTGGGTATGAGTTGGATGATATGGGATTCAAATCTGCATCATGACTTAAAACGCTATTTGTTATTGTTTTTTTTTTTCAGGCTGTGATTTACTGTTTGCAGATGAGACAGATGATAATTCACTGCCGTTTTTTCCATCCGGTTCCGTTCGTCAGAAAACGATCAACGTGCCTGCCAACCAAAACTGCAGCTTTTTTTTTAAAGATGAGGTTCATGTTAACTACCTAAGGTGTGACGGAACATGGAAGTTGGAAAATGTGGCGGACACCATAGATTTAACTAGTGGCTGGTCCATCAGTCAACTCTCCATAAAGGTATAAAAACAATTCTAAAACTGGGTGCTGTAACCTACTCATCTACTGAGCCAAATTTTAAGAACTCGCAAAATTTTTTTCGTTCCTTTTCTCCTCAAAGAAATTAAATTTCCTCTGTACTCTCTCTTATTAAGGTGTATGCTGTAAGAAAATTCACATTCCTATTCTCTTTGGCAAAGCAATTTATTAATACGATGACTGAAAACTGTGGGAAAATTTGTCCAAAATACGCGACGTGGCCACCGCACTTTACTGTGTCATCAGCTTAGCTGCTGTTTCTCTAATTTTCAGCTCAAGTCTGGCCTTACAATGCCACAGAGTTTTGCTGGCCGTCTGGTCAGAGTAGCAGTGCAATGTGGTGCTCGGAATTCGGATTCGCCGTTTAAGACCACGTGTGTTCTCTTCAAGGTTCAAGGAATTAATTCATGTAAGTATCTTGAAGAATCCTTTGAATAAAGTCCGAGGTCAAGTGCTCTTCTTGAGAGAGAACAGGCGTTATTCCGGCAGATATAATTTACTACCTCACCACGGGCGCACCCTTAAAAAGAGATGATACATGTGTCACGATAAATCATGAATCGCACAAATTAATCTTTTTTTAACATGTGCGTTGCCACAGATGCAAAAAGTTGTCCCCAAAAATTTATGTTCTCTGCGTCAGAGATAACTTTTGAAGCTCTGAAATGTTTTGACTTCTACATTTCTATTCAAAAAGTTGAGCATGTAAAAAAAGTTGATTTTAAATCTTTCAGGTTCATATCCCCAGTCCACCCCATCACCAAGTCAAGCCATTGCAACTCTGCCGACACCAATATCAAGACCGAAGAAACCAACAACTCAACCAACAACTCAACCAACAACTCAACCAACAACTCAACCAACAACTCAACCAACAACTCAACCAACAACTCAACCAACAACTCAACCAACAACTCAACCAACAACTCAACCAACAACTCAACCAACGACTCTACCAACATTAAACCCCACTCAGGTAATTTTCTAGTAATGTGATAAGAAAGAGTATTACACAGACTCGACGACCCAGTGGAAAGTAATTTTGAATCCGGATAAACTCGGGGAGGAGGGGGGGATGTGGTGAGGAAGGGGGGGGGGGTGAGAGTTTCGGGTTAGAGCATGGAATGGTCTTTTAATTGTGTTTATGAGCAAAATCCCGAGCAGCGCCTTACCGAGAGGTATAAATGGACGATGATGAAATGTCAGGAAAAATTGACGAAATTATTCTGGGCAGTTTACTTGTTACTGATTAGCTACCACTCTCTAAACAAGGAGGCTACAATACACCTGGCGCGCTATTAGGCTTGCAAGATTCCGAAGCAGTTCTAAACACCCATTCTGTATCTATACAAGAAATTTGACCATGTGCAATTTTAATAGAACATCGTGTCTTAAATGAAAGTAGGAGAAAATGTCGTTAAAACTGCGCAAAGATGGCTACATGTATGTATCCTTCTCTTTTTTAAATGAGGGAGCTTTCAGCACGAGAGCCGCATAATTCAGGTGGCAAACTTTCCCTTACATTTCTGTCACTTGCTGCTGATCACCGCGAGAAAGATTCTAGAGAAATCTTTTGCGAAATTCAATCATCTTCACCAGCCCGAGTATAAATGACGGCAAGCAGTATGGCAAGAGAGATGCGTTGTTTTGATAGCTCGCGCGGCCCTCAGCCTTCTCGCACGCAATTGAGTTTTCTATCTGATAAAAGCAGAGCGATGTAAGGTTGAATATTACGTTCGGTTTTTCTTACTGGCTCCGATTATTCATCTGCCTCGTGAGGGAAATACTACAGTGTAGGCTTCTTAGCGTCAAGTCACAGGAGCAAAAGTACCAGACCACAGAACGGTAAATAGAGTTTCTTGTTTCTCTGAATATTCATTTGCCTTTTTATTGAATATGTCATCTTCTAATTGCGCAAATAAGATTAAAGCACGCAATCAACTGCTACAGTGTTCACGGTAATTGTCGAGAAAATTTGAGTTATGCATGCATGCATATATGCTGCTTCTTAGGATAGCATTGCATTTATTATGTATAATACATTTATTGCTGTGTAATTGAAATAATATTAAACTACCATTAGAAAATTGAGAATTAACAATAGAGAGAGTAAAATGCATGAATCACGGCAAAAAAAACAAAAAGTCGGAGCGAGACATGATAAAAATCCATGTTCCCTAAGAGCTTAATTGCCAATAGATTGGATGAAGAAACGAGAGCGAAAATGGAAGTCTGATTTTTTCAGCTCATATTCTTCCAGATATACTTTCAATTGGCTCAATTTCATTTCCAGCGGCAAAACTGAGAAATGCCCTCTTTTCGAGAAACTGGACGAATCTAAGTTTCAATTTACCTTTAATTCGCAGCCTAATATCAGAGTTTTGTAGATAACCTGCTTTTAATCTGATCTGATTTTCTCAACAGCCAACCAGTGAACTCCATAATCATGAAGACACGCCAATAAACTGTGTCCTGGGCTCAACAGTTGTATTCAAAAACAGCTCCTGTGATTTCCTCAGTCCGCGCATGTTCAATTGCTGTCGCCAGTGCAATTCCGATCATTTAACGTGCGTCGCAACGGACGGAAACGAAAACAATGGAGGCAAGCCTTACTGTTACAGGGGATCGTACAAGTGCATGCGCAATTGTTTGGAAGCGAACAATCCTCTTGAGAACTTTCACAGTTAACCGATCTTTCATTCCCAGTCCCTAGTGACTGTAGGTGACTGTAGAAGATCTGAGAACTAAACAAAGTCGTTTCGATATTAAGTGTAATAAACTGTTACTTGTGTCAAAGACACACCTCTCGTGTTGAAATGTAACAGAGTGATGTTGCGAGGACTTGTTCCTACTAAGGACAATATTAATTATTCCCTGAGTTATGCTTGTAATGATCGTATCAGATAAATAAACATGTTTTTGAAGAAACAAACTGTGTTATGTCTAAAATTGGCTCGGCCTGTTCAAAGAAATTCTTCCTGATACTGTAAATACCTTTGCTTAGGAGTCTCAGGTGAGACTTGATAAATTGTTGGGGAGATTACAGCAATGGACCAGGTTCTGCAACGAATATCGCTGACCGCTTTATCTTAAATTGCTACGGCAAAGCATGCAAGACTTACAGCTTAATATTATGATATAAAGCAGATCCTTAGCTTAATGAGGAAAATACTCATAATCCTTGTTCCCAGGGTCTTTCTTCCCCCCCCTCCCCTTCCCTGACGGGGCCAGAGAGAGACAGAGAAAGTGATGGAAAGACGAGACGATAGATTTTGGGATAGAGGCTGCGCACAATATTTCTTTAGTGTAGACAGTAGCTCACGTAATCAAAATATATTTTTGAAATAAAACAAATGTACTTGATATTCTTTTGCAGATTGAAAGCAGCCCAATTTTCTGTGATGAATCAGGGAAAATTGAAATCCAACAGCAGACATACTGGGCTAAATGTTTCTTTTTCTGTTGTCGCGACTGCAATAAGGAGTTCTACGAATGTTATAACACATCTCACAGGAGCTACTGCCTTGGGTTGGCTTTCAGTTGTGCTGAAAAATGTGCTAGGGACAGTTCACTAAGCATAACAGTGAAAGGAATGCAATTTCTTCGCTGAAGGAGTCAAGTTCTGTTAAATTTTATGGTTCCTGATTTAATGCCAAAGCGTTTTTAAGAAACAAAACGTCCCCCGATAAAAAAATAATTTTTGATTTCTGAGTGTCTCACCTGTTAATTGTTTATATATTTTTCATCTTTATTACTAATTTCCTTTTTGTTTATCCTTTTTTTTTTAATTATTTCGCCTATTGATGCCGCTTAACCAAAAATAAGAAAAGAGCAAAATCGGTCTTTTCTAAAACAAAGATTTCTACCAGACAAAAACTTGTCATTGGAACACTTTTAAAAAGAAATTTGCCTGAGGGAGGTGGGAATTAAACATCTTTCTAATTTCACTTGTTAAGATTTTCATAACTCCTCACTTGACATCAAGAATTAATATCACCACATGCCTGTACAGATGGCATACCGTGAGGTGAAGAACAGAGCTTCGTGCAACCTTCCTTTCACCGATAACATGGTTTTGTCCGGGTATTTAGGATATGGCTATAATTGATATTCGAAAAACAGTCTGATATCTTGGCAGTATGTTGTCGTTACCATCCTTAGAAATTCGGAGCAAACAGGGCTGTCTGCCATTCCACACTATTCCAATGGATAGTCACACAATTTGGGCCAGTTTTCAGTTTCTGTTTTAAAAAACCAGCTCTCGAAAAAATATTGATATTTGTGAAACGACCGAGTGGAGTCCAATTTGGAATTATTAAACAGGTGATTTTTTAGTCAAAATTGTGATAACAAACAGAATTTGACGACTTAGAGTCCCGTTCCAGTTAATCAAAACTAGGCACGAGAAACGACGCACCTGTCGGTAGAAAGTCGGAATTCATAGCTAAAAACATATACCGTATTCAGTGATGGCGGCTGCTTGGAATGGCACCTGCTTCTGCCGAAATTAATCACTCACCACAAGTTTAAGGTTTTCTTGTAGAAAGTTTAATTTTTTCATCAAGTATCAATGCGTGCAAAAATTTGAAATAGTTTAATTTTGTCACCTTGGCTCATCTTCGAGCGCTAATCAATAAAATATCTTAACCCTTTTTAAAACTCCCAAGATATCATTTAATTTAGTAATTCTCCTTTCTGTCTCCTATACAGTTCTTGTGATGTTAGCTCAGAGAATTTCGTATAAGATCAACTAATTATATCCAAATTGTTATTTTTCTTTATTTTCATCACTTATCTGGTTGATATTGTATTAATATTGTAAGGAGAAATTCTGTTTTCGTCTGTTAAAGGGTTAAAACCAAAACCAAATCAGAAGAAAGAAAAATACCTTCATCCTTTCATTCCCAAGATCTCATTGGTAATTCTCTTTACTTTTTATCATACAATTCTTACGATGTTGATTCAGAGAATTTAGTATAGGATCAACGGATAATCCCCCAATTGATATTTTTCTTTATTCTCGTCCCTTGTCTGCTCGACATTAACCATGGGAGTTAAAGGTTTAAAAAACCAATGTTGACTCTAAGTTTAACCAACCAAATTGCCTAAAGCGCGGGAAAACGCGGGCGACTAAGTCGTGATTGCTATATTTTTGCATCTGATTGATTAGGAGAGTGAGGCGAGTTTTCTGGACCAATCACAGAGCTAGGTAAAGCAAAACTGTTGTGTATTAGGGCTCGATATACTACTATAGAGTAATGAGTGAAACAGACCAAGTTCTCTACACAACTGCTTTATTAGAATATGATGAATATAATTGCATATAATGATATATAAGGACAATCAAGTGATTGTGGTCAAGGGTGTGCTAACCAATAAAATGCAGCTTATTTCATAGGTAAGATATTTATCCAAATATAGGGAGAAACCTTACAAAAACCAATAAAGTTTAAGATGACTTTCGACACTCAATCAAAAAAAATTGCTCTATAGAGGGTTATGTAGAAAGTGCAGTTGGTGTCTTCGCAATCTCTAGAGATCACAAAAACCTTTCAATACCATAGACGTTTCTTGTGACCTCGCTTGGTTCCGTAGCATGTCCTGGTTGTCGTTCTGTTGTTGTTCGTTGGTCATCGTCTCATTCGGAGCAGTAGACCTTTGGGTTACTTCCACGATGATATGACTGTTATTCCTGCAGCACAACATATCTGCAGCAACGGTTCGAAATCTGTGGAGAGAAATTTGTACTTGCTTATTGACTCGAAGGTGATATAAATTTTATAAAATAACGTTTTTGTTGTATTAAACATATGTAAAAATTTATAGTATTACAGACTTTGATACAACACTTAAGTCAAAAAAAGACCAACATTTAGGTCTGATTGTCATCTTTACTGGGCAATGGACCTTTCTCCAACCAAAGGTCTGGAGGAAAATTGAAAAGTTATTGGATGGGGGTGAGGGTTGGATGGGAGGCGAGGGGTGGGGGTTGGATGGGAGGCGAGGGGTGGGGGTTGGATGGGAGGCGAGGGGTGGGGGTTGGATGGGAAGCGAGGGGTGGGGGGCTAAAGGAGGGGTGAAAAAGAAGTAATAATAATGGCTTAGAAATTCACGATAAAATGAGGCAATGATAGAGATGAGACTCGTAAGACTTATCGCTCTGTTATGAGTGACATTTTCTTACGATGGATGATAGTTACAATTCATTTCTTACATTACTCGTTCACATTCAATTCTATGGGGATCATGAAGCATTTGTACTCGTAACAGGCGCTTCAACGCATTCTTTTCCCTTTTCTCACCGCTTGCAGACAAGCATGCAGAGCAGCGGGTTGTACATGAGGCTGGCCTTGGCGAATATTCCAGGGATGAAAGACTGATCTCTGTCAAAAATTTCTGAGCCACCTATGACTGATATCATAGCAGACACACAATAAGGGGTCCAACTGATGGAAAAGCTGACTATGCCGAGTACGACCATCCTGACAGCTTTCCTTGTCAATGCTTTTTCCTTGGTCGTCCTCAGGTTTTCATCAGGGACTTTCCTTGATTTCTGGTAAATCCTCGCGAAACAGACCAAGGAAACGTACAAGGGTGCCACGAAGGCCAAAATGACGAGTATGATCAAGTAGGCGTGTCCAGCTGAGGTGTTATCTCGCCAGTTTGGGATACAAATAGTACCACCAGACTCAGACGAAAATGAGCCCCAACCCACAAAGGGAGGAAACATGACGGCAATTCCATAGAACCACGTGACTGCCATCGTCTTCATGCTCTTGTAAGGTTTCCAGTCCTCTTCTTCGCCCAAGGCAAATTTGAAATCAGCGTCTGGAGCTTGATCATGCATCCTGCGAAAGATTTTGAAGAGGGACAATGTCATGGTGGCAAATGTTGTAATAGATGCCGCCCCAACGAAGAATCCTCGCATCTGAAATAAAAGAAACAGTTTAGTCAAATGAACTTCGGAGTCGCAAACAAAATCCTCATTTTATACAAATGAAATTTCGATGCTTGTCTTTCACGTGAATTTTTTCTTTGTTGAAGAGAAACAACAAATTTATTTGAGGATAAACATCTTTTTCTCTGTGGCTATAAGAAAACCAAAGCTCAGAGAGCGAATTGAGATGTCCAATCCTTCTCTGTAATTAATGCGGAAGACGTTGTTTTTCGAAACAGAAGCGTCCAATTTTATCCATAATGATTCCCTGATCCCCTTATTTCAGCACCACTCTGCATGAATAAAATCCAGGCTGTTTGAAAGTTTGACAGGTAAAGAGTTGCCAGTGCTCCATGATTTAAATTGCTTTGTTTTCCGTTTGTTAGATTGAAGGTTTTTTCTGTCCTGTGTGTGCATGTCTGTGCCATGACTAATCAATCAATCTTACCTGACAGAAAATATCTCCCATCAGTTGTTTTTCTGCGAATGCGGAGATCGCTACTGCTGGCAGGTCCACTGTTATAACCAGGACGTTCGCCAGAGCAATGTTCAGAAAATATGGCGTGAGGTGGAATTTTCGAAACTGTCTCTTGCACAAAATCAGAAACGAAAGCACTTGAATTGCGGTACCAATAATGGCCAGCGCGATAACGCTGATACCTATGCTGAGAAATTCCACCTTGTTTAGTGAAGGCATTCTCAACTGTTGTGGAGTGAGGGAGGACTTCCAGAATGAACTTAACCCCTTTCATGACGTCATTCCATGTTGTTATTTTCTTCCTTTTCTTATTTTTACTATGTCAGAAGTATTGAGAATGTAGACACTCATCGAAGTAAAAAATTCATAGCTAAGTACTTTTAGCTACACCTTGCTTACTTATTGAGGGGAAATCAACGCAATTTACTGACTGATTAATTACTAGTTTGTCTCAACAGAATTCCTCTTGTCCTTGTTTTATGTTTAGATCTTAATGCATTAGATTTGACCTAAAGTTGTACCATATTTTCATTTAAAACTAATTTCCATTTACTTACGTCACTCTAAGTTATATAATGTTACATTCAGTTATATAATATTATATTTAAGTTATATAACGAAGATATTTTTGTTTTTCTTCTTTTCAGACAGTTATCGTCGCTACATTAATTTGAAATACTAATCATAAGTATATTAAGCAGACCAGCTGCACTGCCATAGTTTTTTTAATATGTGTTTTTTTGTAAATAAGGCAATTTTATTCTATGAAATGAGTTTGGAAATCTTCCCTCTTAATCTGCTTCATCCATCTAAAACAGATCCAAATTTTTCGTTCATTCACAATTTCTAGCCATATCTCTCTGGCATGTCCAACAAAAGGATAACTTTGGATCGATTACAACGGTGCCAATCGTAAAATAAATTTTATTATCAAATCGTTAATTATGCATAAGTTTATTAACTTCTTGTGTGTCCCCACTTGGGTCACATGGTAAACCAAAAACACTTGAGCAAGCATGTCTGGATATCCACACATCCAAACATGTGTGTTTGGATATCCAAAAACACGTGTTAGGATATTCAACACGTGTCAGGATATATTGAAGTTCACACGGCAACCAGGTGGACAATGAGACAGTTTGATGCTACTCTGGTTTGCAGATTTAATGAATGTAACCGAAGAAGTTACAATTCATAGACCCTATTAAATCTGCAATCCAGAGTAGCATCAAACTATGTCTGACGTGTTAGGATATCCAACACGCGTGGTTGGAAATTAATAAGCCACTTCATGGTCAAACTTGTGAGCCAGATGTCTAGGGAAATGCTTTCCAGGTCTTCAAACCTTTCTTCAAGATATTGCTTACGATGAAAATCATAATCCGTGAACACACTATTTCATCAAGGTCTTTGAACACTCCAAAATAATAAAATCATCAGTCTTCTCGTGTTTACAAACCCTGATAAAATACTCGCCCACGTTTATGAAATATTACATGATATATAAAGCCTGAAATGGATTGAAAAACAAATTCTTAAAATGATAAAACCAGCAAAATTACATTCACTGATAAGACAGTTTTCAACTGAAAGTCGAATCATCAAAAATAGGGTTATCACATCGGCAGTCAGATCAAAGGTTGACGTCATCATTAGCCAATGGAAACTCAAAGTAAAACCACTTGAACCGAGGGAAAATGGGAGCGAACAAGTCGGGATTGGTTTAAGTTTTGCGTTTTGATTGGTTTAAAGGGTGGCGTGAGTTTCTGGACCAATCACACAGCGAGTAAAGCAAAACCAAAATAATCATGGTTTATTTATAATTCACAGAGAATTAATTTACATTCAGTAAATGAGCTGCTGCGGTCCTGTCTATGGCCCCCCTTCCCCTACTGGTCATTGTTAGGGTCCCCTCCCCCCTTAAAACCTGTTTCCTTTGTTCGCAGTAATGAGCCACGAGGTACTATAAACCTCACGCCTCTAGATATGAGTTTTAACTCTCCAATGTACGCAAATAAATTATATTAGGCTTACAAACCTTGTCACTGTAAAATACTAACTTCTAGTTAGCGAAATTAATTCAGCACATTTTGACCTTCGAGTGATAAATAATTAAAGACGTGATCCCCGCAGGTGAGCTTCAAGAATTTTAAATGATTATCGATGTTCCTTACACTGTGAGTTGTTAAGTTCCGTAAGTGATGCTTTTACTACAAGCTCTGAAAGTCAAACTAAAGTTTAGAATTTCTAAGGAAACAGAAATTACGTGAGAAAATTTACTCTCCGTGAGGTCAAAGCTCTGACAAGAAGACGTCCTGTCAAAATACGTCTTCACTCAATTTCCACTGTTTGATATCCACGGCCGTATATTTACATACGGATTTAAGCAGTCTGCAATATTTGAATTGAATAAAAATATTTGATGGAGGAAGTTACGCGATTTGGTTCGACAAAAATTGAATTGAGACTTTGTAGAATGCCGTATGACGAAATAAAGGCATATTTTAAGGAAAAGCTTTTGATGTCGAATGGTTTTTGCAAAACTCAAGACTTCATTCGCTGTTAGCTTTCCCCTGATGGCACTTTCGGAAATTTTTGTCGATTTGTGGATATAATTTTGACAATGTCTAAAACCAGACATCTCTGCTCTTAGATTTAGAGGAAAGAATAGATGCTTGGAGTGAAAAACATGATTCTAAATCGCAGTTTTTCTTAGAGTTAGAGTAAGCTCGTAACGTCTTGAAATTCAAAATTTAGACGATGTTTCTGGCACAGAAATTAACGCATAACGCTTAGGCAGTTTAAAATCAACTGAATGGGAATCGCTTTTTAAGCTGCAATGTACGTAATGTTTAACCAACGCTAATTAAACAAGATTATTTATAATGTTTGATTATGATGGGCTAAATAATTAAGTCGAGACGAGCGCCGAATTTTTATTTTTATCCATTTCGTTCGGCGTTTATTTTAGCGATCCTATGAAGTCACATTAACAGCAGTCTTTTCAAATATTCTCATATCTTTGGAAAGGATCACTGATATTTATTTAAGGACCGCGGTGCGTTTCATGAGAAAGAAGCATAACGCATTGCATGTGTACTTTGATTTTTGCACTGAGAATAATGCTTTTTCTTGGGAATCTGCTTAAAACGCAAGTTTCAGCGACAAGGATATTGATGACTGCTTTCACCATGGTGCTTGTTTTGAATCTTCAAAGGGTAATACCAGAAGTTATAACAGCGTCATTTGAGATAAGACTTTTTCATTACTTGCACATCAGTGTTCTGGAAAAAAGACATGTTGTCGAGCCCATCGATTGCAGCTTTGCTTGTCTACAAAATGTATTCTGTGTTTCATTCAATGCTGCTGCCGTTGCTGATGGAAAAGGGAAGTATTGGTGCGAACTTCTGTCGTCCAACATGCACAGCGATGCTGCAAAACTAGCGGCAAATTATCAATCACACCACTACAGCCTTTCGCAGGTATTTGAGAAATGATTAGATCTTTGAATTTCCCTTTTCTCTTCCACTGAGACTAAAATAACAAAGAAACCAGAGGTCTTTTGTTGTTTATGTCGTGGGTTGTTTCACGATTGAATTTCCAATATAGGTATTTCAAAATACTTCGGGTTCAACTTTGTAGCTTCTAGGTTTATTTGTTATGCGATAAGATGTCCTTTTAAGTAATTTATGTATGCATTTACTGCTGTTTTATGTTACTCATTTGTTCTATATTTTTTAGAATTCTTGCGGCGGTGAAATCTGCTCGAGTCAAGGGAAGTGTAGAGCAATATCCTCTAGAGACGGACCCTTCGAGTGCGTCTGTCATCCCGGATATGTTGGAAAACATTGTGAAATTGGTAAATAGCAATTTTTTCCAGATTAATTTGAAATTCTCAGATAGATGTTATTTCTCTTGGTGATTACTCTTACAACTAAAGATTAATTAGTGTGTTTCACGTTACATCCGACGTAACCATGCCATCTAGTTTGCTTATTGTGACATGAGATGAGTGCATGGGAACAGGAAAAATCAGGTGAAAATATAAGGTGGGCGATAGAGAAATGAGGCATCCATTAATCTAAGTTGAATTGAAATTTGGGAAACTAAAACCATTCGCAACTTTGTCACCGTTCTTTATGCAATTTACTGGCTTTTTCCTACTGTCAACTTCAGCTAGACTTTCTTATGGATTAGGCGAGCTCTTCAAGAGTAACTAGTGATGACACGATATTTGGAGCGTATAGTTTTCCCTTACATGTAAAGTACCTCTATTTTAAAGGAACCATAAACAATAATCCAGAAAGAAAGAAAAAGACCACAACGAAAAGGAAAAACTAGAAAGGATCATGGGTTTTTAAAGATAGAGAAGCAGAAGTTAATATGGATTGCAAATCTTTAACTTAATTATGTTGGAAAACCTGTCTCAATATGGACACATCATTACCTGGGCCCTTAAGTATTTCTGGTTCTCTATACCCTACTTCCTTTGAGGTCAGCAAATATCTTGTCTGATTATAATTAATTTTTCAATGTACAATCGTAGGATTTTAACTTTTGTGCATGTATTTCAGCTGCACCGGAGTGCTTGAATTATAAAGTGCTACGCGAACCAGATCGGCACATCTCCTACGGAAGAGGTAAAAAAGAAGACAGTTCCTTGATCCCTGGCTGGTACAGATTCCAGTCCTATTTATACGAAAAGATGCTGAACTATAGCGTCGGTCATCACAAATGCCACACAGACCTAACAGGCTGGTTAAAAGGCTCACATCCATCGATAGAGGATGGTATTGTCGACAGGGAAGTTTGTTTCTTTGGATACAACAAATGTTACAGAAGAGTTCACGTTCGTGTGAGAAAATGTAATGGGTTTTACGTGTATTTCTTAAAACCATCTCCTCCAGGAAATTTTCGTTACTGTGCAGTGTAGTGGACCCTTACTCTAAAATGGCTAAAAAAAATTGAACTTCCCTTAGAGAGAAAAAAAAGTGCTCTGAAAATACTTGCTGTAAAAGCCCGGTTTAATAATTTGGCCTGGTCACGTGTTGGGAGCAATGACGATCTGAAATTGTCTACATTTACAGATCTGCCTTTTTTCAGTTGAAACAGCATTAAGCTGGATAATGTTAGAAGAATAGCGAGTAAAAAATGGTCTTTTAATTTAAAGGTTTTTGGTGTAAAGTTCTGTTTAGCCGCAGGCGCTGCTTTTAGAAAGAAGGGTTCGAGTAAAATTAAAGACACAGTTTAACCAAGACTTAAAGATGTGTTGGTCTGAAATAAGAGTCTGACTCTTGTTACAATTTGTGAGATTAACTGACTTGTGCCCAGCCTGCAAACGCAAGACAAAAGCTTGCATGGACACCGCGCTATCAACATAAAGTGCAGCAACCTTTGTTTTCGTCTTGAATTTTTGCCGGCTTTCGTTAACAGTAATTAACTTCGACCTCTATGGGCTCCTGCTTGTGCTGACTTTGATTAGAGTTACCCTCATCACGGAGGGGAGCATTTCATTGTAAATTTATCACCATTTATCTATCCACCGAGCGGAAAGTCGATCAAAATATTGAACAATAGAGTTCCAGAAATCCTGTTGATATCATTCATTTTTATGAGCAATCTTGCTGAATAAGTCGAAAAGACATCTGGTACCTGAAAGGATTTGTGGGAAAGTAACTTCTGATAATCACGAGGTCTACCTATTAGTCTCTAAAGAAACTGCTTCGGAAGGCAATAGAAATAGTTGATTGGTTATCAACTACGATTAGATAAAAGTAGTTACGAGAATCTCATACTGATCAAATAAAGGTTTGGAGGCATCTTTGTCTTTGTTTTTCGTCAGTCACGAAAACGATCACCTAATCTGCTCCTTCCTGCCTGTCCGATATAAAGCTCTGTCAGAGAGTGCTAGTTATGAAGTAGATAACATTGAAAGTGGTTGGTTTTTTTTAATATGTAGCGTTTGGGAGCTGAAATTGAAAGTTAGAAGGGACAGGTGTTGTATCGTGTTTTAATTTCCACTGATTAATTTCTCATCTTTTGTCAAAACTGAAGGATTTATTACATATATTTCATCATTTGAAGACTATCAGGCATCTATCTGGCGCTAAAATTTGTCTGGTAGAAGTTCACAAACGAGATGAAATTCTGCGCTTTCATCGCTTTAATAGTTTGCCTTTCGAACCGTTATGGAGTCGTTGCTAAAAACATAATAGCTTCGTATGAGCCACTGCTGTACCATTACCTTAACGCTTCTTACATAATGAGAATGTTTGTGGAGGACATCCTCGACTGTAGCCTAGCTTGCCTTGAGAACAACCTCTGCGTTTCATACAACTTGGCGGTTAATGTTGATAGTGAAGGAAAACGCTGGTGTGATCTTTTATCGTCCCATATCTACAAAAACGCTGAACAGCTCATTGCAGATCAGTACTCACATCACCTCACGTTGAAGGTACATAATTAGTAACGTCAGTGTAGCCTAACAGGACGATCTGATAGTTAGCAGAAACTGGAGGTAGAAGAAATACTGTATAAAACACTACACAATTTAAATACAGAATTTTCAAGACCAAATTCATCGAAAGGAACGACCTTACTTCGTTTAATCTGAGGAATAAAACGCTACACAATTTAAATACAGAATTTTCAAGACCAAATTCATTGAAAGGAAGGACCTTACTTCGTTTAATCTGAGGAATAAAACGCTACACAATTTGAATACAGAATTTTCAAGACCAAATTCATTGAAAGGAACGACCTTACTTCGTTTAATCTGAGGAATAAAACGCTACACAATTTGAATACAGAATTTTCAAGACCAAATTCATTGAAAGGAAGGACCTTACTTCGTTTAATCTGAGGAATAAAACGCTACACAATTTGAATACAGAATTTTCAAGACCAAATTCATTGAAAGGAACGACCTTACTTCGTTTAATCTGAGGAATAGTGAGAGTAAGCTTGCAGTTCCACTACTCGGCAAATAATTTTCAAGCGAAGCTTTAGTTACAGTAGTGCGGTGTTGTGGAATACCTTTCCTCACCACTTGCGTCAAGCGTCATCATCAATAGACTTTAAAACTCAAGCTAATAAACCGCCACAACTTCCAAAATCGGTGAATTACTTATTTCTTTATCACTTATGGTTCGAAAATCATGTGATTCATTTTTTAATATTATTTCGTATTTATATCCATCACTTGTTTCTACGAAATCCCTGAAGGATCCGTGGGTAAATAAAGTTGACTTGAGTTGAAATACATAATTTCAACGCGAGTCGGATCACAATTTACCTTCCAAACATACAGAGACGTAAAAGTATTACATAACGTCACTTTGTGGAATGTTAACAAAACTATCTCGCCAATTGTCTCCTACTAAAATATTAAATGAGGAAAGAAAGCCAATGGAAAGATGCGAATCTTGTGCAACTTTCTCTCTGCGAAAAAAACGTAAACTCAGATTTGATCTGCACTCATTTTTTAATGATAATTTTTGATATCATTTACCATGTTTATCAGCATATGTGGGTGGATTCAGCTAACAAGAAATATTCAGAATTAGAAAGTTTATGAAAAGAAAAACATTCACTTTCTTTATCAAAAGGCACCGTGGTGTCTACAGTAATTAAAAAAAGATCTCCTGTAGGGTCTGATAAATTATGCTTGGCATAATGCTATATTCAAAGTATCGAGCATGATGTCGCTATAGCGACCAAACTTCACTTGTTACAATTCAAACACGAGATAATTTCTGTAGCCTGAGTATTTTCAACAATAAGCTTATTTTTCTCGCTTACTCTTTAACAATTTTACCCAGTAAAACATTGTGTTCTTAAACCCGGTGAACCCCCTCTTCGTAACTCTTTTACCTGTTGGTGGCAGGTATGGGAGGGGTGGGTAGGGGAGGTTGAGGGGCTCTTACGAGCTATAATTTAGAATTATGACATCACAGGCAAACAACGCTATGTGTTCGTGGTTAATAATTGTTGACATGAGACTAACAGAATCTACGATGGTTAAGAATAAAGCTCTAAAATTTGCATTTCTGAATTACATCTCGGTCTGATTATCTCATAAAAGTTAAATGAAATTACTTTTGGTCAGCTAAAAGTTATCTCGTAAAAAGACGTCCCACGAAGGCAAAAAAATAGAGTAATTTATCTGATCCTCGTCTCTCGGCGGTGAAGTTTCTGAGAAAGCAAATCGGAGGCAGTAGACATATTTTTCAATCATGATAAATGGAAGCAAAAACGTCAGTTTCCTGCAGATAAAAAACAAAGTTTACGGGGATGGAAAACGCTCGGAAAAGAAAAAGGATAATTTTAATATCAACAAAGACACATATTCATGAGAATTAATTGAAACGTTTTTCTAAGTTCCAGAACGAGAAGGCACATAATCAGTTATGAGGGCAGATTCCTAAAATCTCTTTTTCGCTTTGGAGGAAAACCGGCCGTTCATGTCACCATATCATGATTGACTGGGGTCTTCAGCAATCTTCACTCGTAAAGTTCGTTTTGGAAGGCTAAAAACACAAAACATCTTTATATTGTAGCAACTAGAATTTACAAGAAACAGCTAACTGTCAGAAATAACTGTCAAAGAATTTTTATCATGTATCAGTATTATATTCGAGTTTAGCTAAAGGTTACGCCAGGGTTACGTAACCGCGGCAGATACGTACGTATTCTTCCATCAATAAGCGTTGCTTCATTCGCCAGTTCTTGTCACTTTGTTGATTTTAACTGAGTAGTTTTTATCCATCTGAAGTGTCAGATGAATAAGCAGCAACTAAACTACTCTCTACATCTAGTTACAAGCTCGGCTTTTATAGGTACGGTTGAGGATCTAGAACGTTCCGTAACATTACAACAGATTCAATTTATATATTGATTCATGGATGACTCAGCATGACACAGTTACTTCTAGAACATTCTTGAAGGTCACACTACATCATCTATGTTAGTTGTTTCTGGTGTCCGAGTAACTTCTTCGTTAATAGTCTCGTTGACCTGGATATCGATACGCCACAGACTTTAGTTGTTGTTGTTGTTTTTTTTTTTGTATTTTTGGTTTTGTTTTGTTTTGTTTTTTTATGCGGTTTTTTGCTTATATTTTATATTAAGATATCAAAACAGAGATTATGTTCGCAGACATAAATCTGTTTCGAGCCCGACTCAGTCATTTAGCCCAGCCTGCTGGGCGTTGGTTAAAATGAGCTCTGAAAAGGGCCTTAAACTTTTTTATTCCAAAGAAAATAAACTGTTTTCACTATTACAGTTACTTTGGACGACACTGAGAAAATGAGAATGACGAAAAAGTACAACAAAGCGACTACCAAAGTAGTCTGAACAATCACGCAAGCGTGCGAGTAAGCTAAACTACACTTTAGCCCGCAAAGTGCATCACAATGCCAAATGTTTTCATCAATGCCCAATGCTTTCAGTTGCATTGAATCCCACCATTATACACATTTATTTGGTTAATAAACTATCTGTGCATAAGGTATGGTTTTTGATAAAGTTTCCTAGCCAACTGTATTTAAGCTGAGGGTGCGCTTACAAAGTGATCATTATTTCAAGTCCGGTAGCCTGCGTAGCTAGCAGAATTTTAGGTGCTCTGGCTTTAAAAATTGTAAACTCAATTTAACAATCTTTATTCTTTTTAGAATCCTTGTACCAGAGAAGCCTGTTCCAGCCATGGGATATGCTCACCGATTTCTTTGAGAGAAAAAATCCATAAGTGCGTCTGTTACCCGGGCTACAGTGGCACTAATTGTGAAATTGATAAGTGGCTTTTGAATTTTTTTGTCACATATTTACCGAAACGAATATTCTTTGCTATGTTACTTATAACTACAACGATCTTTATGACAGGTGTGACATTTTTCGGATTGGTCATACTTTCTAAACACTGCAGTCAAACGTACGTAGGGCATGTTGAAGTCCTAAATGTAATAACTGTCCTAAATGTAATAAAGTCCTAAATGTAATAACATTTGGTCCTAAATGTAATAAACTCCTAAATGTAATAACATTTAGTCCTAAATGTAATAAGCCACCAATGCAATCGTTCAACTCCTTCAGTGCATAGTTGTTATGGCGGACATCCACACTGAGATGTTAGTGACAGCTGTTGCACCAAAAAAACCGCTGACCAGTACACATGTCACATTACGGGCTCGCTGATATCAATCAGCGTCTTTTTACTTGCTAGACATCATGGTTCATAAAGCGGTTTATTGATCGAGTTGAAGAAAATCATTTCCAGCCCAAAGTGGGCTAGTGCTTGGCTGGAAGCTTAATAGGATGGAATAGATTGGTACGAGATTATTAATTTTTTGGAAAAGACATTGACTACAATTGATGATGAACTAGCTTGCTTTTGTTGATGTTATCGTTCGTGTTAAAGTCTTTAGTAGTGATGCACCATTTTAGAGCAGTTTGAATGATTTCGCTGTGTCACATGTTAATCCAAAAGAAAATTATTATTATCAGTAGCGTTACTGAAATTTTGCACATCAATGTTATCCAGTGTCGGTTGATTTTAATGAAGCATTTGAGTTCATTTTTAAGAATGACTATCCTGATTTATTCAATTTTGAACTTAGGGTATTGCATTTCTAGCCCTCTATGGCTTTACTCCACCTCAGTAATCAGTTCATGTACCATATGACTATAAGTGGAAACTGTTGAGCTTTCTTTTTTCATTCATCTATATATCTATTCATTTTCTCCCCTCACGGCGGGGAGAAGAGATGAAGACAAAAAATGAAATATAAACTTGAGATCAACTTTAAAATATATTTTTTTCCCAATATTTCGGTTCGGGAACTGATGAACCCGTCATAAGGGGCTAAAGGAAAAAAATGAATGGTTCATTAGACCGTCAACTGACCATCATGTGTTGAATGTCGTAGCTCAATGGTTCAATTTGACTCTTGCGTGGAAAAAAGGCAACATGTCGAGACCAGTGATCGTGAAATGGGATAACATATAATTGGTCAGTAAATATCTTGCTCTGTAAGTCACTTTATCATATAGCTAGCAGCGCACGCGGGCAAAATGAAGTGAATCCTGTGTTCTGATTGACTACCTGAGCGGGCATGATGGGCCCACCCTCGCCCCCCCGGGATTCCCCGTATTGATCCCACGCAAGAAAACCTACAAAGTTCGTAACTTTTGGACAATGTTTGCATATACATAAAAAAAAAGAAATTAACGATCCTCCTGAGTTTATTGTGCTGCAAACACAGCTGGCTTTCACTATCGGCTCTCGAAATAAACGGGCCATTCTTGATTCTTATCAAAGTGAAATCTTTTGCTATACAATGAATCCTTTAATGATTAAGCCAAGAGAATATAAACTTCCTGACCAAGCTTGTATGGTCAAGATTACTGGATATTAGCCTCGTTTTTTTCTACTTTTTTATGGACTGAGACGAAGTCTCAGTCCATAAAAACGCAAAAAAAAAAGGAACTCGGCTAATATCCAGCCATTTTGACCTCACTCTTGGTCAATAACGCATATGAATATATTTTATGCAGACCCGTACAAATTTGGCAAGGGAAGACAGTACAAAAAATGCCCTTCCGAGCCCAGAATTTGTCTAAGGTATAAGTCGGTGGACTTCCTTTTCCTTATAATTCGGTTCATGAAGTGTTAACTTCAGCACTGATGACAGAAGTATATCGTTAAAATCTGTTACACTTAAGAGTCTGAGCCAATGATATAAAGACAGCTATTGGTCAACGTTCTCATTGCTTTTGCGTCCGTCAATTTGATGCCAAAAGCACATCAGTATCAGTATAAGGCTTTGTAACCAATGTTTCTTAACCTACGTCTTTAGCAAATAAAAAGACGCTGATTAATATCAGTGAGCCCGCAATATTCCATGAATATTGGTCAGAGGATTCTTTGGTGCAACAGCTGTCACTTTGACATCTCAATGTTAGCGCAGTTAAAAGATTGCATAGGAGGCTTATTACATTTAGGACCGAACGTTATTACATTTAGGACTTTATTACATTTAGGACAGTTATTACATTTAGGACTTCAACAGGGCATGGGTGAGGAGATTTAAGGTCCACCTTAGGAAATTGATAACGGGTATCCTATTGAATTTCCGTTTGGAGCTTTATTAAGGAATTTATACACTTCTGAAACACCGGGACTCACTGGCTTGTGTGCTTGTTTGTCGCTTGGTTCTGAAAGTCTGAAAGCACAATACCTAGGCGTCACCTAATCGTTACAACGTTGCCACATGCGCAGACGTTTCACCGCTGCTTATTTTTTTTCTGTGGTGGCCAACTAACATCCTATGGTTTTAAAAGGGCGGTAAATCCCCCCCTCTCCCCCCCCGCCTTTCGATTTCCGCCTTAATTGAAAACTCTAGTGGCTTTAACACCGTTACAAAGAGGGAAGGGGGGGGGGGAAAGAGAAGAATAAATAAAAATCTCTTTTAGGGTTTTCGCCACGTTTTTATAAACTTACAAAAGTAATCCAAACATAAATTTTAAAAGATTGTCTTCAGTGAGTTGCATCATATGATGCATATATGATATTTGGTGCTAGTACATGAGACATGAAACCAGGTTTTTTTTTTTTTAAACAAAATTGCAATTAAGAAAACGCCAGATTAAATGAAAACGGGTGACCTAATGTATACCACTACGATGCCTTTTGGAGATTTTCATTTTATATTTTCTAAAAATGATAAAATAGAACAAAGACCCTGACAATCTTAGTAAGAACTAAATAGCTTAAAACTCTCACTCTTTACGACGTCAATCGTAGGTTTTTTGATCGAGAGTAAAATGTGAATTTTTTTTTCAGACCCAGTGGGTTGCACCAATTACACTGTGCTGAGTGAACCCGATCGCCATACATCGAATGGAAGAGGAGAGAGCTCGGACGCATCTCTCGTACCTGGCTGGTACAGATTTCAGTCTGGTTCATACACTAAAATGCTGGACCACTGCGTCAGCCACCACAGATGTCACACAGACATAACAGGCTGGTTAAACGGGACTCATCCATCCCTCGAGGATGGCGTTGTTAACAGGCAGGCGTGCTTTCACGGTTATCATAATTGTTGTTACAGACGAGTTCAAGTTCAAGTGAGAAGATGTGAAGGGTTTTATGTTTACTACCTTAATCCATCACCAGCAGGAAAGTTTCGCTATTGTGCAATTGCCTAGGGAGGACCTTAAGCCACAGAACAGTAGCATGTGAGCGGCACTATTGTCTTCAAGTACAATACGCTATTAGGCTTAACTGCTTAGTAGCTATTGATATGTTTGAAGTCATAGCAAGGACAAAATTACCCTCGATATGGTAGCGGGAAGCCAAGATGGCTTAAAGGCGTTGTAAATTTTAGACGTCAAAGCGTTTGTTCTATTTTCCTAGAATCAATTATTAGTACTTTACGATCCCAAAGATTGACACATAAGAGGAACTGTATTCTGGCTACCATGTATGAAATAGCATCGCCTAAGGCCAGTAAAAAAACTTTCATTTTTTTTTAACCATAAAGGCCAACCTTGTTTAGCATATGTAGCGTAGTTTTACAAATGTAATCAAAATGCAATCATCGCCGAAGCGATGTATTATTGATAATAAAAAATCCTTTTTGAGTTATTATTACTATTATTTAAAAAATAATAATTTTACGTTAGCGTTTAGAATGGCATGTAGCTCGCAACAATCAGATTCTCGCGTTAGGGTATTTGGATATCTTGCACCAATCACAGCGTTTGGGGGCTTTACATAAAGAATGACATTAGCCAGGCTCATTTGATAAGTGTAATGGTTTGTGGCCTTCGCGAAGGCCTCGTCGCATTCAACGTTTTGTATCATTTTTAAGTTAGAGCTTTTTTCCCGCTCTTTTAATCACAACACACACGCCAAACAACTTACATTCCATTACGTACCATGAAAACAAAGTCCAATCAGAACATACCCAATCATTGCACTACATGAACATTAGGCAATTTTTTACGTGCTTTTATGGCATTCCACCAATCAAATTCCATTTTGCTACATTAGACTTCGCTCTATCACGAATAATTTCCTTGTAGACAACCCACATTTTATCACCTACTCTAACCGCGTTGTCCAACCCCACTGTAAAAAATTCACATGAAGCTAAATGTTATCGATAGTGATTTTCTCTCTGTCAGAGAAACGGTAGTAAGCTTAGTCCTTTTTGCAACCATTATTTGATCTTGTCACGCAACGCGCTCTCTCTCCAACGGGAAATAAATGGCGTTGTGTGACGAGACCAAACAACAGTTGCAAAGCGTGGCACTGATGCATTTTATTTTTACAATGGAGCAAAACAGAGACAATAGACCACAAAATACCTGTGTGAGTTCAGATAAGTTAGGTTTTTTTTCTTTTTCTTAGGTAAACTAATACGATATGATCGTTCTTTTGAAAGTTATGCTTTTTTTCTGTTACAAAAATGAAACAAGACATTAGGTACACAAAGTGTCCCATCTCAACCCACCCAGCCGAAAAAAGAAAGATAATAACTATCGCATGCTACGCATGCCCATATTTTAGCTTTTTGTCGACAATAGTCAGGATAACGAGGATAGTAAAATATTTATCATTTTACCATTACGGCGCCGATTAGGGGCAAAGGTACATTTAGTCATACTTAATTTAACTAATTTTCTCTGAGAGCATGCTGGGTATTTTTACTAACCACATGCATTTACAATGGCAGCCCTTTCTTCTTTGTGATATTGTTTCTTGCCTAAAATGTTCCATGTCACAGTTTGATGTCACGCAAATTCATCAAGTTCAGAATCGCAAGGTAGAGGGTCCATAAAAAAAATTGATGTTTAGTTGAGAAAAATGAAAACGTTGAGTAATGAAAGATTACGAATGTCAAACTGTTTAGAAATGGGTGGGAGGTATCTTTGATGCCTCTCAGACAGTCATCAACACCTTACCTACTTCTTCATGTCCAACTTTATTAAAAGCTTATATCCCATGGTGCTATACGTAGGAAGACTGAGGTACAATGAAATTGGTCGCTGATGTTTGCTTAGCGTTTGGGGCCTGAAATTAAAAATGAGAGAGGACAGGTGTCGTTTCACGTATTAACTCCCGTTCCATATTATTCATCAATTATTAAACATTGTAATTAGCCTTAGAAGCTTCGCATTAACTAGTTACTCTATCAGAATACAATGTATGTATATATCAATTTAACCTTGTTGTTTGGATTCTACCCATCATCTGTCTGGCATATCCATTCGTCGGGGATATGTTAACAAACGCGATGAAATTTTCATCTCCATCGCGATAAAACTTCGCCTTTTGAATCGCCAAAATTTTTCGTTCATTCACAATTTCTCGCCATATCTTTTCGAGCATGTCGAACAAGAGGATATCTTAGGATCGATCACAACAGTGCCAATCGTAAAATAAATTTTATTATCAAATCGTTAATGATGCATGAAGTTATTAGTTTCCAAAACTAGGGTTATCACATAGGCAATCAGATGAAAGGTTGACATCATCATTAGCCAATGGCAACTCAAAGTAAAACCACTTGAACCGGGGGAAAATGGGAGCGAACAAGTCGTGATTGGTTTCAGTTTTGCATTTGATTGGTTTAAAAGGTGGCGTGAGTTTCTGGACCAATCACACAGCGAGTAGAGCAAAACCAAAGCAATCCCGGTTTACTTATAATTCACAATAAAGAATTGGTTTACATTCATTAAATGAGCTGCTGCGGTCCTGTCTATGGCCCCCCTTCCCCTACTGGTCGTTGTTGGGGTCCCCTCCCCTCTTAAAACCTGTTTCCTTTATTCGCATTAATGAGCCACTGGGTACTATAAACCTCACGCCTCTAGATATGATCCCATATAGAATTCCCCCTCCAGAGTTTTAATTCTCGAATATGCGCAAATACATTACTATAGGGTTACAAACCTTGTTACTGTGAAATACTAACTTCTAGTTAGCGAAATTAATTCAGCACATTTGACCTTCGAGTGATAAATAATTAAAGACGTGATCCCCGCAGATGAGTTTCAAGAATTTTAAATGATTATCGATGTTCCTTACACTGTCAGTTGTTAAGTTCCGTGGGTGATGCTTTTACTACAAGCTCTGAAAGTCAAACTAAAGTTTAGAATTTCTAAGGAAACAGAAATTACGTGAGAAAATTTACTCTCCGTGAGGTCAAAGCTCTGACAAGAAGACGTCCTGTCAAAATACGTCTTTATTCAATGTCCATTGTTTGATATCCATGGCCGCATATTAACATACGAATTTAAAGCAGTCTGCAATATTTTAATTGAATAAAAATATTTGATGTAGGAAGTTATGCATTTTAGCTCGAAAGAAAATGAATAATGACTTCGTAAAATGCTGTATGATGAAACAGAGGCGCATTTTAAGGAAAAGCTTTCTGATGTTGAATGGTTTTTGCTAAACTCAAGGCTTCATTCGCTGTTAGTTTTCCCCTGATGGCAATTTCTGAAATTTTTGATTTGTAGATATAAATTTCACATGTCTAAAACCAGACATCTCTGTTCTTATATTTAGAAAAAAATAGATGCTTGAGAATGAAAAACATCATTCTGAATCGCAGTTTTTCTTGGAGTTAGAGTAAGCTTGTATTGTCTTGAAATTCAAAATTTAGACGACCTTTTTGGCACAGATTTAAATGCTTAGACAGTTTAAAATCACCTGAATGGGAATTACTTTTTCAGCTGCAATGTACGTAGCGTTTAACAATGCCAATTATACTCATTTTTTCCAGTATTTGATTATGATTAGCTAAACAATTTGATCGCTGAATGTTTAATTTTTTCCTTATTCGTTCGGCGTTTTCTTAGCGATCTAATGGAGTCACATTAACAGCAATATTTTCAAATATTCTAAGATCTTTAAAAAAGGATCACTCATTGATATTTATTTAAGGACCACGGTGCGTTTCATGAGAAAGAAGCATAACGTATTGCATATGTACATTAATTTTTGCGCTGCTTTTTCTTGGGAATCTGTTCAAAAGGCAAGTTTCAACGACAAGGATGCTAATGATTGCTTTCGCCATGGTGCTTGTTTTGAATCTTCAAAGGGTAATACCAGAAGTTATGACCGCGTCATTTGAGTTAAGACTTTTTCATTACTTGCACATCAGTGCTCTAGAAAAAAGACATGTTGTCGAGCCCATCGATTGCAGCTTTGCATGTATACAAAATGTGTTCTGTGTCTCATTAAATGTTGCTGCCGTTGCTGATGGAAAAGGGAAGTATTGGTGCGAACTTCTGTCGTCCAACATCCACAGCGATGGTGCAAAACTAGCGGCAAATTATCAATCACACCACTACAGCCTTTCGCAGGTATTTGAGAAATGATTAGATCTTTCAAATTCCCTTTTCTCTTCCACTGAGACTAAAATAATAAAGAAACCAGAGGTCTTTTGTTGTTAATGTCGTGGGTTGTTTCACGATTGAATTTCCAATATAGGTATTTCAAAATACTTCGGGTTCAACTTTGTAGCTTATAGGTTTATTTGTTGTGCGATAAGATGTCCTTTTAAGTAGTTTATGTATGCATTTACTGCTGTTTTATGTTACTCATTTGTTCTATATTTTTTAGAATTCTTGTGGCGCTGAAATCTGCTCGAGTCATGGGAAGTGTAGAGCAATATCATTTAGAGACGGACCCTTCGAGTGCGTCTGTCATCCCGGATATGTTGGAAAACATTGTGAAATTGGTGAATAGTAATTTTTTTCCAGATTAATTTGAAAATCTCAGATAGATGTTACTTCTCTTGGTGGTTACTCTTAAAACTAAAGATCAATTAGTGTGTTTCACGTTACATCTGACGTAACCATGCCATCTAGTTTGCTTATTGTGACATGAGATGAGTGCATGGGAACAGGAAAAATCAGGTGAAAATATAAGGTGGGCGATAGAGAAATGAGGCATCCATTAATCTAAGTTGAATTGAAATTTGGGAAACTAAAACCATTCGCAACTTTGTCACCGTTCTTTATGCAATTTACTAGCTTTTTCCTACTGTCAACTTCAGCTAGACTTTCTTATGGATTAGGCGAGCTCTTCAAGAGTAACTAATGATGACACGATATTTAGAGCGTATAGTTTTCCCTTACATGTAAAGTACCTCTATTTTAAAGGAACCATAAACAATAATCCAGAAAGAAAGAAAAAGACCACAACGAAAAGGAAAAACTAGAAAGGATCATGGGTTTTTAAAGATAGAGAAGCAGAAGTTGATATGGATTGCAGATCTTTAACTTAATAATGTTGGAAAACCTGTCTCAATATGGACACATCATTACCTGGGCCGTTAAGTATTTCTGGTTCTCTATACCTTACTTCCTTTGAGGTCAGCAAATATCTTGTCTGATTATAATTAATTTTTCAATATACAATCGTAGGATTTTAACTTTTTTGCACGTATTTCAGCTGCACCGGAGTGCTTGAATCATAAAGTGCTAAGCGAACCAGATCGGACCATCTCCTACGGAAGAGGTAAAAAAAAAGACAGTTCCTTGATCCCTGGCTGGTACAGATTCCAGTCCTATTCATACAAAAAGATGCTGAACAATTGCGTCGGTCATCACAAATGCCGCACAGACCTAACAGGCTGGTTAAACGGCTCACATCCATCGATAGAGGATGGCATTGTCGATAGGGAAGTTTGTTTCTTTGGATACAACAAATGTTGTTACAGAAGAGTTCACATTCGTGTGAGAAAATGTAATGGGTTTTACGTGTATTTCTTAAAACCATCTCCTCCAGGAAATTTTCGTTACTGTGCAGTGTAGTGGACCCTAGTTACTCTAAAATGGCCGGAAAAAATTGCACTTCCCTTAGAAAGAAAGTAAAGTGCTCTGAAAATACTTGCTATAAATGCCCGGTTTAATATTTTGGCCCGGCCACATGTTGGGAGCAATGAAACAGCACTAAGCTGGATAATGTTAGAAGAATAGAGAATGAAAGCTGCTTTTTAATTTCAAGGTTGCTAATGTAAAGTTCTGTTTAGCCAGCCGCTGTTTTTAAAAAATGTAGGGTTTGAATAAAATTAAAAATATAGTGTAACAATGACTGAAAGATCTTGGTCTAAAATAAGAATCTGACTCTTGCTACAAATTGTAAAATTGACTGACTTGTGCCCAGACCACCTAAGCCTACAAACACAAGAACAAAGCTTGCATGGTCAGCGTGCTACCAACATAACAAGCGGCACCCTTTGTTTTCATCTTAAATTTTTGCCGGCTTTCGTTAACATTAATCTACTTTACTGACTCTTTACTGAGAGTTACAGTTATCATGAAGGGAAGCATGCCATCACAAATTTATCACCATTTATCCATCCACCGAGAGTAATTTGCATCAAAATATTAAACAGTAGAGTTGCTGAAATCCTGTTGATATCATGAATTTTAATAATCTTGCAAGATAAATAAAAAAGACATCTGGTAGCTTAAAGGATTTTTAAGGAAGTAACTTCTGATAATCACGAGGTCTATCTATTAGTTTCTAAAGAAACTGCGTCGGAAGGCAATAGAAATAGTTGATTGGTTATCAACTACGATTTGATAAATGTAGTCAGCGAATTTTTAAGAAGCTGAAGTTCAGGGCATTTTCTCTTCGTTAAGGTAACTTTCGGACCCTCAGTGTTGCCTGGGTGACGAAAAATTCACAGACATCCTTTTTTTAAAAAAATTATTACGAGAATCTCAAACTGGTTGCATAAAGATTCCCACTGTCTGTCCGATAGAAAGCTTTATCAGAAAGTAATAGTTATTATGGGAACTAAATTGAAAGTTAGAAGGGACAGGTGCTATATCGCATGTTAATTTCCGCTGTTTAACTTGTCGTAAAAATTATCATAACTATATAATGTATTACATATGTCTTGTCATTTGAAGACTATCAGGCATCTGCCTGGCGTTAAAATTTGTCTGGTAGAAGTTCACAAAGGAGATGAAATTCTGCGCTTTCATCGCTTTAATAGTTTGCCTTTCGAACCGTTATGGACTCGTTGCTAAAAATTTAAGAGCTTCGTATGAGCCACTACTGTACCATTACCTTAATGCTTCTTATATAATGAGAATGTTTGTGGAGGACATCCTCGACTGTAGCCTAGCCTGCCTTGAGAACAACCTCTGCGTTTCATTCAACTTGGCGGTTAATGTTGATAGTGAAGGAAAACGCTGGTGTGATCTTCTATCGTCCCATATCTACAACAACACTGAAAAGCTCATTGTAGATCAAAATTCACATCACCTCACGTTGAAGGTACATAATTAGTTAGGTCAGTGTAGCCTACTGACAGGTCGGTCTGTAGTTAGCAGAAACTGGAAGTAGGAGAAGTACTGTATAAAACGCTACACAATTTTAATCCAGAATTTTTAAGGCCAAAACTCATTGAAAGGAACGAACTTACTTCATTAATCTGAGAAATAGTGAGAGTGAGCCTGTAGTTCCACTACTCGGCAAATAATTTTCAAGCGAAGCTTAAGTTACGGTAATTCGGTACTGTGGAATGGCTTTCCTCGCCACCTGCGTCGAGCGTCATCATCAACAGACTTTAAAACTCTAGCTGATAAACCGCCACAAATTTCAGTGAGTGAATCACTTATTTTTTCATCTCTTATGCTTTAGTTATAGCTATCGTTCGACAGCCTTGCAAATCATGTTATCAATTTTTTTTGTATTATTTCATTTTTATATCTATCACTTGTTTATACGAAATCCCTGAAGGATCCGTGGGTAAATAAAGTTGACTTGACTTGAATTTCGTAATTTCAGCGCGAGTCGCAACACAATTTACCTTCCAAACATACAGAGACGTGAGAGCATTAAGTAATGTTACTCTGTTGAATGTCAACAAAACTCTCTCGCCAGTAGTCTCCCATCAAGTTTTACATGAGGAAAGAAAGACGATGGAAAGGTCCGAATCATGCACAACTTTCTCTGTGCGAAAAAGAGCTAGTAAACTCAGATTTGATGGGTACTCATTTGTCAGTTGATGATAATTATTGATATCATTTACCATGGTTACGTGCATGTGTGAGTGGATTCAGCTAACAAGAAATATTCAGAATTAGAAAGTTTATGGAAAAGAAAAGCATTCACTTTCTTGATCAAAAGGCGCCGCGGTGTCTATCATAATTAAAAGGAGATCTCCTGCAGGGTCAGATAAATTATGCCTGGCGTAATGCTCAGCATTATAAAGTATATTCAAAGCATCAAGCATGATGCCGGTATAACGACCAAACTTCCTCTGTTACAATTCTAATTATATACAAGAAAAAATTACTCAGTTCTAATTGGCCAAGATAAGTGCAGTTTTTAGGTAATTCAATGCAGAAGAGGATTAATTCAGGGCAAAGAAAGTAACAAACCAGACATTCTGATTGGTCAATAAATTTTTGCCGGCTTTCGTTAACATTAATTTACTTGTACTGACTTTAATTAGAGTTACAGTTATCATGAAGGGGGGCATGCCATTACAAATTTATCACCATTTATCCATCCACCGAGAGTAATTTGCATCAAAATATTGAACAGTAGAGTTGCTGAAATCCTGTTGATATCATGAATTTTAATAATCTTGCAAGATAAATAAGACATCTGCTAGCTGTCTTGTCATTTGAAGACTATCAGGCATCTATCTGGCTTTAAAATTTGTCTGGTATAAGTTCACAAAGGAGATGAAATTCTGCGTTTTCATCGCTTTAATAGTTTGCCTTTCGAACCGTCATCGACTCGTTGCTAAAAATATAAGAGCTTCGTATGAGCCACTACTGCACCATTACCTTAACGCTTCTTATATAATGAGAATGTTTGTGGAGGACATCCTCGACTGTAGCCTAGCTTGCCTTGAGAACAACCTCTGCGTTTCATTCAACTTGGCTGTTTTTGCTGATAATAAAGGAAAACGCTGGTGTGATCTCCTATCGTCCCATATCTACAACAACGCTGAAAAGCTCATTGCAGATCAGTATTCACATCACCTCACGTTAAAGGTATGGCTAGGAATATAAATTACGTTAGGCTTTCAGTGGACTGGAATACAGTGCGGAGTAAGAAAGGAATACAAACAAAATTGCGGGTCGGATTGTTTACATGCAAAACCTTCATATCCGCACGATACAGGTTCCGCAGATTAGGGATATTATTAAAAACGATACATAACACCACTTATGCCATAATTGACCACTTAATGTACATAATCTCGCTAAAAACTACTACTAACGTTGATTTCGGGAGGGAAACGTGGATTAAAAATTACTTGAAAGAATATTCATAGTTTTATGTGGGTGGTTCCTCTTTAATTAACCGTTCAGTATTGGTGGAAGATAAAATGTAATACAAACAGGATTCAGAACTCAGTTAAGGGTGACCTTGATGGAATTGACCACTTGATAAAGGTGAAAATTACATTAATTAAGGGGAGACAAATTTGGAACTTTGACTATCGATCGCTTTAATTATTACAGGGTGACCGCTAAAACGGTGCGGCTTAATACAGTTTTGACTCTATTCGGAATTGTAGCGGTCATGAATTAGAAAAGCAAGCACTTTCTTGATCAAAAGGCGTCCTGGTGTTCCTCATAAATAGAAAGAAAGTCTTCAGGCAGTGAGGTTTGCAAACAAAGAGGCTTAAATTTTGTTTTCAGAACTCAATGGAATTTGAACACGAGCCATAGGAAACGAAGTCTTTTTTAATAATGATCATGACAAAATGAAAACAAAACAACCGAAAAAAAAGACAGAATATTAATAAAAAAAAAACAAAACAGAAAAACCAGGCGGTTTTGTTCATGTTGGATAACGGTCCTAATTAAACAACAAGGTATTCTCTGTTGCATGTCACCTAGGATGCTTAAATTACCAGCCGGCTGAAAATATAATTGACATAACCACAGTGGTTTTATGAACATAACAATGTTTGTTTTTTAGAATCCTTGTACCGAACAAACCTGTTCCAGCCATGGAATATGTTCGCCGATTTCGCTCAGAGACAGAACCCATAAGTGCGTTTGTTACCCGGGTTATCGCGGCAGTAATTGTGAAATTGGTGTGTAACTTTTAAGATTTTTTGTTGTTTTTCAACTGAATTGATTAAGCTATGATATGATACTGATAACAACAATTGATCTGAATAATGGATCACTGATTAGTCTAAGGAGTTATATTTTGTGTGATGAGAGCCACAATCTCACTCCATCCCTTTAAAAGGGCGTTCAATCGATCCCTCTCCCTGCCCTTGGGTTTTTCTGGCTCTAACACTGGTACGAGAAGTTCGAGAACGTATTTAACTCCTTTTAGGTCTTCGCTACGTCTTAAAATCTTTAGGAGCTCCACAGCATGATGCATATATGATATTCGGTGCTGGTACAACAGTCACACGAACGGCGTTTATGGAGTTTTCAAAGAAAATTGTACCTAAGGAAACACCGTGCTAAAGGAAGTCAGGTGATCTAAAGTAACCATATGATGCTTTTTGGAACTTCAATTTTCATCAAGTCTTCCCCCAAATTAATAAAAGATGGTAACTGAACCGCTGGGTGGGGTGAGATTTGGTCTGAAATGATATGCGTGATTTTGTACTGGTAATCGCATGATTTTGTGTGCAATTTGGGATAAATCAGCGCGCGTAAATTTTTTCAAAGACTAAAGCCATTTATCGCCGTTAATTTTTGGAATCCTCAGACTTCCAGACTTTCATCCAGTTCTTTGTGCTTTTTTGGGTGTTTCTGTTCCTCTCATTCTCCCTAAAACTCTGAATTAGAACGTTGCTACTGTCTCCAAACCAGTCCGCCATTTTTTGTTGTTGTACTTTCGTGACATACCTGTCAATTAATTTAATTTCAATTTTCTGCACTTTCTGGGATTAGTTGAGGTGTTCTCGACCATTGAGCATGCTGAAATTTTTATATATTTATATTATTATTACTCTGACTATATATTTTTTACAGTCCTAGTGGGTTGCACCAATTACACTGTGCTGAGTGAACCCGATCGCCATACATCGTATGGAAGAGGAGGCAACTCGGACGCATCTCTCGTACCTGGCTGGTACAGATTTCAGTCTGGTTCATACACTAAAATGCTGGACTACTGCGTCAGCCATCACAGATGTCGTACAGACATAACAGGCTGGTTAAACGGGCTTCATCCATCTCTCGAGGAAGGCATTGTTAACAGACAGGCGTGCTTTCACGGGTATTATAATTGTTGTTACAGACGAGTTCAAATTCAAGTGAGAAGCTGTGAAGGGTTTTATGTTTACTACCTTAATCCATCACCAGCAGGAAGTTTTCGCTATTGTGCAATTGCTTAGGGTAGACTTATAGCTAAGGAACAACAACTGCAGAGCAGTGCCACTTTTCTTTCATTTGTATGTTCAGTTCACCGTTCTATTTCAATAGCTTAGCTAGTTTCGTACCCAGACGTTTCACGGTCGAGCAGTAGTAACATTTCAGTTGCAGTTACGCGGTAGGATCTGGGTACGAGATTATAGTTAAGCTATGATATATTATGGTTTATAAGACCAGAACAAGGACAAAACTACTCTCGATGTAATAGAAGGGAGCCAGGATGAGAGCATTTTCAATTTGTTGACGCCTCAGCCTGACACGAGTAGGTTTCGTCTTAATTCGAATTTCTAGAAGCATTCATCTGAGTTCTCGTTCACCGATCACATGACATCACAACAATTATGACAGAAACATAATAGACCGGTCCTTATTGAGAAGGGAGTGGACTTCGGAAGATCTTGGCTGTGACGTAATGAAATTTACCTGATCCCCACCACAACATTGTACTATTTCAATTATTCCCCCCCCCGAAATCGTTCATTAATTAATCTCATGTCCCCCCCCCTTACCCTCTCATTGACATTAAGCTTTCTATTGTCTTATCAGATCAATATCAGTATCTGGGCAACTACCCACCTACCCCTTCCCTAACCCAACATTAACCCTAACTTGTCATCAATGGACTGTTGTTCGGTTAGGGGAGGGGTAGGTGGGCAGTTGCCCAGATACTGATATTGATCCGCCTTCCCTTTATACTCTGTCGGCGAATAAGAACTTCTAATCTCTTGCGAAGACTGATCCTCCCCGATCCCTCTGAAAACCACGTGATCCCTCCAAAATCCTCTTACCACCGCCCAGGGGATAAATTTGGACTGGTCCTAGTACTTAGCAGGACAACAAGTGGCTACCTTGTTTGATCGAAATAGCATTGGGTAAGGTTAACGTTAGAAAGAGAGTGATACTTTCGTTAATCATTGAGGAGAGCCTTATGTAACACATGTAGTTGTAGGCTTAACCACAAGTTGCCGATAAATTCTTAAAAAGTTGCCGATGAAAATGTCTAAAGTTGCTAAAAAGTTGTTATTTTTTTTCCCCAAAGATGCCAAAAAGTTGCTGAAAAGTTTCCGAAATGTAGCTGTTTTTTCTTCACTGGTTTGAGCTTAAAGTTGATTTTTTCGTGGTTTTGATCCCTGACACTATAACTTTGTTTCCTAACAAAATTCTGTTTTTTAAATTGAACACAAATTCCACAGAATATATTGGAGTGTGTCTCATATGTGAATAATCCACTTTTAGCGAGATACTAAGGGTTTGCGACCAGCTACGACATGCCACGTGATACCACTTACCTCGTGGATAGGCATTTAATGAAAAAAACCCTACCCCTGAGGTCCCCAGATAGTATAAACCAGCTGAGTGGCAGGTGACCTTCCTTTCGGAAGCTAATAAACGTGGCAAAAAAGTAAAAAATGATCTTTAAAATGCTAAAAAAAAATCAGCAGTTGCCGAGAATCCTAGAAGTTGCCAAAAATCTCAAAACTTACCAAAAAGTTGCAAATCTCGACCAACTTGTGGCTAAGCCTATGTAGTTGTGGAAAATGTGATTAAAATGTCAATAATAGACATTGTGATAATAAACTTTTTTTTTTTACTCTCTCAATTCTTGTCGACTCCATCAAACTCTTCTACTTACACGCCATTGCCAGTGGTTTCTAAATAAAGTGTTACAAGCAATCCTGCATAAAACATTAAGAACAGAACGACAAGTTACAACATTGGAAATGACATGGGAATAACAAGGGAAGGTGTAACGATATTTCGTGTAAACTAAATGAAAAATAAGGATATTTCGTTTGTATATAAATGAAGTATTTAGCGTGTTCGAGCTGTCTTTGATTAAAATTAGGTCGAATGTAATTGTATGATTACTGCTCGTCATTTCTTGTGGCCTGCTTGTATTTCTCCGAGCATCAAGAAACGATGCAATAGGAAATACGAGACACTCGATGAAAGGGTCATTTACCCAACGATTCGGGAATGTGGCTGGCACAAGAACGTACTCGAGATAGCTTGTTAACTCGACTCACCTTTCTATTTGCATGATCGGCGTGAAGGTCAAACTCTTGTGGATAGCCGCGCGGACCGGGGTTAGGCGGTGGCTTGATGTCTACACTTTCGAGAAATTCAGTTTTTCAGTTCCCTGATTCATTTTCATTCCATTAAACCCGATTTAAACTCAACATGCCTACTGGTGTGAATGGGGTATTAGTTTCGATCCCAGAAAAAACAAAATAACAAAGGAACTGCGGTCTCCTCTCCGTGTACGTATTTGTCATATTGACCAGCTTGAATCATTTTTAAAGTAATTAACAAAAGAACTCTGCGCCCCGTAAAAATCAAAAGTTTGGAGCCACTTGTAACATCTTCCCTGAGCAGTGATGAGAAACTTGGTACTCCTGTGGACTTTGACACACGAGACAAAGAAATCAATATTAGGGGAGGGGTGACTGGCTGGAATATGATTTGTACTTTCTGTCAACCAAAATGGCGGATGGCCGATTATGTTCGCTTTCGTGCGAGAAATAACACATTTTGAAGGGTTTGCTGAAGGGAATCTACCTTGAGTACTTTTAAATAAAAAAAGAAGCTTTTTAATAGCGGAAGTGTAAAATATTTTTTCTTAGAAACGACGTTTTCCTGGAATCATCACAGTGTTGCTTTCTGAGAAGTGATGGACGTCGTCTGATTGGCCTTCTTGTGGAGTATACGTCATGGTTATTCCCGAGGAAGAAACGCAACGTAAGCATAAATTCTTTATTTACGTTGGAAGGCCTTAAAGTGAAAGGAAGTTGTCTTGAATACGTTCTATGTCGAAGTTTCTTATGTAGTGCTATCTATTACGGAGCGAGTAATTCAAAATGTCTTCCCCAGGACAAGGGAAAGGAAAAAATAAACGCAAAGGTAAGGGACGTGGAAGAGGACGAGGAAGAGGACAAGATTTACCATCTAACCCTGGCAGGACTGAACATGTTGGGAAGGCTCCTGAGGAGGAAAGGAAAACAACTGAGGAGGAGCCAGGTTGTATAAATCGTACGGATTCAACAGCTGATTTTGATGAGAAACCTGCCGCTGGTGCGTGCGGTAATTCGACAAATGGTACCGTTGTTGATAAAGTAGGACAGGAGGAAATCTTCCCCTCTGCCAGCGGAGAGACGACAACAGTTGAGGAACACAGTCAAAGGGGAAGTTCTTCGGGTGAAACACCATCAAAGTCTAAAAAGACCAAAGGAAAACAACGCGGTACACAATCAAGTCCTCCTGACGATAAAGGCAAAGGTACATTTAGTTAAACTCAAGTTTGCTGATTTTCTGAGAAGGAATGTTGTGTGCATTTATTAACAACATGTATTTAGAACGACAGCCCTTTATTTTCTGTGAGAAGCTTTTTTGCCAAAAATTCGAGGCATTAATAGCATTGGGATCTAAAGAAAAAAAATAACATTTCCCGAAGGAAAAAAATAGGATGAAAGAAAGAAAAAATTGTCTATGAATGGTTTCAGGTGAACTTTTAGAAATACTGTGTTATGAATGTTCTTTTGCTGTCTTATGATCTGAACTCAATTTCATGTAAGGAACTAAGTTAATCTCAACCAGTAGATTGAATTTATTTTTTATTTATTCAAAGCTTCCACTTTGCCTCCGGGTGCAGCAGCAGCTGATGCTTCATCAACGAAAACTGTTGGTGGTACCACCCCATCTTCAGCTGCCGTTACAAGCAGTACTGCGGCAGTGGACAGAGAAGTTGAAGATGTGACTAAAAAGCTAGGTTCTTCTCTGGGAAGTGGAGGTACAGTAAAAGCCTTTAACTCTTTTTTTCATTATTTTTTATTGTGGTACAATAGTAACACTACAATGCATCACAAGAACTTAGTTTACATAACATTACAATGTTGAGAAAAAGGAAAGAATAAAAAACATTAATGAGAAAATAAAAAGAGTACTGACAACACAAATTAAGCATGGAAATAAATGCAAAGAGGAGGGGGTGTCTTCAGTGCCACAAATTATTTTTAACAGTGTTTCAATACTCTTTTATCATATACAATTTTCAGTAACTAGCTGTGTAGAGGAACTTATCTATGTTAAAATATTTTTAAAGATTCTGATGATAAGACTTCATCTACTGTGTTGGGGGCCTGGAAAGTGGTAGAAAGAAGACAGCACTCTTATTTTCAAAATCACACAAAATGGCTCCCCAGCAGCTACCATGACAGTTGAATATTGTTCTAAATATTTCTTTGAATTAGGATTTTTATTTCTAGTCCAAGTATCAAAAAAACAAAAATGAGTATGAAATTTATTTGTACTCAAATGCTGACTGTGATGTATTGATTGGGTTAATTCTCTCTCAGAACACACTCCTCGTCAGACTCAAGCAAACAGTGGAATGCATCCTCCTCTGAGACCAGGCTATGGCACAAAGGGTCGCCCTATAGCATTAAGGGCAAACTTCTTCCGCCTCAATGTCTCACCGCAGCTTTCAGACCTGTACCACTACGATGTTGAAATAACTCCAGAAAGATGTCCTAAAAGTGTTAAGAGAGATATTGTTAATGAAATCATAAAGAAGCACAAACAGACAACATTTCAAGGCCATCATCCAGCTTTTGATGGTGAAAAGAATTTGTACAGCAGGATAAAGCTACCTGTTCCTGTGAGTTTCCTATCAACAGTGTTTTGTAATGTGATATAGTCACCCCTCATTGATGTATGAGGCCATTAGAGGCCAATGCTAAAAATTTTAGCTTTAAAAACTCATTACACTGGCCAATTTATGTTATCAACTCAGTTGATAAAACTAGATTGTCTTGAAAAAATTATAACTTGGACTGCAACACGTGTAAACATTGCATAAAAGAAGTAAGAAGACATCACTTTGTGAGCAACAATTAAATCTAACTTCAAACAAGGGTGGCCATGGTTAAAAGGAAAAATGAAAAAATATAAGACTGTTTTTTTTTTTTTTTACACTTTGTCATGAAATATCTTTTAGCCAACCCTGGACTTCTTTCAACACTCTAATCCACGAATCTCCTGTTGGAGTTAAGGAGTTGTTTCCCTTTTTTGTGTGACTTACAGGCTGAACTTAGTGTTAAACTACCAGGTGAAGATGGAGGAAGAGACAGGGTTTTCAAGGTTAGCATTACAACAATTTTAAAATAAATAATAATAGTAATAATGATGTCTTGGTGATAGTCATTTTTTGAATGCAATTACTCTTTTGCATTGAATGGATGATAAACAATCAGTTTAGAAATAAAACTTGACATAGTTTGCATTTTTTAACTGTTGCTCAAGATGGAATGCTACCTGCAGATCTTTAAAATGGTAATATATAAATTTAGGCAAGCCTAAAAGTGGAGCTTGCCTTTTTTTTTTTTTACCCGCATGTCTCTTCAACAAAACTAAAGCCCTTAGTATGGTTAAAGTGCACGGTAAAATTAGTGGATTTTCATTTGCAACTTCTCTGTGTCTGTGTAGAGGACTGATTATAAGATAGTGCCCATGGTACAGTTGGTCACGCATGCTAAAAGTAGCACCTTGTATGGTTGGTTGTACATTCGTATGGTCATACATCCAAATTTTTTTGGCTTTATGGGTTACTACTATTTTGTATAGTTATGGGGCTATGCTATGCAAGCTCCGCTATAATTGAGACAGTTTTTGTCAAATTTGTGCTGGAAGAATCACAACTGAATATGCATAATTGTAGTTGTAGGAAGCATGTAGTCATACCAAATGGATAATAATTTCAAAATATTTTAATACTTATTCCTATTTAACCCACAAGGTTAAAATTCAGTTTGCTGCAGCAGTAAGTCTTTTGGAACTTAACAACTTTTTGAGTGGAGAACAAAATGGCAAAATACCTCAGGATGCAGTACAGGCATTGGACATTGTGGTGCGACAGATGCCATCAATGTATTACACCCCTGTTGGAAGATCATTCTTTCCATTTGATGGTCAAGGAAGACCCCTGGGAGAGGGGTGTGAGGTGAAATTTGGTTTTTATTCAAGTATTCGCCATTCTGAGTGGAAGGCTATGCTGGTAAACATTGATGGTGAGTTGCTGTAATTGGTAAAATTTCATATAAATTACTTGTTCTCACCATTGCTTTGAAAAAATTTGAGGAATATATGAAATGTTGCCTTCTCAGTAATGTTCAAGTCTCAAAAAATTTATTTTCAAGAGTATACTGTAATTCATGAAATGAGCCACTGTTTCCTTTTGAAATTGAGCTTCACAGTGTTCCTGATCATGAGCCCATTAACCCTTTACACCCTATCATCAGTATGTGTCTTCTCCATACTATTCTTTATACAATCATTTCCTGAGGTGCTGACAAGGAGAATTTGGTTAACAATCAAGAGCTTTTTTAGTTGGCCTGGTGATCATTTCATTTATTATGGTGACCTTAATGTCTGACCATTCGGGAGGGGGGGGGGTAAACTATAAAGAGATATTAGATGCTAGTCACTGTTAGGGGTAAAATGGTGAAAGAACTGTCCAATGTTTACATAATATTCTCAGTGAGTTTCTGTACTTTCAGTCTCTGCAAAAGGATTTTACAAAGAGCAAGCTGTTGTTCCTGATTTCCTGTGTGAAGCACTTGATGTGAAACCCCATAATCTTGAAGACTACAGATTTGAACCTGACAGACGAAGACTTGAGAAAGCCATACGTGGTGAGTTGCTTTGTTTTCTGTTCTCTAACCAATATTATTATAAATATTTGTGTACAGGTCTGTTCATTATGGTGGTCTGTTCATTGTGGTGGTTTTACACCAAGCTGCAAAGTGGGAATGTAGATATCCACTAATTTCAGTCAGAGACTGAGGTGAATAATTATTTTAAAATTAGTACAAATAAAAACCAAAATGTTTCAGGTATTTTCTGTAACTTACCAAAAAGTGGCTGGAGAAAGTAAACTCTTGATAATTCTGTCTCTTTGGCTGCTTAGAGAAGTATGTTGTATGTTACATGTACTTGCTAATCACTTTCAAGTTCCAAGCCAGAAAATCAGCATACCAGTAAGGTATTGTAAGATACTTATGATTATTATAATTGTTATATTACATTTGAAATTTGTTTCTTATTATTTTGTAATATTGCATTGTTTCATATTGCATTGTATGAGTTTATAATTAATTTTGATAGCTTTTTTTGGCAAACTAAACTTAAATTATAAATATATATGAACACTTATGGAAAGGGTTAAACTTTACTACTATCGACTGCATACTTGGACGATAGTGGATGCTCATTTGAGTATGAAAACATTTTTTAGCATCATCATAATATTTCTAGTGTTTTATCAAGCATGAATTATACACACTCCTTTGATTTGTAGTTTAAATGACTGAGCTTTTTTCCCAATGTTTACTTAGACAAAAGTTGGCCTCTGAGTTCCATGATATCTTACCTTATAAAATTAGAATAAAATAAGGTTCATGGGAATTATATATTAAATGGCCTCGAATCTTGTAGACTTGTGTTTATTAGATCCTAACGCAATATCCATTTTGAGAGAATTAACACTTTTTGAAAGAAGCTTAATAGTGGTAATATTGTCATGAGCACATATATATGTTTAATTTTCTTTTAAAAAGCCTTCATATAATAATGAAAATTTAGACTTGAAGAGTCTTTAGCACTAACATGTGATGTTTTTTTTTCGGTGTGTTACAGGAATTCGTATACAAACCACTCATGCTGGCACTATAAAGAGGAAGTACACAATTTGGGGCGTGTCGGAAAAATCTGCCGACAGGAAACAGTTTGATGTAACAGATGAGGGAACAGGTCGCACTTACAAAACAACTGTTGCAGATTATTTTAAAGACAGATACCGGTTAATTTTGAGGTGTGAGCTACAGATGATTTATATAACTTGTAGGCTCTCTTTTATAAGCACTTTTGGACGTGCATATTGCAGGGTTCTCGCAAATTTCGCAAGAGTTTGTCGCCCTCTCGAGGGGCCTGGAACGAAAAATGAGAGCCCGCGCAATTTTCCGTACCAGACCCCTCTCAGACCTTCCGCCCCCTTGCTTCTTTGGCGGACTTATAGCCATAGCCATATAGATACTCGTGACGTTCAGCTTGCAAATTGTGATTGATAAAAATAATCCAGATGAAAATTGAAATGATTCTAATCTTAGCGGACTTATTAACTGAGAGATATAAAAGTACAACACATAATTTCATCTGGTAGTCATTAGACATTAAGGAGCCCGCCACTTACATTTGCTCGAAGGTGTCTTAATATTAAGCTTTGTTACCTGTAGGTACCCTCACCTACCGTGTTTACAAGTTGGACAGAAAAAGGACAGGTATCTGCCCATGGAGGTCTGTACCATTATTCCTGGTGTAAGAAAGCATTTGTCTGAACAACAGACTGCGAACATGATCAGAAGTACTGCTCGCCCTGCGCCTGAGCGACAGCGTGACATTCAACACTGGGTAGGTTCATTTTAGCCTTGAAGTCTTTTTTTGTATTTGAACCAACTTACATGTATCTCTTGCATTTTCGGTATTCAATGTGATGTTATATACTTTTTTATTATAAAAATTTATAGTTTGCAAAGCAAAGCCTTTGCATGTATCTAAAAAAAATAGCGTCTGTTATGGAACAAAAAGAAAGTAACTACAGTCGTTACAACAACGAAGTTCTTTCGCTCAGACGGAGGGCTGACGCTCAATACGTCAGTTTTAGAAACTCTTAACAGTGGCCAATTTACATTATCAACTTATTTGACTGATGCCAAGTTATCGTGTTCTACCCCTTCCCCTCCCCCCCCCCCTGACGCAACACCACAGTATCTCTATACACTTACCCTTTTTGAACTTAATCAGACAACGGCTCCTGATTGATGCAAGTCGAACAGAAAGTGAACTAGAGCTGTTTGACATCATAAGTAATTTGATTGAAATCAAGATACATTACAACAGTACTGTAGATCGTCTATTGTTCTTATCAAAAAAGTTGATATTTCTATTGAGATTCCGCGATTTTTTTGTTCTTTTTTTTTTTTGTTTCAAAAAGTTGCGCAAAAATGAATGAAAATTCAAAGAGATACTTGAGCCACTTAGTACAATGGTGACTACACAAAAATTTAGAAAGCTTACGGAACGAAAACTCTCTCGCGTCTCAACGAGGTTTAGTGCAAAAGCATCGACCTCCTGAAATAAAATTTTTAAAATCTTCATGTATTAAAAATGCTAGTGTTTTTATTGTGCGATTTAAATCTTATTAGGCCCAAGAAATGACTCGAGCAAGTAGTAAATACTTAAGAGATGAGTTCCAAACCTCAGTCAGCACAGAGATGGTTAAGGTGGAAGGACGTGTGCTTCCACCACCCAGAATCAACCTTGGGCCGCAGGATCAGCCATTGACTCCTCGTGATGGTTCATGGGACATGCGCAACAAATCGCTGCATGATGGAGCCCGCATTGAAAAGTGGGCATTGGCTTGTTTTTGCAGGAGATGTCGGGAAGACCAGCTGAGAAATTTTTCTAAGCAAATGGGCAATGTATCCAGTCGACAGGGTTTGAGGATGTCAGAGGAGCCAGTTGTTGTGAGATACGGCAGGGATGCCAGAGAGGTGAGATATCTTCACATTTAACAGGTGTTACGCGAAAACGAAATTAGTGTCATTCAAAAATCCACCGAACAGAGTTCAGAAGGGTACTCTTTGCTAAAACTATGAACAGTGAAGAATGAGTGGACAGTGCCGTTTACTTATTCATCGGGTAGTGATTGGGTGTCAAAGGAATTGAGTGGCGCTACTAACGATCTAAGCTTTGATTATTTACGCCCTTAAGGCTCTACTTTGCAAGCAAGGAATTTTCAGGTAAAAGAGAATTGTTTCTCTCTTCGTCACGTAGGACACTTGTAGATGGCTTCATTTGTCTTGTTTTTGTATTTCACGCGCTCCTTAAGCGATCGATACGACCCTCAAGTAATGCCCGAGGGATTATTTTGGAAACTTGAAAATGAAACAGCGGTGGAATAGTATATGCCTTATTCGACGAGCAATGAGCAAAATGTCCGTTTGTATTACATGGTGAACTTTCAAATAAGGTGTACTTTTGTACAGAAACTCAGATCACGCGTAAGGTAGCAATTAGTGCTCCTGTGTTAGATCCATCTCGTAGAATGATAACAGCAAATTGTGTTACACTTATGGACTGATTAGAATTCTTTTATTACAAAACAAGTAGAGTTTGAATTCATGTAGGCTTCCATAATTTTATTTCATTTTTAATACTTTCAGGTAGAGAGTTTGTTTTCTAAATGGGTTGTGGACATTCCAGGCCTACAACTGATCATGGCTATTCTGCCCGAGAGAGACAAACAAATCTATCCGGAGATAAAACGTGTCGGAGACAATGTCATTGGAATTCCAACGCAGTGTGTTCAGTCAAAACACGTAAACCGTACCAACCCCCAGGTTTGCGCCAACATTGCGTTGAAGATTAACTCCAAACTTGGTGGAATTAATCATGTTATAGATCCAGGTGTAAAGTCGCCTGTTTTCAGAGAACCTGTTATTATCTTTGGCGCCGACGTCACCCACCCCTCCCCGACTGAAAATGGAATTCCTTCCATTGCTGCTGTTGTAGCGAGCATGGACGCTAATGCCACTAAGTACTGTGCACGAGTGCGAGCACAGAACCACAAGAGTGGTAAAGGTGCGCAAGAGATAATAAATGACTTGGCGGTTATGGTGAAAGAGCTTTTAATTGAGTTTTACAAAGCCAATCGGAAGCTTAAGCCTAGCAAGATCATCTTCTACCGGGACGGAGTCAGCGAGGGTCAGTTTGACCAAGTTCTTGTTCATGAGGTGCGGGCTGTACAACAGGCCTGTATTATGCTTGAAAAAGATTATCGCCCGAGAATCACTTTTGTTGTGGTTCAGAAGCGCCATCATACGAGATTGTTCTGTGAAAACCAACGAGATGAAGTTGGCAAAGCAAGGAATGTTCCTCCTGGTACAACAGTGGACAGCGGTATCACACATCCGTATGAATTCGACTTTTATTTGTGCAGTCATTATGGAATCCAGGTACATCAGCTTTAACATGACATGTCGAGTTTTTACTCTGAGAATGGTGATTGGGAGCTTGATTATTCTTTGTTAATCAAACCCTTACCTTTCCTTGGTTGCAATGTAGCTGTGCTATCTACAATTACCCACCAACTGCTCAAATAGCTACGGCATTTTTTTGTCTCTTTGTGTCTAGTCTTCTATTCATCTTTGAACGTGTGAAAGAGCACCATCCTCTCCACACATTTCATAAATATAAGTACAGCTCTGACATGAATCACGAGAGGTTTGCTTAAGTGGTGGACTAGTATAGGATGATTTGCATACAGGTTGTCAAATTCAAAAAGTCTCGAAGGCATTCAGGTTTCCGAATAATCTCGTTCCAAAGTCTCTAACGGAAAAATCTTAATCCATATGGATGGCATTATTATTCCTCCTGTGACCTTATCGAAAAAAAGAGGAAAATTGTTTACATATATTTCTCTTCCGCGAACTAAAAATTTTAGAACATGGCTTTAGGACAGCTGTGTAAACTTTCTGGAACAACAACCTACCCAGTAACCTAAGTCAGACAAAATCATAATTTAGTTGATTCAAGCTATAACTAGTTTTTATTTTGAAGTTAGTGAAACACCAATTTTGTGATCAGGTTGAGCTCGTATCGATTTTAGATTATTTGTTTTTTTTTAGGACGTTTAAAGGCATGCATGGGACGTAGTTCCCTTTGTTAAAACAGTCATTTATTTCTTTTTTTCTCAATGAAGTTTACTCTGATTTTACCCCGGCTTATAGGGAACAAGCCGACCTACACACTATCACGTGTTGTATGACGATAACTCATTCACAGCAGACGGCCTTCAGCAGCTCACATACCAGTTATGTCACGTGTACGCACGGTGCACACGCAGTGTTTCTATGCCAGCCCCCGCCTATTATGCCCACTTGGTGGCTTTCAGAGCCAGACACCACGTGACCGGAAATGGAGGGTTAGTGTTCACAGACTTGATGACCCTTGTATTTTTATTGGAATTTGTGTTCGAGTTGTTACTTTGTCTCTTTGTCTTACTTTGGAATGTCAGTTGCTTAAAAAACGTTTGTAACTTTTTAGCACCGCTAGTCCTTACTTAACATGATTCCTCTTCCGAGCCAGTTTACTTGTAAAGTTTTATTAAAAGTAGAATCTTCTTGTTTCAGTATCGACCTGGTGAAGTCTGCAAAAGCCATCGAAGTCAACGCAAAGATGAAAGGAGCCATGTACTTTACTTAGCTATTCAGCGGGAGTATGATGTGCACATGTGCAATTTAACGTATTGGCAATGACGAAAACAACGAAAGATGGCAACTGTTTTGTTGTGTTATAATTGTTATAAATTAGTACTGTACCTCCCGGGAATAATCAAAGTCTAACTTCTCTTTACGATTCATGTATGTTGTCTTACAAACAGTTTAGGAGATTAGACATGCTTATTAGCCGGAGTGATTTCTGATATAACACCATATTAACCAGTCTCAATCAGAGGGAATTGTATAATTGCATGTCAGTCAGAAGAGAGAATTACTGCTTGGATCTGGGAATTAAATGGTCCAACCAGAATTAGCTAAAAAGGCGATTATTGCCAGGAAGACGTTATTTAAATAACTGCTCGTGTTCTCCTTTTTTGTTAAAAATGAAAAAGGGTTGGGCTGCTTAGAGGTATCACGCTTGATTTTAGCAAAATTTTATTGAAAAAATGAAGTAAACTAGATTCAGTTCAATTGTTATTATTATCAAAACAGTTTGTATAAGAAAAATGTAAATGGAAGAGACTATGCCTCCTCATGAATGTTACATGTGGTGATAGAAAAGACTAAATGTATTAAAATGGTTGTTTGACATAGTTTGATGCTACTCTGGTTTTAAGATTTAATGAATGTAACGGAGAAGTTACAATTCATAGACCCAACGTTTCGACACACCTGTCTAGTGGCTTCATCAGAGGTGATCTAACGCTACAACAAGAGGTCCTTTTATACGCTCTCTAATTAGCTGCCCTTTTTTCTGACGAGGTGTAAATAGGCGTCAGGAAGTAAGCCGCCATCATCACGATTTAAAGGAGCGTGGGCGGAGTTGATATGCCAGGCTTCTAAATAAAGGCGCTAGTGGTAATACCGATTAGTGGTGATAATTTTAGACTTATCCCACCCAATTGTATGGTTGATTAGGCATGTGTGCTCCGATATAGCTGAATTTTCTTTTTTGCTAAAGAAGACCGCTTTTTGATGCTCTTTCAAACGTGTACCAAACTGACGTTTGGTCCGTCCGATATACTCGTTATCACAGTCATTGCAGGGAATAGAATAAATAGCGTCGGTTCGTTGTTCTTTCGTGACAGGATCCTTAGGTTTGGCAAAAATATGCCCTAAAGTCTGAAAAGGTTTTTGAGCAACTTTAACGTTGTGGCCATTCAAAATTCTCTTGATGTGTTCCGTAACACCCTGAATTTAAGCCGGAATAACAGCAAAACCAGTCGCTGGTTCCCTCTCATCAGGAGTGTTACCAGTTGTAACTGGTTTTCGGCAGTTACGGAGAAAAGTTTCCCATTTCTGTTCGCAGTTTGTGGCTTTCTTACATTTGTGTACCGTTCGTATGTTAAGTTCTTTTGTTTTGCAGTTCTAGCTAAAGTTAACTTAGTAAAGACTTGATGAGTTGCCAGTGGTATTGATATTTAAACTTCTATCTTTTTCATGAAGAGCTCAATGAGTAAAGGTCTATGAAACTCCAAAGGCGTATTTCTATAGTGACAGCATTCGCCGCGTTCAATGTGTTATGATGTGAGCTGGAGACATGGGTCAAGTCCGAAAATACAAAGCCTGTTGGAAAACTTCTGAGAGAGATGATTTTCTGAGAAACTTACGGATGAGAACAGAATATACTGTTGTTGCGTCATAGTGCCTGGTTAAGACAATTCGAGAAACATACGTCTTAAGCAATTGTCCTTCAGCAAAACAGAAAAACGAGAAACGGGAGACACGGTTAACAGGATCCTTAAAATCAATGCCTTTTCCAATTTTCCTCATCCTGATTGTATATTCGCCCTACCTATCCTGTTTAGTCAAATTACACCGACCCCATCCTTCAATCCAGTCCCTTGATAAACCTTCTACAAGATCCTTAAAATCAATGCGTTTTCCAATTATCCTCATCCTGATTGTATATTTACCCTACCCATCCTGTTCAGTGAAATTTCACCGACCCAATCCTTCAATCCAGTCCCCTGATAAACCTTCTACTCTTAAGCTGAGCCATCTAGGGGACTTTTGTAGCGTTGCAGTTGTGTCTTCCGTTGTGGTTATGTCCTCACACATTATAACCAATAGAATGCAGTTTTACTTCTTCCAATCAAAGTGCGTTGTGATCGTGTCTTCTGCGTGTCACTTCCCAACTAGGGGAGGGATGCAAAGCAAAAGTGTAAAAAGATCGTTAAGATTTCCGCGCTCGAAGTTTGAGAGTTTCATGGGCTATCCTTGACACCTTTTGGGACGCTTCGGATTGGTGAAAGAGTAAGATTCTGGTTGCGTTTTTAAGTGCGAGGTATTTGGGAAATTTTCTTCCATACGTTGGAAAGCCTAGGAAGACGAGAATTTGACATTGCCTCATGGCTTTCCTTACTTTTCTGTTGGAGCTGGTACAACAAGGTAAGGTTTTCGTTGCACTTCATGCTAGTTTTTTTTAAATTTTAAATATTACAACCATTCTTCAAAGATCGCGTTCAAGTTTTGTGCTAAATTCCAGTAGATTTCATGTAGCTGCATGATACCTGGATTCATTGAATACTTCTGTGTCGAGGACTGACTTTTTTATTTTGTTTGGGACATGCAACACCAGATATTACACGTCTATTAAAAACCAAGACAGCTCTCGGTGTTTCAATGATCAAAAACTTGTGATTTTCTTCCAGCCTCAATAATTTGTATTGTGTTGCATGTAGCAGTCTCATAGTGTCTACACGGGTGGCTATTATGGGTACAGTGGAAGACATGTATTCATTGTAAATGTATGGGGCTACGCAAAAATTCAGCTAGGATGTATGGTCGATGTTAAACTTCACATATCCTGGAAAGTTAACTTACAAACTGCTTACACATATGATGAAGATCTGGTCTCTTATAAACGATAGGGTGCTGGCTCCTAACGCTCTGCAGCAAGTAACAGTTGGGTCATCATTCTCTTTGCTCACCCAGAAGGGCATAAATTTGCAGCAAAATTACTCATCACTTAATAATATGTGCTTTTCTATTTAAATCAGTGGCTGACATATGCCACTTTCTTTCTTTTGATCTATTTAGAATAAAGCCCCTTGAACTAAATTATGAGGAATACCACAATGATATGTATTTTGTTAACACATTTTACATACTTTTTCAATTGTGTGTTACAAACATTAAAATGAAATAAATACTAATTCATGCACAAATGAATACTTAATTCAATACAGACTATTGCCCATTATTAGCAATTATTGCTCCTACACTTGTTAGCAAGAACTTGGTCTTGTTGGCGTTCATTGTGAGTGTCTGGTAATCCATATCAATGGAGACACTCTCTGCAACTATCTTTGTGAAGAAAATACCAATCCTTTCACCCTTACTTAATATCATTCATACAGGCATGGATGAGAACCAGCAGCAAAGCAAAGTAAACAAAAGTGCAGATGAAAGGTATCTGTTGTGCTTGTCCTTGGTGTAAAAATCATTTTCCTTTGGTTTTGTTAATGATATGAATGAAAATGCATTTTGTGTAGAGAAAGATAAAATTTAGCTCCTAGCCTAAGTTATGGTGAGATGATATGTCACTATCAATTTGGCCTCTTTTAAAAGTTAAAGAATAAACTAAGGATAAAACTTAACCACAGCATACCTATACTAAACCCTCAGCCTATTTGTATCAATATTATTATTTTTTCTGCTGTTTACCCAATAGATTCAATCCACTTAAAGACAAAGATGGTGCCTGTAAATTTTACCTTTATTCTTAGGGTAAGACACATGTAGAAAGCAATATTTCGCAAAACAACAACATTATGTATGCAAATTTTAAATTTTTCCGATTTTTTGTGCTTGACTTTTTGAGTGGTTCCAGGATTTTCTTGTGCAAAGAGTTCTAGATGAATGTACCAGTCACCATGTTTTTTGGTATGATGGTTTACATTGATTGCTGTGCTCTACATTCATCATTGAAGTACCAATTAATTCCTTTGCCATCAGTAATTGCTTTAAATATACTGTATCAGAAATCGCAGCACTGTGCCCCAAATTTAATGTTGTCCAGGGCACAATTTCATATTTTTGAGCAAGGCAAAGGTAAAAATCAAACAAGACCATACAGACATCGTCAACAAGACAACATACCTATGTATATAATGTTTAATATATAGTTCGTTATGTAAAAGCTACTCTATTCATTAAATCAGTGTCAACACTCTCCCTCACTCTCCCTTGTAGCAGATATAATTTTTAGCCAACTTGAGAAATAGTGGCCTAAAATGGACATCCAAACTTTTAAATTTCCAGGGAATTAGGTTCCCCAGACTTTGCTATCCAAGTGGGAATAAATGGCTGCCACACTGTCATTTTTGTCCCTCCCAGCTGCTCAAATGTTTTCCCTCCTTTCCACAATCTTACCAAAGCCCCCATATGTGTAGTAATAAAAACATTGAAGTGTAGTGTGCTATCTCAGCAAGAGATGATAATCATGCACACTTTTAAGTGAGTCATCCTAGCAGATGTTTGGTGAGGTATTACATTCTGTGCTCAAAATCTAGTTCACATAGACCTGGGGAAACAGAATAGGGTGTAATAATCAGGTCGGTGAATTGCTACAAGCTTTAGTTTGGTACCACTACACTTTTGGTTATCCATTTGGTTATCTATCTTGCCAGTAATCTTTCTGGTTATTTGGGTTTTTTATGGAACCTCTTCCCATCAAGAAGAAGCATGGTATATGTTTGAAAGTTGATAGAAAAGAAAAGTAAAAAAAAAAAAAGGAAATAGGGGAGGAACAGGATGGTACCAAAGACAGTGGTACACTTTTTTTTGCAGGGGGTAGTTTTTTTATTTTTGAATTAGGGTTCTAGCCAAAGTATGTCTAAGTTTCTACACTTGTTTATTCTTGCGATTTCTTGCTTTAGGAAGTGAGGTAAAATTTGTTTTTTCATTACAGCCACTTGAGTCTGTAAATGGAAAGAAAACACTGAAAAATGATGGTAAGGAACACATTGCTTGCACTATAAAGTACTGAAAGTAATTTGTAACTCTCCACATTTGTTATTTACAATTGATATGCTTTGCACAGCTTTTGTATGATAAGTGAAGAATTAGTTAACTGTATCTCAAAAATTAAATCACTTTAAACTGCAGCGAAAGCTATTACTTTTATAGTTATAAAAGTATCAAAGGTAACCTCTCTAAGAACCTTCCCTAGTGTCTGTGTTATAGAGGTATCCACTAAATATAGGTTAATTTATTAGGAAATGTGGGAAGAATAGTATGCAACTGAATGATGCAAGTTTCAGCCAGTTGAGGGTTCTTGCATTTTTTATGGTGGTGCTAATGGTGTCTCAGTCAATTGCTAACTTAGTATTTAAGTACTAGTTGTGGTATTGATTATTTGACTTTCCCTAAATGTTTTTTATTGGTGGAGCCAAAAGAAAACGTTTGTGAGGCCATGCTTTAAAAAAATGACAAGAAGGCCTTAAAAGCTTACGTAGATCTTTATGAAGATGGAGGGTTATTTTATTGGCAGTTACATGTAAAGATAGGTTGCCAGGGCCACTTACTAGGAGTAGATTTATAGGTTAAAAATACTACATTTGAGCTCCAATTTTACACAGACATTATTCAGGTATGATGGAAATTTAAAAGCACATTCTTGTCTCATTCATAAGCAATGCTATATACTCCACAGGTGTCAAATTTATTAAATTTTGTGTTCAGAATTACTGTTGGCCTTGATATTTTTAACATTATGTAACATTTAACATTATATAACAATGTTTTTAACAAACAATAAAATTTTTTGGTTTTGATCTGAGCAATTAAAAACATTGTCTTGTTTCCAAGGTTTCCAAGGAAGGTTTCTTCACTTCATGCCTGGGTCCTTATGTATATTATTCTGTTTTACAGAAAATAACAGTCAACTGGAGCAGGAAAACTCCAATCAACCTAGAGGGGCCAGAAAATAATAATGTGCTTAGAAATAACAGTTACCTCCAGCTAGAAAACAAAAATGACAGAACAGCTTGCAGGGGCTGGAAAATACAAGTAAGTACTGTAAAAGAATATTAATTCCTTGCTGGTAATCTCAGAACAGCTGTGTAGGGCTGGAAACTAACATTACTGGAATACAACAGTTAACTCCTGCTGAGAAACTGAGAACAGCTGAGAGGGGCTGGAAAATAACAGTGCTGGAATACAAGAGTTATCCACTGCTGGAATTCAGAAACAGGAAACTTTTAAATACTATGCTACAATACACTGAGCATGCAATAATACCTTCCATTGCCTCAACTCCAGTTACTTGCAGAAAGGTCATCTCTGAACCATTAAATAGGATCTGCTTTACTAGTTATGTACAGTTTGCAATACATTAATGAAAGAAAAAATCTTAACCCTTAAACCCTAAGAGTGGCCAGCCTCTAATTTCTCAGTCATTTAAAAATCACCCCTGATATCACCCCACATCCCACATGAATCAAGGAAATGACCAACAACTTATAAAGCTCTTGATTTTTAAACAAATTCTCCTTGTCAACAGTTCAGGAAATGTATAGAGAACGGTACGGAGAATATGCCTACTGATGTTAGGGTATAAAGGGTTAATCAGTGAGTGTATGTTAAAGGTAGCAATCATAGATAGCTAGTACTTATTTACAAATACTATATTTTGTTTAGCAGATTGTGGCTTCAATGGATGCCAGAAATATGTTGATGAAAAACTGGCAGATACTGTTTTGTGCATTGTGCTGGTGAAGACAGCAGTGCAAGAATAGGTGGAGATGGAATCAAGAAATGCAAAACAGGAGTGAGTCCATTTAGTACTGGAAAAACCATGGAAGAGGTTTCTGCTGGTTTTGGTGTTGCTTTTCCTGGTGAGTATGAATCAGGAGATTTTGAGGAGGATTATGACGATATTAATGATGATTTATTTGTTCTCCTCCCTCCTCTTTCCTCTTTCACCACTAGACATTCAACTACTGGACAAAGACACAGCTGTCAAATGAAAACAATATTCAAGGTAGTTAATAATTATGTTGACCATTTTCACTCTTTGACTCTTTGTTTTTGTAAGATGAGTTTTTTGCTACATTGTTCCATAATTATTTATCTCTATAAACCTTGTTTGTCTTTTGTTATTTGCTAATGTGTGCTTTTTTATATAGCCAGTGAACCAGATGATGAAGATTTTGTCCTGTTTGAGCTCCTCAAGCCTCCCAAAGATGCTTCCTATGAGGTATGCAGAATTTGTGAGTGATTTATAGTTTTCTTCTGTTTAGGTTTTCTCTTACATTATTATTATTATTATTATTATTATTATAATTATTATTAATTAAAACTATGCATAGATGTTCTTGTAACATGCTAAGTAGTTTAGGGGAATATTATTATTATTATTATTTTATACTATGCAGAGATGTTCTTGTAACATGCCAAGTAGTTTAGGGGAATATTATTATTATGACTATTATTACAATTATAATTACTATTGCTTTTGTTTTATGTGTCCTTTGATGACCAGTTTTGGATGTTTTTTAGTGCCTTATGTCTGCAATAAATTTTAAGGGAAATTATTATAAATACATCTAATGATTGATGTTCCTTCTTTGATTGCTAAATTTGTTTGTTGGGTTAACAGTAGGATGAGGTTGTTTTCATTGTCCCTTGAATTAATTCATAGCATATTATCATTAACATACTGATACTCAAGGTTAGTGGTACTTCATTAGCAAAGAAGTCCAACTAACCCAATGAAAGTAGGCCAAATGTGCATTTTAATACCAATTTGGTAAAGACAGTCTTTCATCAGCTGAGTGTCATTAAAGTTTCTTTTCTAATGGAGACTGATTTTCTTCACAGATTCCAACCCTACAGATTCTCTATTTGAAAGAAGGAAGGAAGGAAGGTATTCCAAGGCCTTAATGCCATCACTGAGCAATATCTTTTCAAACTAAGGAAGGAGAAAGGGATAAATGTTCCAAGAGGGTGTTACCATGCAGTGATGACAACAGAAAAAAAGGTTAATTTTGATTACTGGAGGCAGGTAAGGATGGGTAGGTTGAGACAAAGATTTTTCATTACAAGTGGGATAGAGCCTTGGAATTTTGGACCAAGGAGACCACAGAACTGATGTGGCAAGTATCTTAAAGCAAGTTGATAGTGATGGATGGGTCTTATTGAGCATTACAAAACAGCATCATTATGGAATGTGGAGAGACTGGAAATGGAGGCAACTTGAGGAGAAAGACTTTTTGTAATTTTAAATAAAATCAGTAAAGGAAAGCTATTTGGCACAGTGTAATACTAATAATTAAATACCTAACAGGTCATGCGTTCACTCTAACAGTTTCAATTGGGTTTTGAAGCATGCCTAATTCAAGTTATATCCAAAATTCTGCAGCTCCAAATTGTGAATAGTACCTAGACATGGCCAGAGAACATCCAGAGTTTCATATCCAGTGCATTTCCAGAGCAGTAAAATTTTAAAAAAATGACACAAACATTTAAATTGCAAAGAATTTATTTAAAATCTTTACATTTACAGCAACCCATATAAAAAAGAAATTTTACCAACCATTATGAGTGAATGGGTGAATAAAATAGCCTTGACTCCTCAATCTGGTGTCAACTGCTTTATTTTATTCAAAAGTATATAAGGGCAAATTGGAAGGACAGAGTTACTTTCTGTAATCTGTCAAATAGTATTGAACAGTTAGAGCCAAATAGTTGCAAGTGAGTAAAAGGATAGAATGGATTTATTGTATATTAGTGCAGTGTAGTCTACTTTATATTTCACAAATTCCAAAAATCACTATTTCACCTGAAGTTATTTGCTTGAATTATTTGTACTGAAGATGTTTATTTCCGTAGAAGTGTTGCATGTTCAAGTACAACTGAAGGAGTTTTTTTCTTAAACTAACTATTTGTTTGTTAGATGAGCAATTTAAGTTTGAATTTTGAGTTAGATTAATTACGGTTTGCACATGTGGTTAGAAAAAATATTTAGTAATCACTCCTGCTTAAATGACACAAAAAAAGTGTTTATTTGTTCCAAACACTTACAGTGTATCTTATTTATCGAGATGATTTTATCAACAAAGGATATCATAGCAGGAAAAAGGTAACCAAAATTTATATAAAACGTTAAAAAGGAACAACTAGAGTGATTTTAATGAACCCATGAAACAGTATGTAAACAAACCTGTATGACACCTGCACGCATGTTTGATTGTTGGTTCTCCCCATGTTGTGTGTGGAAAACATGACATAAACCAAAAATTTTGTAATGCACAGTAGTTTATGACCAATTTCACCGGAGAAAAATCACTCTTCATATTCATCTACGATATCTTTTTGAGAAAGAAGCTGTGACAAAGCCTTGACTTAGTATTAGCATGACTAATAGTTATTGCTCAATTGTCTTCTTTCGTGATGCATGTTAATAGTGACAAGAAAGTAATGCTTGTTAATATTGTCATCTGTTAAAAATTTGATTAAATCTGAATTACTTAAGTTTTCTTTTCTTTTCTTTTCTCATATAAGCATACTGCTTTTTGGGCAGATGTCTCTCTTGAATGAGATCCTTTTGAAA